GAGCTTTCATTGCCGCCCAAACATGCTCCTCCCTGCCGCCACCCCTTCTTATTCCGCTTCCCCCCTCCTCCTTTTTCCCATTCTTTTCACCGGCAAATCCCAGCTCATCATGCAGACAGATCACTGACGTGTGATGGATCAGGAAAAGAGAAAAAAAAGAAAGAAAAGAAAAGAAAAGAAAAGAAAAGAAAAGAAAAGAAAAGAAAAGAAGAAGAGAATGTGTGTAAGTCGGTCGTACTTCGTGATGTGCTTCGCCCAGGCCCTTTCCTAGGTCGGTAAAGCTTCTTCACACTACTGCCTGTCTACTACCGGGCCGCTGCCGCGTATTGGAAATCCTACGAATGCGGACCGATGGAGGCCTTCCCGTTTCCACAAGTTTAGCTTGGCTTGCCGGCTTGGCCATCATAGCGCTGTGTTTCCTCTGCACACGTTTCCTTCTTCTCCTACCATTCGCTCTCTGAGCAAGTTGCTTCGGCCAGCCTTTATGCCAATGGTGCATGATGGAGTCGGGTGAGTAGTATTACTAGTTTCTCCCCGATTCGCGGAAGTGGTGTTAATTGTGATTTTTCCACTTTAAAGCTTAGAGGGATAGAGGACTTGGCCGTCCATCCGAACGTGGGTCACTCCATTGTCGGGACGAGGGACGAGGGACGAGGCCGATGCAGGACCTTCGTCCAGAGGGGGCCACGGTGAACCATCTCGGGTGATCAATATTGAAATCGACCTAGGCCGAGTCGAGACTACGGCCGAAGCGGCTTTTCTTTTTCTTTTTTTCTTTTCTTTTTTTCTTTTCTTTTTTTTTTTTTTTTTTTTTTTTTTTTTTTTTTTCTTTTTTGGAGGGATTGCAGATAAACCCATCTCAGCCCAATATTAATATCCGTCTCGAGTGAAGAGCAGAGCGCGGCCAATAGCATTGGGCCTTTTCGGGTTCCAAGTTCGATCTCGTGTGTAACACAGCATATTTGCGATCTGAAAACACGATCTCTATCAACGTTGTTTTTTTCAGGTCGAGGTCCAGGGTCAAGAAGAGAGACTGCGCAGTGTGCGAGATGTTTTCCAAGACAGGACAGCAAAACGGCGTCCAGACAGGAAAGCGAATCAACCACAAAAGCAGAAAAGAAGAAAAGAAACGAAAAGGTGTTCAGTGTCAGTGCCTATAATGCCCGCAACTGGCGGTGTCCCGAATTAGGATCAAACGCAAAGCATACGCATGACGGCAGTCATCATACTCGTCCCTCTCCTCTCTCTCTCTCTGCCCCCCCCCCCCTCTTTCTACCCCTCCTTGGCGGAATCTGAACCTGCTGGACCGTTCATATCTGCGGCAATGTGATTTTCTGGGTCCATGCTTCATGACATCTACCGAGCCCAAGATGGTGGGTAGAAGCATGGTTTCCCGCGTTTCCCGTCCCGTTTCCCTTGTCTACCGCGCTGACGACACATCTACATGGGAGCGTCATCAATCAAGGAGGGTAGAGGGTGGTGGGAAACATTGAATGGCAGAAAACGGGTACGAAGTCGTTGGGTTCACTCATGGAGTAGGGTTGAGAAATAGAATCCAAGAACGGAATCGGAGGGTGGATGTGTTACTCGCTCCTCATCGTTGGTCGGATCCCCAGATACACCACACACCCTCTTCACCCTCTCCTCTGCCACTAATAATTGAGAAACGTCATAGAACCTGCATGGCATGAGGCCAGATGGACAATCCATTGTTCAAATCTTCAGAACAATGCTGAAACGGGACCCATCGGCGTCCCGAAAAGCAAAGTGCAGGGGGCCATGCATATGCCTTCCTTCCTCTCATGACACCATCTTCAAAGTGGGCAAGCGCGTCCTTCTTTTTTTTTTTTTGAGACACTAATTGCCTTTCCCCGTCGGCACTGCAGAGTAGCGTATCCCGCCGCCTAAAGGCGGTAAGCATGGGAGAGAAGAAGAAGAAGGCAGGATACGAGGGGGAGAAGAGTGTAAACTTCTCCCGTGCATGAACACACTAGTAGCACTTCGAGAAGGGTAGGTGGAACAGAGCAGGATGGGGGCCAAGAGAAGCAATGAATCCTGGGTTGATCAGTACTTCGTAGTATGGTGAGGGGAGAGTCAAGAGAGCCAATGCTTCTCGGACGATTTCGTTTCCCAATTGCTAGTTGGAAGAAGGCCGATGGGCCCTTGCTATCTGTCCTTCTGTTCCCCTCCCCGGTGATCTTGGGCTGCAGTATATACGAAGTAGGTCGAGGACCCAGGCAAGGATTCAATACAATGACGCCCCTCCCATAACGATGACGATGTGACAAGTCTGACTCCTGCGCCCAGAAACAAAGAAGGAGAAATTTTTCTTTCAAAAAAAAATTTAAAATAAAAAAAAGGCGCGAATGCAGGGGCAACCATCAATAGCTTCCCAGTCACACCCACAGACGTACACTCACGGCACCATTCGGTCAACTCCTTCACGCCCGTTGGTGGCCGACAGATCGGAATTGGCTACGGGCGTAAGAAAAGGCCAAGACGATGCATCGTGACGGGGTCGTGGTAGCAGCGGGAGAGGCGTGACGGGACGGGCGAGGGAGAGCAAGAGGGGAAAGGGGGCGTGTGTCGCCGTTGAGGGTGAAGTCGACGATAAAAAGAATTTGCGGATAGGGAAGGAGAGAGCATGGCATGGTAACATTTTAGCAACTGGCGGGTCTAAGCTGCCGGGACATGTCACCGAAAAGCATTATCCTTCCCCTTCTTCTTTTCCCTCTCGAGACTAGTAATTAGCTCATTGGAACTTTGAGTGTACAAGCCAAGGACGTCCACTGCCCGGGAGAAAGAAGGGAGCCCTGATCTAACCAGAACAAGACCATGTAAGTCGAACGGGTTGTGGATATTGATGACCACTTTGGCACTTATCAGATGCGGGCAACGGTCCAGTCCACCTGAAGGATTGGGCAATGGGTCTAGAAACTCGACTTGGGGAGGGCGTGTGTCTGCACGAGCGGGATTAAATTACTTGTACAAGAACGGGAAGGGTGGAAACGGCTACTTGCCCATGGGGCTGAGGAAGCACGGTCGTAGTCGGTGGTTTTTAGCAAGACCCTCTCGGTTCTAGGATCCGGCGGTGAAGGAATGGATCTAGCCACTTTCGCACCTGTTCCGTTGGAGAAGAAGCCATGGTGAAGAAGTGGAAGGGGGAAAAAGCACTATGGCGGGCGATCTGGTGAAGCAAAACCGGGATTTTGACTGTTGGTCGCGAGACTACTGGAAGAATAGCGTTGATAGAGGCACTAGACACGACTCACTAACACACGAGACCAGACATTTAGGCCATGCGCAAGAGACTGGGTCTCGATTGGTTCTTGTTCTCGTCCCATGTCGGTAAGCGGAGAGCTTCTCTAACCCGAGATAATGCGCCACTTCGCAGCTTGCTCGGCGATTGTGTGTGTATTCACAGGTCAGAGATAGCTGAACAAAACAAGGACGGAGGGAGAAAAAAGCACAGCAATGAGGGGTGGATATCTGCAGATTTACGAGGTAATAAGAGAAGGGGCGAAATGAGAAATTGGAAAGAGACGGAGGAGTTTCAGGGGATGCGGGTGATAAGCAGGAGCTTCGTCTTTTTGGGACTGCGGAACGAGAAAGGGATGGCTAGCAGGAGGCCAGGATAATTTCGCGGACCTAGCGGTGTCTCGCAACCCAAAAATTGCGTGAATAGACTGAACCAGGGAGCTGGGCTCCATCGGTGGAAGACGTGATTAGATTTGTGGGCTACATGTTCATCATGGACGAAGCTCGGTCTCATCATCGTGGCTGATTGTACAAATACATCTAGAATGGGGAACGGGAAGCACTGGCACAGGGGTGGCGGGTATGCCAACTGTCCTCGGGAATGTTGATCGCATTTTCTGCCGTTCGTGGGATGGACAAGGAATAACTCGGGGTGGAGGTCGGTGACAGACAGCATAGCTGTCAGGTGTAATACCTCGGTGCTCATTTAGGTGTAGTATAACGGCCAGGCCTCTATGGGAGCCCGACTTGGTATCTTCCCGTCTTATTATTTCATCCTCGGAATTACGCATCGATACTTCCGGTGAGTTGGGAGTTTGATGAAATCATCCGGGATGTTTGCGGCGGCTCGATCGACTATGTTCTGGGCAGCCCAAGGCGGTCAGCAAGTCTTGTCCATTGCCAATGCCAGATCTCCATTTTGCTCAATGTTGTCATTCATTGTTGTAGTGGGAGTGGGGCAGAATTCCAGTGGAATAGCCTGGTGACTTGGAGCATGGCCTACCCAGCTCGAGGCCAGAGCCACGCGGAACGCCGGAGGTTTCCCCACCACAGCACAGCACAAGCTTGAGCTCAATTCAGTTGGTGAATTAGGCTGTCCCTGTTCCCGGTACTGGGAACCCCCACTGAACCACCCCAGAAACCCGGGCAAATCAGCACCAAACACCTTTGACGTTTTAGCGTCATCCCGCCTGTGTCCTCACCCACCCCATTGTCAGCCTTGCTCCGTGCTCCCCCGAGAAAAATCCACCAAAGGCTGGCAACACTGTGGGGCATCTTCAGCCTCGTCGACAAAAAAGCAGAGCCAACGGCGGGAAACCTCCTTTGACGAAAAGAACGTGTTCCCATCATTGATGTGCAGAGACGATTATCTCCATCAAAGTACGAATTAATGTAGGCCATTCTAACGGATAAATATCTACCCGCCCTCTATTTCCCTGGACAAAGGATCAAGCTGACATTGGCCACCGTCGAACAGACCAATTAGCCACAAACGTGCGGCAAAGCCTCGTTTGTCGCCTCCCCTCGAAGCCCCGAGTCCAGAGCAAGGTCCCGAGCAATCGGCCGTCTCAGAATCAATTACTCCGTTTGAATAAATCGAAGATACTCGAGATCAGAGCTGGTCAGCGTGTGTGCTACGTAGATAGCCGCTGTTTGCCACCCTCGCTCGTCCGTCGGAGCGGGCAGCGGTTCCAGCCGCCACGACCTAACACTCAACATCCAACACCTCACCGTTGCCCATCATGACTGGCCAGTCTCCTACCCCTTCAGTCAAGATACCCTCCGGCGCGACAAATTATACACCAGCAACAATAGATCCTGAGCTGAGGTCTACGATAAATGGCCTCCTTCTCCAGGAAGGCCATGTCAGGCGGTAATGCAGCCACTACCCAAACCTCCGAGCCCATGACATCTCATCCTAAATCCCACATTTCCAGGGTGTGGGGGTTCTTGTTTTTCAGCGAACGAAAAGAGTTGTTCGAGGTTGTGCGATAACAAAAGCTAACTCGTTGTTTTGGTGCCTCGAACCCTAGGATCCAAGATCGTCTTCTCCACGCCCTCAACGCCAACCAGGCCAACTGGCCCACCAATATCCAGAACCATGCTCTCTCTCTCCTTCGATCGGGAGAGGTAACATCGTTTCCGGCCCTGTTAAATCGTGTTTTAGAAGACGTCCGTCAGGATACGCAACTTGGCAAGGGTGCGGAGGCTGCATCGGCCAACGGCGCTGGGGACAGCAAGACAAACGGCGACGCGACCAAGAAGGCGGCGGTTAACGGTGCTGATCAGAAGAGCAACCTAGCCCTTCCGCAGACCGTCATAGACGAGGCTCTGCAGGCTACGAGAGAATGCTTAGAAGAGATCGCATATCTCGAGGGTTAAGGCCGGCGATGTTTGAACAATGAATATGGAGAATCAACTATGGAAGAGGGCTTCGAAAATGGAGTCCCCCAGAGGGACCTGGCGGAGGAACAAGGTCTGGCGTGCTTCGGCACCTTGTACTCTCTTAATCGAGAGTGCCGATTGATATCAAACTCACCCGCACTCACTTCGAGACACCCTGACATCTATCAAAGACTGCGTTTATGACTTTTGATGAGGGGCATTCCATATATCAATTCACAGCTAATGGGCCATGATACCTTCATGCGGTACATGGTGTGTATACGTATCGAGTCTCTTTCGAACTCTTTGTTCCTATGTGGTTCATGCAAAGCGAGACACCAATCCGTCTCCATTCCCGGGCACAGAATAGCTTCCTCGCGTCACATACTTGTAGAACTCCATCCGACCCCCGTCGCTTTCTCGAAGCGGATCGGAATTGAAATTCACCACGTCCAAGGACATGCCTCTTGGTAGCTTACATTTCTCCCCTTTATCATTCTTTATTAGATATACCGCAGCGATTTGCCCACGGATAGTCCCCAAGCTCCAGATATCACACATACTGTCTGCCTCTCCGCATGTCTGCCGTGGTCGGATTAGATGGACGACTATTGAATACATCCACTACACACACACCGAGTGGCCTTAGCCAAGTCTCAACGAGGTGCTTCTCGAGGCGAAAGGAAGAGAGAGAATCAATGACCGAGATAAGCAGGATATTCAAGTTTGATACTTCGTTTATACCCACAAACAACACCAAATAGAGACAATTCGACTCTGGTTTATAATAAATAATTATGAATACCCTTATATGCAATAAAAAAGAAGTTGGAATAGCTTCTTTGATGGTGGGAGTTATGTTGATGAAGGCAAAAAGAAAATGTCATGAAAAAAATTGTGAACCCAGAGCGATTTGAACGCTCAACCTTCTGGAAACTCCATGGGAGATTTGATACTCCAACTTTTGCTGGAATCAGACGCGCTACCGTTGCGCCATGGGTCCTTGTTGGATACAACCGACCCAAAATGGCTTTATTAACCCCGAGCCAAAATGCGGGGAACTTGCTGAAATATGACTAATCATTGTCTCTGAGCTATCAATGACAACTTAAGAGACCTTGCATTCAATGTTCTGTTCACCCCCAAGCTCCGAGAGTCGATATGAAGATAGAGACTATCTTATTAACAAGTGAGCCGGTTTTATTTCACCTCTCTGGAAACAGGGAAGTGGAGAAAGTATCAGTGGCACTAAGCAAAAGTCTATCTACACTCGGGGAAAATACTACAAACAGATATGAGAGAGCTCTAACATGTCGAGTGGGAAATTGCCCGGTTTGCTGAGCAGCAAACACACAGGCAGTGAGCCGAAAATAAACTCGAGAAATTCCAAATGGTGCCGTCAATTGTCGTCGAGTAGCTTTGATAGGGCTTCAAGGATTATGATTGATGCCTATCCCCTCACAAGGTCAACTTTCCCGTTGCTTAGGTGCCGTTAGGCGAGAGTGATTTCCATCCCGAGCCTCAGTCTGGCCAACCAAGCTGCATGATTACTATTTCATGGAATATTTCAGAATCTAAACAAGAGACGTCTCCTTTAGCTGTATAAAGGGTGCTTGGAGCATTGGGTCTTCGTTCATCTCGCACATTCTCGAGGGGTTGATGCGACAGGCGCAAACGGGCTCCCACCTAGTGGAGGGAATGACTCAGGAGCTAAGAATGGAATTCTCACAGGAAGACCAATTCCAAAATGATAAGTCGACTCTACTCGGGTCAATACATCCATGATAGATATTGTCTGCGGTATGTGGCATGGTCCATCATCAAAACGTAGTTATCGTCTTCGTCGGACGGTAAAATTTCCCACTGAAGTTGATGACAGCTGTTACAATTGACTAAGCTAAGCTTTTGCTCCAGTGAATGCTCAAATTCGAACGCTGCTTGCCATTAAGGGTACCTCTTGTATTAGAAGGCTCCAGTTACGTACCCTCAGCTGCCTGTTCCAGTGGAACGCATTGGAAACTTCCACCTGGAGAATTGGCCACCAAGACGCTTATTAAGCCTGCCCCAACAGGTCCGTGTGCAGCTTCTGATTGGCTAGCCGCGTAGCTGGTGCATTGTTTCGCCTCAAGGCCAGAGACTGGAGCTGTGTGGTCTTCAAGTGACCAGTTCTAGGTTGAACCTGACATTCGCCTTCCACCTCCCCTTCAAATCTCAAAACCTTCTTTGCCCATTCCTAACCCAACAACCCGCGGCGAGGAGATATAAATTCATTCCTTCTCATTCCTCATCTCCTTTTTCTCCAATCTTCGCGAAATCGGTCTCTATTTATTTCTTGCCAAACGTACGGCATACCCAACAAACGTCATCACCTTCCCCCGTCCCTGGCCTGACGTACCATCTCCCCGACAACAGACATCAAATATCACAAGATGCCAGACCATCACGAGCACAAGAAGAAGGTCAACTTGACGTACGTATCTCTCGCGATATAATGACTTGAAAATCCATAGGCCGATGGGACTCTTTACTGACGTTTTTGAATCGACAGCGATGCCTCCGGCGCTGAGGTTAAGCAGGTTCGTCTCCCTTGCTTTCGTTCAGTCTCCGAATTGCTTCGAGCTCATCAAACTGACTATTGAATCCAGGAAAATGACACTGCTACCGCCATCCTCAAGAAGAAGAAGAAGCCCAATCAGTTGATGTTCGTGTTTCCCCCTCTTTCCCTAGGCCGCAACTCCACAATATCCCCATACTAACGCGCTTCTCGCTAGGGTAACCGATGCCACCAACGACGATAACTCCATCATCGCCCTTTCCGAGGCTACCATGGAGAACCTACAGCTCTTCCGTGGCGATACTGTCCTTGTGCGCGGAAAGAAGAGGAAGGACACTGTCCTCATCGTCCTTGCCGACGAAGATCTCGATGACGGCAGTGCCCGCATCAACCGAGTTGTCCGACACAACCTCCGAGTCAAGCATGGCGACATGATTACTATTCAGCCTTGCCCAGATATTAAATACGTGAGTAAACCCGAAGTTCCGGGGCGTAAGTCATAATTTGGACGATCGCCGTTACTGACCCATTCCCATGTTACAGGCCAAGAGAATCGCAGTCCTCCCCATCGCGGATACCGTAGAAGGCATCACTGGCTCTCTCTTCGATGTTTTCCTTGCCCCTTACTTCCGAGAGGCCTACAGGCCCGTTCGCCAAGGCGATCTTTTCATTGTTCGAGGTGGTATGAGGCAGGTTGAGTTCAAGGTTGTAGAGGTGGATCCTCCGGAGTACGGTATCGTCGCTCAAGATACTATCATTCACTGCGAGGGCGAGCCCATACAACGAGAGGATGAAGAGAACAACCTTAATGAGGTCGGCTACGATGATATCGGAGGATGCAGGAAACAGATGGCTCAAATCCGTGAGATGGTTGAACTGCCCCTCCGGCATCCTCAGCTGTTCAAGTCGATCGGTATCAAGCCTCCTCGAGGTGTCCTGCTTTACGGACCTCCCGGTACCGGTAAAACGCTCATGGCCCGCGCCGTTGCCAACGAGACAGGCGCCTTCTTCTTCCTTATCAACGGTCCCGAGATCATGAGTAAGATGGCGGGTGAGTCAGAGTCCAACCTCCGAAAGGCTTTCGAAGAGGCCGAGAAGAACTCGCCAGCCATCATCTTCATCGACGAGATCGACTCGATTGCCCCCAAGCGTGACAAGACCAACGGAGAGGTCGAGCGCCGTGTTGTGTCTCAGCTCCTCACCCTCATGGATGGCATGAAGGCCCGCTCCAACGTTGTCGTCATGGCTGCGACCAACCGCCCCAACTCGATCGACCCTGCCCTCCGTCGATTCGGCCGCTTCGATCGCGAGGTCGATATTGGTGTTCCCGACCCGACCGGCCGCCTCGAGATCCTTCAGATCCACACCAAGAACATGAAGCTCGGTGACGACGTCGATCTGGAGCAGATTGCTGCCGAGACTCACGGTTATGTCGGCTCTGATATTGCCGCGCTTTGTTCCGAGGCTGCCATGCAGCAGATTCGTGAGAAGATGGATCTCATTGATCTCGATGAGGATACCATTGATGCCGAGGTTCTCGACTCTCTCGGTGTTACCATGGAGAACTTCCGATATGCTCTTGGCGTCTCCAACCCCTCGGCCCTTCGCGAGGTTGCCGTCGTCGAGGTTCCCAACGTTCGCTGGGAAGACATCGGTGGTCTCACCAACGTCAAGCAGGAGCTCATGGAGAGTGTTCAGTACCCCGTCGACCATCCCGAGAAGTTCCTCAAGTTTGGCATGTCTCCTTCCCGAGGTGTGCTCTTCTACGGTCCTCCTGGTACTGGTAAGACGATGTTGGCCAAGGCTGTCGCCAACGAGTGTGCTGCCAACTTCATCTCCGTCAAGGGTCCTGAGCTTCTGAGCATGTGGTTCGGTGAGTCGGAGAGCAACATTCGTGACATCTTTGACAAGGCTCGTGCTGCCGCGCCCTGCATTGTCTTCCTCGACGAGTTGGACTCGATCGCCAAGGCTCGTGGTGGAAGCGTTGGCGATGCCGGTGGTGCCTCTGACCGTGTGGTCAACCAGCTTCTTACTGGTAAGTTCTTTTTCTTCCCTCTTTTTTTAGCCTCCGCAATAACCGAGATGGCATTGTGAATGGTACTAACGGGTCTCGATAGAAATGGACGGAATGACTTCCAAGAAGAATGTCTTTGTTATTGGTGCGACCAATAGGCCCGAGCAGCTCGACCCTGCCCTCTGCCGTCCCGGTCGTCTCGACTCTCTCATCTACGTTCCTCTCCCTGATGAGGAGGGCCGCCGAAGCATTCTTGCGGCTCAGCTCCGCAAGACTCCTGTCGCCTCGGATGTTGACCTCGACTTCATTGCTTCTAAGACGCATGGATTCTCCGGTGCCGATCTGGGTTTCATCACGCAGCGAGCCGTCAAGCTTGCCATCAAGGAGTCTATCGCAGCCGATATTAAGCGAAGCAAGGAGCTTGAGGAGGCGGGTATGGAGGTTGACGAGGAGGAGGAGGCTGAGGACCTCGTGCCCGAACTCACCCGTCGCCACTTCGAGGAGGCTATGCAGATGGCCCGCAGGTCCGTCAGTGACGTTGAGATTCGCCGATACGAAGCGTTCGCGCAGCAGATGAAGAACGCCGGCCCCGGAGCTTATTTCAAGTTCCCCGAGGGTGGTGTTGATGGCGGTGCGGGCGCCGGTGCTGGTGGCAGCGGCAACGACTTTGGCGACGCTGGAAACGACGACGATCTCTACGAGTAAAGGCGCGGTGGAGAGTAATACCAATTAGAGAGGCACATGGTGGCTCGCGGTCAGGAGCATGGTTTTCCTATCTTTTTTTTCGGATGATGGACTGGCGGACCTTAGACGCACAGGGTTGTAACAGGTAGATCAGGTCTCTTGTTTTTTTTCCTCAAGAATTTCCAGTTCAAAATTGAGCCCTCAATATTAGCCATGATTGTGACCGTGATAACTATGTCCTAATGTACTATCATTGTACTTCGTAACACCCAATTGTTGATTGATATATTGGACACTCAATGCAAACGAGAAATGTGGTGGCTGATTATGGTCCCTACTGTCTGCCGCTTGTGATTTAACTACATTTGATGTTGCCCCGCCCCCACCAAACATCGAACTTCGAATCCTAACTTGACATCGACTTCAACGTCAACAACATCACACAACTCGACATCATTCGCCATGCCGGTAAGCTCCCTGGACGAGATACCTATGTATTCAATGTTCCTAGGCTTTCTCGGAGTTGCTAACCGTCCATGATCCCTAGTTAATTATAATATCTGGCCTGCCAACATCAGGCAAAACCACGCGAGCAAAGCAGCTGGAAACCTACCTGCGATCGCGCATCGAGCAAGGCAGCAGCAGCAATAACGAAACCACCAGTGCCACCCCATCTAGTGCGCCCAAGTACCGCATCCACGTTATATCGGACGACAGCCTCTCGATATCGCGCAGCGTGTACGACCTGTCGTCGGTGCCGGCGCACGCTCGCTCGGCCAACGCCTCAGAGAAGGATGCGCGGGCCGCGCTATACGGGGCTGTAAAAAGAGTATTATCGGACAGGGATATTGTAATCCTGGACGGGTTGAATTACATTAAGGGGTGGAGATATCAGCTGCACTGCGAAGCGAAGGCTGTGAGGACGCCGAGTGTGGTTTTGCAGATCGGGTGTGAGGTTGAGAGGGCGAGAGGGGTGAACGAGGAGCGGTTGAGGAGGAGGGAGAAGGAAGAGAGTTCGGAGCAAGATGCGCCGGAGGGCTACGAGGTGGGGAATTGGGAGAATTTGGTGTTTAGGTACGAGGAGCCGAACCCGATGACGAGGTGGGACAGCCCGCTCTTCGCGCTCGTGTGGGACGACGACGAGGAGAGGACAAAGCAGGTATTCGACTCCCTATGGGATGCCATTGCGGGCGAGGGACGCAAGGTGGTCAAGCCTAACCAGGCGACTGTGCAGAGGGGGAGGGACGCGTCGGGGGATTACCTGTACGTGCTTGATAGGGAGACGCAAGACATCGTCAAGACGGTGCTGGAGGCGCAGGGAGAAGATGGCGGCGGCGAGGTGAGGATCGCGAGGTCGTCTAGCGGTGGGGATGATGACGCGCTTGTGGTGCAGTTGCCTGGGGAGAAAGTTGGGTTTCCGCGGTTGCAGAGGTTGAGGCGGGCGTTTATTGGGTTGACGAGAGGGGGGATTGGGCTTGAGGGGGTGGGGAATCTAGGGGCTAGTAGGATCCGGGAGAGCTTTGTTGGGTATTTGAACGATGCTTTTGAGAGTGAGGGATAGGTGTGAGAGGAGTATCGAGGGCCGGTTTAAAAGTTGTTGATGTACAAGGTTGGTTCTGGATTAGACTTTTCATCTTGTGATACCTCTCGGGCTCTTTCCTCAGTCGAAACTCATGGTCTATGTCTTCTTGTATTTACATTTATCATGCCCGCTATATCTCGATTCTAAGAAACATCATCACGAAACAAGAGTCGACTCCCAACTGTTCCCAGCTCCATATCACCTGGTAACCCTATTTCCGAAGTAGGATGGCTTTCCAGGAATATCCATCCATACCCATCCCTAGCCAAGCATAAGCCCTCCAAAATAACGCCCAAAGGTACCCAAGACCACATCCAACATCGTCTCTCTACATGACAACGCAGCACACCTTCTCCAACTTCTTGAAGATGGCACCAACGAGATCGAACTCCTCCTCCTTCTGGGGAGGATGACCCTGACCACCGTGATGCTCTTGGTACCCACCATGAGGCTTCCCATGATACTGCTGCTGTCCACCATGCTCCGGGCGATGATACTCCGAACCCCCACCATGCGCACCGCCCTTCAAATCAACAAATATCCTCCCTTCGTTATCCTCCGTCCTATAGTGCAACCCCATCTCCCTACAAACCTGCTCAACCCTCGGCCGAATCTTCTGCACATGATTCGCCGAATGATTCCCCTTCCCCACGATGACGTGCAAGTGCGACGCGCCACGCGACCTCTCCGCCCTGATCCGGTCCTCGAGGATCCGCTCGGCCTCCTCTACGAAGAGGCCGTGCAGGTCAATGCAGTCCTCGTCGACGCGGCCCTCGGCGTTGTTCTCGCGGAAGATGAAGTCAGCGGCTTGGCGGTTGTAGTCGTCCATTTTGGAGGCGTGGCGCTTGCCCTCGTTGGAGAGCTCTTTGGCTCGGGCGCCATCGCCGTTTTCGTAGGCTTGACGCGACTTTGGATTTACCAAAAAGGCTGTTGTTAGTTTTATTTCTATTCTCTTTTTTTTTTCCCGCTTTCTTCTTCACACGGCTTGGGGTTCCAGCCAAGAGAGTAGCAGATCGGGAGGGAAGGCGAGAGAGAGATGAGAGGAGGGTTACACATACGCGAGCGAAACAGTCGTTGCGCTTCTCAGCCTCCTCTCGCGCTAGGTCCCGAAGGCGGTCATACTCAGCCTCGATGTCTACGCTGGTGCGGTGGTTGAAGGCTACGGGACCACCCGGAGAATATGTCAGTCTCGAAAAAGGGAATTTTGCTTTTCTAGTGCTCTTCGTTCGGTCCGATATCACTGTTCCCTTGCTTTGGATCCGGGCCAAATCTCCACATATTGGAGTGCTGACGTTTGGATGAGAAGGAGATGGACTTGAGGTGTTTTGAGGGACGTACCGTGTCCGCCTAACCTGGTTAAAGGAATTGACATTTTGTTCTGATACTTTTTATTTCTTGTCCGAAGGCGCGATTGAGACTTATTATGAGACTACAAGAGTAGGCTGCGGATGGGAAAGAAGTGGCGGTCACTTGTGAGACTCTATTGAGATTGATGTTTGGAGGGCCTGCCACGCGTTCACTACTGCAACCAGTGCCTTACTCCGTACTCCGCCAGGCTAACTGACGGGTTCAGCTCCCCCCGACGATTCCAGCCTTGCTTGCTTCTTTGGTGGGCAGTGCCGTTGGCTGCAATATCGTCCTGGTTCCTAATTGGCTCTCGGCAGTGAGCACCCGGAGCCGCAGGATGTCACGGCGAAATTTACGGTGATTTGACCATCAAAACTTCCTCCCAGAGACCATCTTCAGCTTCTCGATGTCTTCCGATTCCTAAGCGGATGGATTCGGATTTCGAGGTTGCCATCGGCATCTGCTCAGAGAGTCGGCGGACCTGGGAGGAAGTCACGTGCAAGGGGCTTTCTCAAGATCCGTGATGGGCATGGATCATCAATGGATCATCGTGTGTGGGGACAAACCTGGAAATTCATCCAAACTAGCCCCGTTCAGGAGGAGATTACAAACCGGTTCTATCCTACGCTAGAGTTGCGCTGGTTGCGAGACCTTGCAAGGAAGAAAATAAGACAAAAAATCGAGCGTTCTTCCAGCACGTGTTCCCTATCGAGGTGGTACTGTGTGTGCACGACGAAGTTGGTGATGCCGGGATGACGCTGTCACTACCCGTCTTTTCATCTTAGGGGATCCTATATATATCGGTTTATGGAAAGGGGTATTTGCTGGGCAAGACAGCTTTACAAGTACGAAGTAGCGTGAAGTACGAATCAACATTACTCTGTGCTGGAAGGTGTGGGCATTCCAGACCAGTTCATGACACGCTAGCAATATCAAAAAAACCTAGTTGATCAGCTAGTGCAGGGGTTCTTCGGCGCCTCCTCCGAACATGATCGACCTTCTCTCAACGACTCTCTTCGTCGATGGCTTTTCTCGCAAGGAGAGACCAGGAAAACGAGAGTATTATTTGACATACTATGGAGAACAGTTCGTCTCAATGGTGACTGGACTCCAGGGTCCTTCGAGTGCGTTATTACGATGAAATTCGTTTCTGTAGCGAGCCGTTTTGACCATTGCTCTCTGCGCCTGAAGCCTGCGGCGACAATGCGGATCTCTGACGAGCAAGATTAGAGAGGCGACCAAAAGGTGAATTAGCATGGCAATGGCAGTGTACATAGTATGATGAGATGTGGACAGGCTGATGGTGATGCACGACGCTGCAGTATCCCGCCATGGTAATATAAAGCCCATGTGGCAACCCTGCCTTTCGGGATGGCAAAAGCTCGAGATCAGCCCGGACACTGTCTTACGCGGAGTGCTTCGTCCTCTGTCTTCTCCTTTTGTACGAGGTATGTACCCCGTCCAACATAATTATGGCTCCGCAGACGAGGGAGAAGCTGCGGTTGAAGAATACTACGAAATAGCTTTATTACTGCCCCTTCCCATAGAGAAACATCAAAAGATGACCTCGCAAGGAGTGCACCTGTGTTGGAATGCGACGGAGAGTTTCCCTTGCTGTTGGTTGGCTGGACACACCGATGGGTCGTGCTGGAAGCGAAATTTGTGTTGCCAGATCTGGAAGGTTAAGGAAGGGTGGTACACCTTGGATCTGCTTTCTCACGCAATTTAAGACAATTAAGTAATCCAACGGACAAGGTTAAGGGAGTTTGTTGATGCAAGCTAGTGAGCTGGGTTAGAGACCGGTTCCGGTACCCGAAGCTCGAAAGGGTAGTGAATGGGCTCCAATTGATGGTGTTCTCGAAGATAAACGAGCTCACAGCTCGGCAGACTCCTAACAGTGTGTTCCGTAGCCAGATGGCCTCATAGACGCTCTAAAACTCCCTAGGGCTCTCACATCATAGACTTGGAATGCGGGTCGGAGGTGGCAACAACTCTCTCTCTGCGAGAAAGCATCTGCTGTCGAAAAGGGGTCTGTGGGTCTTACTTCTTCTGGTCTGGCTAGGTCAACTTAATTCCGCAGAAGACTCTCACGAACGTCGGAGGTTTGAAGCCCCGTTGGGCTTCGTAGATGGCGGTTGCTTCCAGGTATCCGTCAATGCCATCGTCATCCACAGCGGAAAAGAATCAAATGTTAGGCCCTTAGCGAACCAGTCCATTGGGACTCTTCTGCAATGGCGGAATAGGTGGTATCGAGACTCGGAAGAGACGCAAGAGATGCAAGACGTGATCAAACCCCGTCATTGGCTCGATTGACAATTAGACACCCCCTTCTCGGGTGAATAAAACGCCACTTTGGAGAGCCCATCGACCGTGGTTATCACCTTCGTACGACATTGAACCTTCGATCAAAGTGGTTGACAATTGAGCCATTTCAATTATTGGAATCCTCCCAGTTGTCGAGACATGGTTGATGAGGTAATCCTCGGGCAATGGGAGACGGTCATCATTGTTCCTTCCAACCCTTGAATGTAGCTAGGTACAAGGACAGAGTACAAAGTAGTGTACACAACCTTGGTATATCCACGACTGTCCTCGAAGCTGGGCAAACTTGATTTATCAGGTGGACAAGAAAAGATTTGGACATCGGCGACCCCAGCGAACCGGATGCGGCAAAGGCGACGATCTGCTAATTCTCCAGCGACTAAATACGTATTAGGGATCAAGACTAGCTCCGTTTAGTAGACTTTAGCGACCTGCCGGGCAAATTGATAATGGGGAAGCTCTACACTAATGTACGTGCATACAAGGTGTATCCCGACGACAAGGTCCCAGGTCCAGGGGTAAAGGCACACTTCACTTCAACGTTCCTCCGAAGCAATTTGATACCGAGGTACTTCGTAGTGCAAGTGGCTTCGCGTACGAACGACAGAAGGAGACGCCATCCAACAAATATCAAATCAATCCCTATGCGTAGTGTACTTCAATGTTGTAGTTTACGAAGCATTCAGCGGATGGAGTTTACGAAGTACTCCGTAATATGCAGGGTCCTGGATGGGGCATGGAGCATTGGAGATGCAGCCTTTTGCGCGCTAATTTTCAGATCTCCTGATAAAAGACTAACAGACCCCAGTATCGTGCAGATCCGTTGCAAAGGGAAACTAGACTTCTTCTTTCCTGAGCATGGATGATTTCGAACATTTCGCTGACCAGTCACGTACGGAGTACAAGTACACGACATCCTTAGTATACTTCGGAGTTTGTGGGCTTCGTACTAGTACGAGCGGCCTGCAGAGGCTGTCCACTATAGGCAAGTAGTGCACACTAGAGCCCTCGATGGCTACGGAACATTAGTGTACACTACACTATCAGTACTATACACCATCCACGACATAGTCGCCAACATTAATACTTCCCAGGTGCCAAGACGAGTCATTCTCCAGCTTCGCATCGAGTCTTGCACCGACAAGTACGAAGGGATGCCCAGATGGCTCCACGAAGGAATACACTGCATGCATTTTGCTTACGCCGCTCCTCCGAGGACCGCTTCCCCTGTCAGGGAACGCCACCAGTGGACTACCAGATACTATGCAAACATGTGGGAACGGTGAAACGGAAGTGGATTCGCGCCACGATTCGAGGGATTGGGATGAAGATGTGATAGCGTCCAAGTTATTATGTTCTAGACGTTTTCCCCTCGGGGGATAGGATGTGCAAACATCCATCCAATCGCCTGTTCGCTTCTTCGCTTCTTCGCATCCTCGCTTATATGCCCCCCGGGCCAATTGCGGGGTCGTCGATCTTGCCTCAGGAAGGTCACGAACCTGAAGCTTCCGTTTATCCATCACGGGCGGCTTCCATGGGAGCGGCCCCTTTTCCGAGATCCAAACACGGTGCGTATCAAGTCAAGGATAGGACCGTAGTCAATCACAGGGTTCTGAGGAATCACCCGGATCTCGGACCTGGAAAACCCGGCTACCAAGTCAACTTGATACAACGACACGTTCGAAGGACGAAGGACGAAGGACAGAAGTTGGACTTTGATCTTGAGCTCCTCTCCGGGCAACATCTCACATGGCAACACCAACCAACTAGGGATGCACGACTTGGACTACACTAGTCCTGCCGAGAAGCCATTCTCAGCTGCCGCCTGCACAGGATCGCACGTGGCGGTCTTTTGGCCGTCGTGATTGAATGAGGGCGTGTTCCTGGAGCGTTTAATACCACACGCACCGCCCGGTCCGTCGAAGGAAGCTCGAGTCAGGACCTAGCTGGAATAGAAGCCCCCCAAAGGTCGCCATCGATGATCGTTACGCAGCAATATCAACGTAGGAATAGTGTACTGTACGAAGTACATACAAAGTCATGCATGACCCACTCCCAAGACCCTGACTAGTCTCTAAGGGGGCATGCTAAAGCTCACAGAGTCTGTGGGGTCAATTACCTGTAGCGTATGAAGTAGTGATGTAGATCAATGATCAATGGGCTAGTGTTTGTTGATGCTGGTCAACGATAGTTTACTACCAGCTGATGAAACAGCCTGGCTAGGTATACGAAGTAGGTAATGTATTGATGATCGCTTTAGAACATCAAGTCGAAGAAAGCCTGGTATCCTCGATGGGACTTGTTGAGTGTACGAAGCACGAGTAATGGGAGGACACAAGACAACTAAACCTATACATACATTTGGGAGCAGGATCAAAGTGAGTTGTGATCAATCTAACGCCTACTCACACACTAATACACTTTGGAGTGGAATAGAAGACTTGACATGCTCCCATGCGCCATGAATTGGTGGTTTGATCGCACGATTTTAAAGCATATTACTGAGTACTTGTCCACTTCCACTGCGACTGAGCTGGCATCAGTGGATGCTAATGCCTCGAAGCGGTGGATGTACCTGTACTTCATGGGTCGTGAGTTACTGTTTGGAGCACCATGAAATGGCTTCTTTGATCGAGTTGTTCGCATCAATAACCTCTCCATCAAAACTCATCTTCGTCTTCATCCGGCCTTGAACTGTTTAGGTTTCGACAATCAATGACGATTTACGCCGCCCGCCAGGACTCACATGCCGTAACCAAGGATAAATGGTGAAATCGGTAGTTGAGGATCGCCTATAAAATTTCCCGAAGATTTCATCAATGATCCTTCCTTGAGTTCGTCGGAAGGGGGTGTAATTGAAACCTCAACACGGCAGGCATGTTTCGTCGTCGGGCAAGCCCCCTCGCCATTGAGATACGGACGCAGTCCAACTATAAGTTTAGCATGATGTGTGACATTGGCACCAGCTGTTCACCACGTCTTTCGTCATTAGGGTGCTTCTTACCTCACGAGGCGGCTGGCATTTGCTGGCAAGTTGTGCCTACGAAGTGCTTATACAGCACGGAATTCGGGAATGAACGATGAACATCTGCTGTGGTTGCAGCGCAATGTTCGGCTCCCATTCCTCCTTACTCAGTACTATTTCCTACCAAAGGACGTATGAAGCAAACCATCTATCGACAGGCGCGGTGCTAATCAATTGATGTATTTTGTACGTTATAAGACAAGTACTTCGTTCCGGTTGCATTGGCCAGGCATATAATTTTCGAATTCACTGGACCAAAGGATCATCTTCCTGCAGAGCATGATTTTCAGAAATACCAGGTGAATCCTTGAGTTCTGGAACAGGAATTATGGATGCAAGGAATGGACGAGAGATTACCCACCTGGGAGACTTCACGCAAGGGTTCGCCGCTTCTCAAGGGGGGAACTATTGCTGGTTTGAGCGCGCCGTTTCTTCGAGGCGTGAGAAAAGAATGGGAAACACTGTGTACAAATGTTGCCAGCGATATCCATCAATCAAGGACAAAACATGAGGTCACAACACAGTGTCCTTCCAGGGAAAAAAATACTAGTCACTTACACACGGACCCGCGGAGTGGAGCTTCCTTTGTACACAAGCTCCATTCATCCTCATCTCCTTCAAATACGCATCCCTTTTTCATTTTGTACGAAGTACTCCTTATACGCTACAATGTAATTCTACCTTCGTCGATGTATCATCCCTCTCCTGGACCGGCGAATGGTACTTCGTACAGACGCTGATGCCGGGTTCGACTGTACCGGTACTTCTATCCCTGCATCCTCTGAGCTGCAGGCGGGTCCCTCCGTAAACCAGAACTGGGAATACTCTCGCCAGGAGCAGAAGTGTACCTCTCCCGATGTTGTTGTCCGCAATGGTACAACTTTCAACGGGCTCATAGGTAGTGCTAAGACCCCCTAACCAAGCTAATGTAACTCTTCTCTAGGCAATTCCTGCGATGCCCATAGTGCAGCGTAGTGTACGAAGTATGTCGTGGATGAGGCACGCCTGGTATTATGTGGGACAGCGGTTTCCCCAGCCATCTCAAACTCTTGCTTCGTACTTGGTAAGGACGAAGTACACTGCCAAACCTGCACGCCTCAATGGGACTGTCCAGCACGAGACGGTATTTTCCAATTCGCCCGCCCTTATTTTGCATCTCCCCTGAGCCATGACAATTGGACTGTTGGAAGTCTCCGCCATTTGATCTCCCTCTCGTCCTATGGCAAGACTGGTTTCTCTTCTCCACCTCCAATAATACTACCCCCCCCTTCCCAAATAACCAGGACCCCATCGACAACCCCCGACCCGAAAAACCTCCCTTTTTCGCCTCCTGCATTTCGCCTTCCCCTTCACATTCTCCCTCCCACAATCTATCTGACGGTGAAACTATCCCGCGAAGTTCATTGCATTCTCGCATCCACTTCCTAAACGACATCTTGATTGCAGGTGAGTGTTAGAACAGGAAGCTCGTTCCTTTCTTTCTCTCTACATTAGAAAACGCAAAGATCAGAGATCAAGCTAGCTTCACATCATCTTCCATCCATCCGCGGTGTGTGTGTGGTGCGATTCTTCCCTCGATCCTTTCCAGCTGTCTTTGTTTCCGACCCCAGCCCCGACACAGCAGCCTTTTCTTCCTGTTCCTGTTCCCCCCATCTTTGAAACACAACACCCATTGTGTATTGTGTGTCGTGTCTGTCTCCGGATATTTCGCTTTCGCTACCGTCATCCTGAACTCTGTTCTTCATCTTTTTATCCTCTCTTATTTCCTTATTTTCCGTTCCCGGTCGCGTCCAGTCGCAAACACAAGACCTCGTCCTTGACTTCGTCCCTATTCAAAATCTAACGCCAAGTTACTCTCAGGTCGATTGACGGATAGCGACAACACCGACATCAGAACACGAATTTCGGATAGCCAGCTTGCGGCCATTCGATCCCATCACCTTAATTCCATCGATTCGCCGAAGGTTAAAAGACTACCGTCACAATGGGTTGCGGAATGAGCACGGAGGAGAAGGAGGGCAAGGCCCGCAACGAGGAGATTGAGAACCAGCTCAAGAAGGATAAGTTGATGCAGCGCAATGAGATTAAGATGCTCCTTTTGGGTACGATGCAATCCCGATTCCTCGTGGTTATTATTTTCTTCTTTTTCCCCCCATTTTCTCCACGTTATTTCGGGCCTCAATTCGACGGGAACAGTCGTCCCGGCGAGCGTGTGCCATGCTTGACGACACGACGACATCCGATCTCCACGCGAACTTGAAAACGTGACTAACGCTGGTCCGATTATTTAGGAGCTGGTGAATCCGGGAAGTCGACTATTCTGAAGCAGATGAAGCTCATTCACGAGGGTGGCTACTCTCGCGATGAGAGGGAATCTTTCAAGGAAATCATCTTCAGCAACACTGTCCAGTCCATGCGTGTCATCCTCGAAGCCATGGAGACCCTCGAGCTCCCTCTCGATGAGAAGCGTACCGAGTATCACGTCCAGACCATTTTCATGCAACCCGCTCAGATCGAAGGCGATGTTCTCCCCCCTGAGGTCGGAAACGCTATTGAGGCGTTGTGGAAAGACCGTGGTGTGCAAGAGTGCTTCAAGAGGTCGAGGGAGTACCAGCTGAACGACTCGGCGAGATAGTATGTTGCGAGTTCCTGCTCCGGCCCCTTTGGGCATCCGATTCTGCCATTTCCCCCCGATATGGAAGATGCCATCAAATTTTCACTGCTAACTAATTTGGATTAGCTACTTCGACAACATCGCGAGGATTGCGGCCCCTGACTACATGCCCAACGATCAGGACGTGCTACGATCTCGTGTCAAGACGACCGGTATCACTGAGACGACATTTATTATCGGCGATCTCACCTACCGCATGTTCGACGTCGGTGGTCAGCGATCCGAGCGAAAGAAGTGGATTCACTGCTTCGAGAATGTCACCACCATCCTGTTCCTTGTCGCCATTTCCGAGTACGATCAGCTCCTCTTCGAAGACGAAACCGTCAACCGTATGCAGGAGGCCCTGACGCTATTCGACTCTATCTGCAACTCGCGATGGTTCATCAAGACTTCCATTATCCTGTTCCTCAACAAGATCGATCGTTTCAAGGAGAAGCTTCCCACGAGTCCCATGAAGAACTACTTCCCTGACTACGAGGGTGGTGATGACTATGCTGCCGCTTGCGATTACATTCTCAACCGCTTCGTGAGCCTCAACCAGCATGAGACCAAGCAGATTTACACGCATTTCACCTGCGCGACAGACACAACCCAAATCCGGTTCGTCATGGCCGCTGTTAATGGTAAGCGCAATAGTCTCTCCCTCCCCTTACCGCTTCTTGAAGGGCCGCGTTTCTAACCTAAATGCATATAGACATCATCATCCAGGAGAACCTCAGGCTGTGCGGTTTAATCTAAGTTCGACCACCCTCTCCACGTTTGATGAGAGATGAAAGAGCACACCAAAGACAGTCCGCTATACTGCGTTTCCTTTAATTATGAAATGGCTAGATGCGTCTGAGGGCACCCTCTAGCTTACGACACCCACCACCATCTATCACCCCTTGTACCGAAAAATCTCGACGATTCCCCGAAAATACCCGTGCTTGATCATACTCCCGGCGAATCCGGTTGTCCTTTGTTGCCATTTTCCAGATTCAGTGTCTCTGTTATGCGGAATACAGTCGCCTGTGAGGCTGAGAATATACCTTTATCCTAGTCAGAAACTAGGTCGTCTTGAGCATATTTTCTTCTTTGTTCGTGTCTATTTATTTTCAGTGTTTTTCTTTTTCTCTCTATTTTCTTCAGTCTGTCAGGAAAAAGCGAAGGAGTGCCAGAGAACCCAGCGGGGTACGTGTCGCCAGTCTTCTACAGCCCGACGCGGAGATCTGGATCATGGACAGGCGCGGCGTAGGATCAGGTGGAAGGGCGAAACTTTGGGAGATCCAACGAGTGAGATGCAAAACGGTCCTAGGAGGAAGAAGGGCAGGTATCGCATCCGAGAAATGGTGCGTGCGTGTATGAGGAAACAAAGGGCGGTTACCTATTTTGTTTAATTACGACAGCCTTTTTTTCTACCATTTTGTTTCATCTTTTTTCTTTTTCTTTTCTTATTGTATTGTATGGCCATTTTCTCTCTTTTTGCGTGTCGACTGCAGAATTCTTCGAGTAGACAATCGATTCCCCCTTTTTTTTGGACGTCCATGATTCGGTTCCATTCTTGATGTGAGGAGAGATGGTGAGAGCTTGAATGTGTTATAGTTGTAGTTGAGTAGTATCCTCACGATTCTGCCCTTCAAGTATCCTGATGTCTTTGCCTCTGTAGATTTGACCGGATATCATCGGCGTGGCCCTAAATATCTCCTTTCAACTACCTCGTCCGAACCTGGTCCCAGCATCTTGTCACATAGCAAGGGTTCATCCTACGTGACGTGTTCTCGATTAGAAGGGGACGTTCTTGATCTCTTTCCTGCAGTTCTTATTCTCTTCGTTCTTCCTCCTTTCTCTGTCTGGTCAAATATGACTCCGCATCGTAGAGCTTGAGCATTGGGATGACGTCAAGAAAACGCGAGGACCCTGCGTCTCGTAGTGGTGTTTGGCTTTTCTATCTCTCTCGACACCTTCCTTAGGCCATTCCCGTTAAGGTTTCTATCTCTTTTTCTTGCTGGGTCTTTGGTGTTTCTACAGATGCGGTAAGATATTTTGGCCTGAGAGGTCAGAGAAAGTGAAGGATATATGAGTTCTGTTTAGAAATTCGATGTTACCAGCGGGCTATCCCGCGAAAATGGTCCTCGGAGATTCGAGAGAGCGTGTATCGCGTTATGTATCGCGTTACGGGTAGCTTTGGAATGTTGTGTGGTGAGGGATGAGATACATTTTTTTGGTCCTGGACTCGACTAACAAGGGCTTTATATATCTGGTCAAGAAAAGGCGTGGGGATAGAATCGACATTGGGGTTGAGCAAAACTCAGATCAAGGATAGAAACAGATAACAAAGTAACGCTACCTACCAATTCCATTCAACTACGTCTAGCGATATTCTACCAGTCCCTCCCTCTCACAACATCATCCATATTCCCTTATCCTCCCCTCCCTTAGGAAAAAAAGTTTCCATCTCATGAATAAAATTCCTGCCACCTATATCCATCACTTCTGTCTCGACAAAAAGGCGATAAGAACAGACGAGTTTCTTAGGATGACACCAAAACAAAGACTGAAGAAAATGGTCACATAAAGAACACAAAGACCCTTATATATGTTCGGACCAAAAGACACACACCATAAGCTCCTACCGGATAACAATGGGGAAAGGGGGGCCTGGGTAAAAAGCGGAGGACGGGAACTGGAAGAAAAAACAACAAGGCCAACGCCACAACGCCAACCTCGTGAAGAAGGGGGTGTTGATTCAGGGGGTGCTTTCTTCCTAAGAGAAAAAAAAGGATAAAAAGGAAAAGAAGGGCCAATAGTAATTATGAAAGGTTTTACCCCCCTTTCAAAAGGTTAAGAAAGGTGTCGTAGTCAGTAAGCATACTATGTTCCGTCTTCGTCTCCTCCCTCCATCGTAGCATCGGGTACAGTTCCAGGTTCGGGGACCTGCTGACGAACTTGCGCCTGGGGGTGGGAAATGGCCCTCATGTCCTGAGCCCTCTGGTGTGGGTGTTGTTGCGGCTGGCCAAACTGGTGGTGTTGCTGCTGCTGGTGGAGCTGGGTCTCGGTCTGCATGAGATCCTCGTACTCGAGCATGCTGAGGACGAGCTGCTTGGCGGCGATCTCGACCTTGAGGAGCTGGCGTGCCTTCCGGGTGGTGGCCTCGCGAGCTACGGCCATGGCGCGATCCATGACCACTTTGGCCTCGGAGTCGTAGGCGATGTGGGCGAGCTGGGGGTCATGGGCGAGGACTCCCGGTGGCAGCTGGATGGCGCCAGCGGGTGCCAGTTGAGGCAGACCGAAGCTCGCAGCGGGGTTGGGAGCAGGTGGTAGCACAGCTGGCTGGTGAGCTTGGGGGTTGTTTGTCTCTGGTAGGGTGGCAACAACTGTTAGCAAACATCGAAAACCCAATTGATGATCTCGAAGATGACAAAAAAAGCAGCATCCCAAGAACATGAAAAAAAAGAGGAGATGGGGAGAATAAAAAAGAAAACGCGTACCGTGGAACGAACACCTCGCGCCGCTAGCATTGTACCAACAATTGGCGCAACTGCCACACATCTGACCATCGACAACGACACAAACAGTCCAGGGTCCGTGTCCCTTGTGGCAATTCTTGCACGCGCTAGCCGCTTGCTGACCGGAAACGTGTGCGAGAAGAGCCTCGACGTTGCTGCGCCTGACAAGGTTAAGCTTCTGCTCCTTGCGTCTCTGAACGGCAAGACGACGACCGGGCTGGCTCATAAGGCGCCTCGACAAGGTGCTGGCCGTCTGATCCAAGTCGAGATTATCGTAGCCGCTCTCGCGAGCAAACTCGGCAGCCGTCTGCACGGGACCGGGCGAGCCAGCCACGACGGCAGCGCTGGCGGCGGCTGCGGCCGCCGCGTCCTGCATCTGCGCGTCCATGTCCTGCTGGGCGAGGGTGGCGAACTGGGCGGTGGTGCCGAAGGCCTGCAGGGCCGGGTGGATGCTTGGGTCGGCGGCGGGGGCCACGTCGGACACGAGACCGAGCTGCTGTCTCTGGTGCTGGACGCGCTGGAGGGCCTGCGCGTCGTCGAGGTCCGGGTGGCTACCGTCGTCTTCCGTCGAGGCGGGGCCCGGGTCGGCGTACAGCTGCTCGTGATCGGGCTTCAGGTCTGATTGCTGCACCTGGTGCTGGAGGTGCTGTTGGTGGTCGTCGTGGGGGGGTTGGCGGTGTGGTCCCTCCTCGTGCTGCTGCTGCTGCGAGGGATCCACGTCCTCGTCTTGTGGGTGGTGGTATTGCTGCGCGTGGGCAGCTGCCGCGAGGTGGTCGACGGCTTCTTGGATTACGGACGGGGGGCGACTCGGGGGGCGTTGCTTGTTGGGTTTCGTGACTTTGTTGGCGCGGCCGCGCATTGAAGATCGCATTGAGGTTCGCATTGGCCCGCCTCAAAGGCCAAGGGGGGTTAGAGGGACAAAAGAGGACAACAGGACAGAAAAGACGGAGTAAAGAAATAAAAAAAAGCTGGGGGATAGCTCGTTGGCTCTACCTTTGCCCCCCGTCACTTATTTTTGGTTCCTCTCACTTTTTTTTCGCGAGTTGCAAATGGCGGGAGCAGATGGAAAAAGAATCTGCCAGCTGGCCTGGGGTGGTGGGTTGATGGTGTTTTTTTTTTTCTTCTCTTTTTTTTGACTCTGCCGTTTTGCCTGCAGAACGCTCGAGCCATATTTGGTCGAATGTGAGGCAATGTTTTGATTGAGCCCAGCCACTTGATGACTCAGCAAGATTTTACTCCACAATCGCGTTGCATTTTCGCACCAGTTTGTTGCACCAATTTCGTGCCAGTTGTCGCTGCCTGTGTGCATGATCTCATTGGTAAGCCGACTTTACGTCATGGTTAGGGACAGGCCGTGCCTTCCACCGCAGTTCAGCATGGATTGGGAAGGATCAAGAAGCAGCGGTCAAACTGTAGATTTGGCGGTCAGTCCAACCTGAACCAGCCGGCGTTCGTTCGGTGGTCCTGGAGTTTGCAAAATACTTCGTACTTTTCTTTCAGTGACAGTTTGATTTTGATACTTTTGTCAAATCGTACCCGGCTCCATTGTCCGATTGTCAGAGCGCAGGCAGCATTAGCGCCCACCAAGGCTCGTCGTATGCAAGATGCAGATGGCTCCTCTCCCTTGCCAACTTGGGCGAGTCGGTGCCCTGAACGTCGAGTCGGAACGCGCCATTGTCGCTTTCCAAGAAGTTGATCTCGTGATGGGCCAAAAACGAACCGAGAAGGGTTCCCCGTTCGCGTTCCCCGTTCGCCTGCAAAGCAGCAATCAGGTGCTTGACCGTGCTTGACAATTGTGGAAACGGTAGGGTTACACGGCACGAAACATATCACATTTTCCTTATTTCGTACTCCAAAACCTTTCTTAAAGAGGAAAATCTCTCGAAGTGCTTGAACATTCTGTATGGAGGGGAGGCTCGCAGCACTGACCGGTCCCTTTGGCCCGGTTTCTTGGAAACGTTGCTGGCGACGCCGTTAAAACATCCCATCACCTCGATCACCTGCGGTCTTGTCGGATTTTTGAGACTAAGATCGGTGAACCAATCTGGCATGGCTCGACACCCGACGCGAATCTCCAACCTCAAGGCAAAAATTCGAAGCGAATGAGATCTACGTCGGTATTTAGATAAAGTTATAGCTCAATTAATTAAGTAAAGGGGAAGCATGAAATCTCCGACGTTGGAAAAAATTTGGAAAATAAAAATTGGGCAGGCGACACGACAAGATTTGATTGAGAATTGAGTTTCGTTTCCTTCTCGAATATAAAACACCGCCAGTACAACAGAAGAAGAAGGGCAGGCAACCTTTTTACGAGTTGTATTATCTAGGCATTCATATTTAAGCTCCGACGCTGCAAGGTTCCCCTCTTTCTCTTCCCAACTATTTAAGGACGAGGAAGAGACAGAGACAGAGAGCAAGAGAAAGCGAAAGATCAACGAACAGGAACACAGAATACACCTCCTCTCAGACCAAACGACATAATATCCCAAAAGATGCCCGTCACAATCAAGCCGTCCGATCGCACGACGGACACCTACAAGCCCGACGCCCGCCTCCACAAGTCCATCTCCTCCCCCGAGCGCCTCCTCTACCACACCCTCGCCGACGCCGCACACAAGGACAACTCGCCGCCTCCGCGAAAAATCGTCAAGAGCTCCTACACGAACCTCTCCCCCGCCCACCCGCCCGCCTTTTCCTCCAAGAATGGCTTCGTGCACGCCTGCGTCGAGGCCTACAACCAGCACCTACACCTGCACATCCGCCCAGAGGACGTGTGGTTCTCCATCCTGACGCAGGTGAGCACCTACGTCAACGCGCACTCGGAGGAACTCAGACACATCTTCGTGAGCCACGAGGGGCAGAAGGAACTAGAACTTGTTGACAATACGCTACCGCCCGACATTACGCTGTGGGACCATGGCGATCTAGCGTACCGCATGAGTAAGATTATGGCGGGGAACATCCACGACGAGGAGTGGAGGGAGTGGATTCTGCCCCAGTTCACGACGACGACGAAGGCGGACCAGGCGGTAGCCAGTATGATTTTCATGGGCACGCTGCAGAAATATTTCATCTATACCTGGGTCACGAGGTGCGGACTACCCGCCGTGACGCTGCACGGTACGGCGCAAGACTGGAGGGCGATACGAGCCAAGTGCAAGGCTCGACTTCCCCTCCTCGGCCCTCAGTGTAAAGAGTGGCTTTCCGTCCTCGAACCCGTCCTCGATGGGTTCGTGGAGAGCTTCAAGGCGCCTGAGTCAGACCGGACGAAGACCTTTTGGCAGCACATCGTTAACAAGCACTATCCCAACGGCAGCGGCACGCTGACGTATTCGGGTTGGATCACGGCGTTTTGTTACTGGAATGAGGATGGCCAGTGTTTACATCGGCCGAGGGGCGAGGACACGAGGCTCATGTTTGGCCAGCTACCCATTGGCTTTACCAAGGTGCCTGTCACACTCGTGGTCGGTGAAGTGTCTTATCCGGTGGAAATTGTTGCTGGGTCTTTGAGTTTCAGGGCATCGGATTCGGCTGTGGGGGATAGGAGCGACGTGAAGCACGAAAAGCTCGACAGTTTACAACCGGAGACTGGATGGATCATGTATCAGAGCTAAGGGCGAAGCCTCAAACTTGGTTTTGCCTACGATTGATGAATACTGAGAGCGGGTTTTTAGACTGGCGCATGTTTTCCCCTTTTTCCTTTCCCTTAATTTTATTTTCTTCTTCTTTCCTTTCTGGGGCCGTAGAATCCAGTTTGGTATTTTAATACGGATTAGCATGTTCTACGGCATAATATATTCCGCGCTACCTACGCGGTTGCTGCCACATATCTCCTCCCTGATTCCCCGTCGCATCCCTCCACATCTTCGCAAACTCAGCGAGCCCGCCTTCGCCTCCCATGCTCGCATCAACCACTTCCTTCGGCAGCTTATGCGCCGAATACTGCGACGAGCTAAAGTTGAAAGCTGCCGGGTCGTCCTTCTCGATGAGACGCAGCTCGGGCACGAATGCGTCCGCGTCATCCTCGTCGGTAGTCTCGCCGGCGCTGCTTGATTCAGGAACGTGATGTTCCAGCGTGACCGACCCCAGCATCGGGTTCGGCACGCGCATGTCGAGAAGTTCGCCCCAGCCGAAGAGGAGCGTGTCTGTGCGAGGTGCCCACGGGTTGATGTCCATAAGCCTCACCCTTCCCAGACCGTCTGGGACGTCGGAATCCTCGGGGATATACACGTCGAAGACGAAGCACGGATCGGGAAAGGTCGTCTGTAGCTTCTCTGAAAAGAATTTTTGAATTCGGGAGATGATGACGGGTTGGAGCTTCCCGAGAAACTCAAAGTGGTTGAGGTCGCGCTGCGATATTCCGATCAGCGTCCGCTGCTTGACGAAACACCGGAATTCGAGAGACGGTTGGATGGGGAAATGGGGTCGAAGGACCAGAACTGGTGTGAAGGACGGGGGCTCAGTAACGGGGACGCAGCCGTCAAAGGGATGCTCGAGGTCATGGCTGACGAAGCTGGAGCTCTTGAGGAGGAGGTAGATGTCGTTGGGAGTGGTGCATTTGAGGGTGTTGAAGGGGGAGATCCAGGTCGCATCCTTGGGAGCAGACCAGTTGAGCTTGGGGACTACACTTCCGCCGAGCTCCTGGATAGCTTCCGCTATGGTTTTGTGTAGTTGGGGAAAGCGACGGTTCGGTGGGATGGGAGGCGGGCCCTCATCTTCGGATTCGTCGGATTCGTCTGAGTAGACTTCTTGTGGAGGGGGTCTAGATGGGGGTGTGGTTTGGTGCCACTCCTCATCTGACTGCGCAATCTCGTCGCCCTCTTCTTCGTCGTCGTCGGCCAGTATTATACCGTCTTCGCGCAAGTAGTCGACAAAGTCGGGGGTGAGTGGGATAATTCTAGATTGTAGGCAGGAGGTGCGATATCTGATAAATTAATGCGTTAATAGCTACCCAACTTAAAGGAGGTAAGGGAGAAAATGTCTTACTTTGGAAACCACATATCATAGGAGCAGTTGAGGATATGTTCTCTGGTTACTGGTGGGAATGTGACGGCATCGTGACCGTGACCGTGGGCGGGGTTGTGAGACCGTCGCCTATGCGCCGGAGGATCGATAGATGGCATCTTGACAGATTTTTCTGATTTGAAAAAAGTGAAATTTTTTTGTATTTTGGCGAATTTTTATTGAGAAGAAGAGAAGCGGCACAGTCTCAACACTTTGCGTTGAAACATACAAGAAGCTCGTGGTCTCTGGAAGAAAGTTCAGTGTTGACTCAATAATTTGCCCCTCCAATTCACTAATTGAATAATTTCTGCCGTGACTTACCGCCATCGTCAGGGTCCCGAAGTACCTCGAAATTGGTTTTGGCTCTCTTACCTCAGCACACTTGGGGTCTTCCCTGACGGAACATTGAATGGGCATTATATTCGCCATCTCCCAACGGTTCACCTGCAGCAGCCAGCGCAAGCCATTTCTAGCCGAGCGCACGACTTTGCGGCGACTTATTATTTGATACATATTCTATCTGAAATCATCAGCGACTCGTACGAACAGGCAGCCTTTCACTCAAAAACACCCGACTACCCCACCATGTCCAGCAATGTCGGCCTCGACACGCCCCGCGGCAGCGGCACCTCAGGCTACGTCCAGCGCAACCTCGCGCACATGAAGCCGCGCGACTACGGCGTGCCGTATCCCCAAGATGCTGATCGCCTACGACACAAGCTAAGGCAACCGGACAAGGAGATTCTAGAGCACGAGGCGAAGAGGGAGATCGAAATCAAGGTTCTCGAGCTGCGGGATCAGCTGGAGGATGAAGGGTGAGATGATCCCCCTCCATTTTATGCGCCGAAGCGCTTCTTATTTACTGACTCTGAGGCACATCTAGGCTCGATGAAGACGAGATCGACGACAAGTGCGACGAACTCAGGAAGAAGTTACAAGAAGAGCAGAAGAAGGGAGGCAGACAGACCAAGAGGGGATTCAAGACGCACGAGGTGCACGGCATGGCGGATGCGAAGATTAAGGAGAGCGAGAGGTTGAGGAACGCTCTCAAGATCAGCAAGGATTACGAGGAAGGGGATCACTGGAGGAGGCAGGAGGAGAGGGTAAGGAATGCAGGGTCGTCGGGTGCTGCGCCGGGGGAGCCGCGGAAGAGGGAGTAGTTGATTCGGCCTCTGAGAAATGACGGGGGTCTTTGGTCTGTCGGTGTCCAGCTATTATGGGTTTATATTACTGCATGCATTGTCTGATGGTGTTTGTTGGCGTTTGGGCTTGATGGACATCACGGAATGGTTACGGGTAAAGCAGCATGGATTGAATCATGATTCGAATTCCCCAAGTTCTCTTGAGGTCTCTCCTAAGTACAACCGTGCTGCTTCACTATCCTCCCTTTTGTATGCGAAAATTGTATTAAACGATGAATCCTACACTCGTTGACCTGTGACATTCATGGAAGTACACAGGTAATAGGCAAAACCGTCTGATGTCGTCATTGGATCAAATGTTAATTTGGCCATTACAGAGTGTGCAGAGGCCACCTTACAGTGGGTTTTCTGCGCCTTCTCGGTCTTCAGCGCCACGTGGAACCAATTGAGGGTGCCTGGAGCCCGGCGAAACTCAGCCTAACAGAATCAATATTTGATTGATTGATGAATGTACTCTTGAAACTATCAACGACTTTGCTAGCCTCATTAACCATTCCACTTTTGACGACATTCGCTCTTGGCCTACCTGCCATGCTCGATAATTTATTCTATTTGACTTTCTAATTCCCATTACGTCCCCGAATCGTCCACTCTCTACCCACCATGGCTATAATACAGACGCCCTTCGTTCCAGATTCCCCAGTGGCAAGCTCCACAGACCAGCTCAACGCAGAGCTCGGCCAGCTTCTGCAACGCCTGCAAAACGAGATTCTATTCGTCGATCCCGCCCGAGAAAGGAGGTTACGATCAAGCGAGCTTGAGCGCGCAAAGTTGGATAAGGTACGGCGATACGAGACGTAGGGAAGTATACCGTCTTCTAACGCTGACATGCGGCGTTCGTCCACAGAACCTACAGTATGCGCGATCGGTCCTTACGAAGCTCGAGCAAGAGTCGATGGGGCTGAAGGCGCATTTGATGAAGCATGATTTCCAGGTGGTTTTGAACCAGAAGAGGGAGATGCTCGAGGTGCTGGTGGATAGATTGGAGGATCTGGCTGAGGTATGATGCTCTCCTGTGTCGCCTTGCTCTTAGGGACTGAGGTTTCTAACTTTGCTCCCTAGATGGAGATTGACGACGATGACGACGATGCGGACTTGGATGACGAAGATATCCTCGCCGATATAATACCAACCCCCAGTGAGAGCATAGACTCCCGATCGGCAGACCACTCCGCCGAGCAACCATACGCCCAAGAAGAAGATATCCCCGAACCACCATCCGTTCTCTCCGAACAAGAGAAACAACCCGTACCCCCAACCCTACAATCCCCGGTATCCTCCTCCGCCCAATCCACCCCATCCTCTTCGCCAACCAACACCAGCGCCCCCGCCCTCGATACCTCGCCCGCAACCCAGCCTACAACCACCGAATCCTCCATCCGCCCGCGTCGCCCGGCCCCCTCTGAATCCCACACTACAGCCCGCGCCACCCTCTTCTCCCGGCGCAAAACCACCTCCCCCGGAACGGCCCCTCCCACAACCCAAACCTCCACCGCCACCGCCGAAGCTATCCTCGACCGCCAACGCGCGGAGCAGGAAGCCCTCGTCGGCAACATCCTCCAATACGCCTCGGCGCTGCGCGACTCCTCGCAGCGCTTCAACGACACGCTTGAGAAGGACCGCGCCGTGCTGGATCGCGCCGCGGACGGCATGGATCGTGCGGAGACGGGCATAGAGGCTGCGAGGAGGCGCATGAATGTGCTTACGAGGATGACGGAGGGGAAGGGTTGGTGGGGGCGGATGTTGCTTTTTGCTTGGGTTTACGGGCTTATGGTTGTTTTGGTTTTGGTCGTTTTTGTGCTTCCTAAGTTTAGGTTCTAAGTTGACGAGGGTACGGAAACCCCTTTTCTTTTTGCTTCATGAAGGGCTTGGTGTCCATGGGGATTTATTTGTACGAGATGGGTCACGGCGCAAACATGCATTATGATATCGGGTTATATGTATCTCGTTTATGTTAAGCAGAGATACTGGAGAATGCTAGACTACGACTGCTGCGATAACGGGAGGAGAAAACAGGACTGAAGAGAGAAACAACAACACGTTTAGCGCACCATGATGTAGCCTTCTCAGCCCGGTACCAATGTTTCAAGAATCACAGGAAACATGGTAATAAAATATATATTCACTTACGAATGCTCAACGGGTGATCAGAAGCACGTAGATACACTACCAGAAACAGAGCAAAGGCGAATATGGGCTGGTTCTATTTTCTTCAGGTCCAGCTCCCTAACAAGTAATATCCCTGAGCAAAGCAGGACCGTTGAAAATGTGTCAATGTCCCCGCCAACACCTGCGTCACGGGGAACATCGGCGAGCACTTCTTACTCTTGAAGCTCGGGCTTGAGTTGGAACGTATCCACTAGAGATATCTGCTGGCTATCTGTTTGGGTACATGCTCACTCCCAGGCTGTGAATCGGCTTGCCATAGCAGGAGCTCGCACGACCTAGCGCGAGGTAGGGTTCTCCCCGAGTAATCGGGATACCCTAGTTTAGCGGGCATCGAAATCTCGGGTCGGGTCCTTCTAGTAGATGAGTTCCATATCGCCCATGGCTAAGGCACTGGGTAAACCAGGCAGCCGTCTAAACGAAGATGATGAACTTTGGCCCTCTCTTAGTCGATGTAATGACTTTGAAATGTCCGGCCGCTATAACCAGCGCCAGCCAAGCGCCAGGTTCACCACAGGGGGATGGCGCTGCCTGCCCAATCGCCTTCACCAGCCCGGGACCCGCGTGCCGATGTGGGAGGTCCCGAGCTGGGCGGAATATGAAACTGGCAGTAAACCCCTCCAGCCCTGCCCGAGGTGAAATAAAGTTCTCATCAAGATGAAGATCACACAGACCCACTCGAAAGCAGCCCGAGCCCGATTTTGGCTTGTCGGAATTCCAAGGAGAATAGCAATTGAAGAAGCAACGGGACGAAACGAAATAGGAGCGGCCATGACCTCTTGACCACTGGACTATCTGGCCAGGCAAAGGCCCCTGCACTCATCAATGCAATCGAGCTTTTTGTTCTTGCTCGATCCGTGTGACATCTCACACTCCATGACTTTTAAGGCTAGAGAGGTTAGGGTCTAGTTGCAACCTCGGACACAGTCTCCTGAGCAAGAATCAAGACACACGAATCAAGGTTTGTGTTAGCAGAGTTGCTCCTGCCACTCCAGGATGCTGGAGAAATGCAGCAGTGTTCTATTGCAATGATTTCTTGCAGTAAGTTTGCCAATAGCATTTCTTTGGGAATGGAGATCCAGACCAACCTAAAGGTCAACAAATAAACTCTGGGGAGTGGATAGTATGTTAGTTTGTGAGGTTTAAAGACAAGGAGACCTCAATAGCAGCTTGATTGGGAGACTGCCAGAAGCCAGAAGTTTGAATGGACACCTTGAATAAGGACACACACACATACCTTACTTCTAAGAGCATCACTTCCCATGAGAGGTTAAATCATCTCTAGGAGATAAGCAGCTCTTTGCTAAAGCTTAGGGCTACTGCACCTCTAGGGAGATATCAGCGGCATTCGAAATAAGCCCAACACCCCAAGATACCTATAAGGTCAGCATCACTTTCTCTTGAGGGGTAATTAACAAGTTTGGAAGGGATGGGAATAGATGTACCTCTAGAAATCCATCTAGTAGGATTTTGGGGACCTTGAGGATCTTGGGGTGTTGGGCTTCAGTGAAGTTGGGTGATGGGTGTTGTCGACATCCATCGTCTCTGTGGCCAGGGCCTTAGCACCCCTTTCATTTCCGGACTTCTTAACATTCTCTCAGTTCCCCGAAAGAGACATGTTCACCACCAAAAATATGAAATCAGTGGCGGCTCACAAGTCAAGGTGGCCTTATGATGCCGCCGGTGGTGCAATTGAAAGGACCTTTTAGTATTGCTGTGACCTCCTAAAGCTTGTTCTTTAGAGGTATAAAAGCCTCTTCTTTATAAATAATAGAAGCAATTTTTAACTAGTAGATATTATTCCTCCCACAGAGTACTTATTAGCTCCAGTTCATAGAAAGATGCTATAAATGTAAAGGGTAAAGTAGAGATACTCACAGCAAAAGTGCTTTTAAGCAAGGAGAAAACAGAAGCAATAAGAGAAAAACAGAAGAAAGTAAAGAAAGCAAAGAAGAGCAAAGGGGAGCAAAGAGAAGCAAAGGAGAGCAAACCAGAGATAGCAGAACACATTGCCAAGGTGTCTTTCAGGCGAACCACCACAATAGGGAATGTCAGGACTCTTCGTCCTTGGCCATCCTTTTGATTATTTCCTTGGCCTCCTGGATGTCGAGCTGTTTGGTCAGAGGATTCCAGCATAAAGAAGTGGATTGGGCTGTAGCGGGAGATGGGGTGAAGGCCCTTTTTTCGCCTCGTGGTCGATGTCCTGGGGAGACGAGTCCTCCCGGCTCTCCTTCCATGGAACTCTTCGGGAATTCAGCAAAGATGAAGAGAACGATCACCTTGGAGGTGGTGTATATTGGAAGAAAGACTTTGGCCTTGTCTTGGAATCTGAGAGGCGGTCCTCCCAGCTGATTCCAGTCTTCTTCTCGAAAAAGGATGTAAAGAGTTGTTGCTGGTCGTCTTTGAGGCCTGAGCAGGTGGTTGGTCGATGATAACTTGGATTGTTGTCCCTTGGCCTCCGGTAGAACTTGGCTGCAAACCAGTAGAGGGATGGTTTGGCATTTGATTCGAAGAGCTGGAATGAAAAGTCAAAAAGGTCAATTGATTTGCTCTCGGGTCTGTTGATGGAAAATGTGGACTGAAAGAGCGTATAGACTGAGAGATATAAAGAGATACATATAGAGAGTAGGGTAGAGGGAATAGTTTTTCATCATAGGGCATGTGGATGGAGAAGGTAAACATATGTGGAGGGGTGGAAGAGGTAGAGGAAAGAGAGGAAAGAGAGGACACACAAGGCTGTGGTTATCATAATGAGAAGGAGTAGAGTGAAGTGATTCATGTCCACTGATTCCGGACATGGAGCTTGTTGTGCACTCCAGCAAGCAGGGAAGGCATGTGTGAAGGTGAGAGGTTGCTCCAGTCGCTCCTTACATATAGAACATATCTCTGACCAGTATTTCCAGTCTCTTCATCATCCCTTGTGATGGTGACCTCGTACGGGAAGTTGTTTTCGTCCCGGTATATGTGGAAGAGATCTGATGTTTGCCATGCCATTAGTCCCAAAACAACCTCGAAAGAAACGAAGAATTTCTCATTTACTCGTATTGACAAACTTGCCGTCCTGATCTTCCCCCTTTGCATATTGCGCAAGCCGTCTCTCTCGTTTTCTCTTCTCCTTGAGGAACGACCGAAGATCGTGCGCACGTTCCTTCTCTCTCTTGTTTGCCTGGCAAGAGAGGTTAAACCAGTCAATGTCGACAAGGTGGACTCTCTTGTACGTCTTAAGCGCCGCTTGAACTGTTGAGAAAGGCATCTCGTGTCAGATACCGATCAGGAAAAAGAGGTATATAAAATGTTATATCTCACCTCGTGGACCCCGCTTCTCGAGCTGCTCTTTCGTACAGAGCAGGTGCGTGACCCTCTCATCCAGTTCTTGAGAGAAGCTCCCCCCTCGAAGCTCAGTCCACTTCGTGATATTCTCCTCGGTAAATTGGCCTGGCATCGACCCGGCGGTGGCAAGAACCTTGCCCTTGAATATGGCCCGGACCATGTTGACACGAAGATCTCAAACCCACACACCTGACTGAATACACCAAGCTGGAATCACCTTCCTAGGCAGATGCAGAAAGGCTTTATGAAATCTTTGCTCAACAAGGTGATTGGACGTTGGTGGGAATTGAGTTACGCACGGGATCGGACGTGTATGATGGAGAGTAGAGAGTAGTATTTACGTCAGAGGATGTACGAGGATGAATTGGGTGTGTAAACAGGTGGAAGTAAAGGAAATCTAGATGCTGAGGAGGCAAAGTGTATCGTACGGGCGATGCTGGAGAGGCGAGTTACTATTGGCAGCAGATGGAACACAAGCTTGATTCTAGAGGGGAGGTAAGGCTCAAGATGGGGAAGTCGTCGCTTGTCTGAAAGTTTGTGATAACGTTGCTAGGAGAATCGGTAGATATTGTGGCGAGTAGGTCTGTCAACGGTTCGTTTATGGACAGATAATGGTCACATTTATTCCACTGAGAATATGGTAGGGATAGGATGAGGATGGGGGTGGAAGGAGGAACAGAAGAAGGATGTCATGGGCGAGACGCAATAAATTGGTCGCATACCCTACCTTCCTCTTGAAATGCGAGACCAAATGAAATCATCACCATGTGAGAGCATGTGGTGAAAGACAATCCCATTTAGATGTTGGTTATGACGAATACCCGTTACCTGAACTCATTAGCTGCCTGGATAAAGGCACGTATCTTTTCGAGATCCTGCTTCCCCTCGACTTCAACTCCGCTGCTAACATCAACCCCAATAACCCTGTTGGAGAGCTCACCGATAGCCTTGACTGCCTGCGCCACATTGTCCGGGTTTAATCCCCCAGCAAGGATGACTCTGAGATCAGCATCCTTCTCCAGCGTGGACTTGACGTTGGAAACATCGAGGAGTTTCCCGGAACCGGAGCCAGAGTCCAGGAGCGGAACGGTGTGGTAGCCGCGAGTGCCAACGCCGACTTGTCCTGGCTTGAAGCAGCGGATGACGGGGACGGGGACTTGTCTCGCCCACTCCACAGGCTCGTCGCCATGAAACTGAACGACGTCGAGATTGTAGACCCTCTGCTTCTCAAGCACTTCGGATAGAGGCTGGTTTTGGAAAATCCCTACTAGTTTGGGCCCCGAATTCGTGAGTCGTTCCACGGCCCCGGCGAAGTAGTCCCTCGCCACGTTCGTCTGCGCCACGGAAGTCGGGGCTTTTCCTCTGAACGAGTGGACCGCCTCGGATATCTCGAGGCAAGTTTCATGGGAAATACACCGCTTCGCTTTCGGTACTAGGCAAACGCCTACGAAATCCGCACCGGCCTCAACGGCAGCTTTAGCGGCCTCCACGCTTCGAGTCCCGCAGATTTTGACCAATAGAGGAGAAGGCTTGGCAGGCTCTGGGACAGTATCCGTCCCGGCGCAGAGCTGTTGAATGAAGACGCTCGCATCGGGCGCCCTCATGATCGCCTCGCCCACCAGAACAGCGTTCACACCATCGTTCTTGCACATGACAACATCCTTGTGGCTGTTGATGCCGCTCAGCGCGCAGAGAATGGTACTCTCGGGCACCATGCTCCGTAATCTACCGGTCGTGTCGAGATCGACCTCGAAGCTTTCAAGGTTGCGGTTGTTGACGCCAATCACCTTGGAGCCAAGCTTCACCGCAATCTCCATTTCCTGCGCATTTTGAACCTCTACCAAGGGCTCCATGCCGAGAGAAAGGGAGTACTTGTATAAGCGCTCGAGAAGAGGCGTGTCTAGCATCTTAACAATGAGGAGAACGGTATCCGCGCCTGCTAACCTCGCTTCGAGGATCTGGTACTCGTCAAAAATAAACTCCTTTCGGAGAATCGCTGGTCTGTTTGCTACTCCGTCAAGGACTTGCCGCACGGCCCTGAGGTCGTCGATACTACCCTTGAACCAGTCGGGTTCAGTCAAGACGGAGATCACACTCGCACCTGCGAGAGCGTACTTTCGAGCCTGGACGGCAGCATTAATGTCAAGAGCAAAAACTCCCTTGGACGGAGACGCTCTCTTAATCTCAGCCATTAGAGAGAGATCAAAGGGGGACTGGCGTAGTCGGTCGATGAAGGGGACGAGCGGAGGCGCCGCGTTGAGATCGTAGGCGGCCTGTAAATCGCTTGGTCGTAGAGAAGGAACCTGCTTCTGGGCTTCCACAATCTCCTTGCGGCGCGTGTAGATCTCCTGAAGGATGTTGCTCTTCTTCGGTCGCGCCGGGACAGCGGCAGCGGAGGAGCCATTTTGGGCCGACTCCTTCTGAAGGCGAGCATTTTCCTCCCAGGTACCTCCTTGCAGATGAAGGAAGTTTCGAATCATGGTCCGGCCTTCGGCTGTTAAGATGCTCTCGGGATGGAACTGGACACCTTCAATCGTGAGATCCTTATGCCGCACTCCCTGGATGACACCCTGAGATCCGTCCTCGAGCGCAACCCACGAGGTTACCTCGAGGCATTCCGGGAGAGTGACGCGAGTACCGGCCAGTGAATGGTATCGAGTCACGGGAAGGCCTTGTCTTAGGCCGGCGTAGACGCCCTTGCCATCGTGAGACAACGGGGACGTCTTGCCGTGAAGCCACTCTCCGGCGGAACTAACTTCGCCACCATAGACATCAAAGATGCATTGCCTGCAGGGCACGTGTTAACTGCCATTCATAAATGATACGCGCACACACACAAACGGGTATGAAAGGTTAGTGATAGATCTATAAAACGTACTGTCCCATGCACACGCCGAAGATGGGAATCTTTCCAGCGTAATGCCTTATCGCCTCGCGGCTGATCCCCGAGTCTGTTTGGGGGTGGCCCGGACCAGGGCTAATGATCAATTGCGTAGGGTTCTTCTTAATGAGTTCATCGAGAGTAATCTTGTCATTCCTGAATACAGTTACGGTAGCTCCCTCGAGAATGAGGTACTGGTAAACATTCCAGGTAAAGGAGTCGTAGTTGTCTATGAGGATAACATTGGATGCGGTAGGGATTGGCGGGGAAGGATCGGGATGGTGGGGTGAGTGATCGATGATGTCCAGGGCAGGCATTCTGAGTCTGGACGTAAAGAGTAACTAGATTTGGGGGCGATTGCGACTGCAAGTTTGCCAGGCCCGTCCGGGGGGGAAAGATTGAGGTGTAGAAGAGGAATTGAGTAGATCAAATGTCGTGAGTCAAGCTCTGCAGTGCTTTTCCCGCTATCGGTGGGTTGTGTCAACTTTGTTAGCAAGATATTTATTTAGGCGGTAAGCGACAGATTATGTAAATAACCGCCAAAAAAACGAATCTTGCGTCGCATTATCCTTGTAGCAAGACCTCAAATTTTATCAGCCGGCCTCAAAAGCAACCAAGACAACCACCGCCTCCGTTTCAATGCTTCTTTCATCCCGTTGCTGAATTAAAATCCCCATCTTCCAAGGCATCAATCTTGCAGAGATTCTTCGCCCCTTAGACGGTACTAGATCCGGGCATGGCAAACATTGACCGCCCTTGATCAATTGATTGAATCGTCTCCCCACATAATTTCCCTCCAATGGCCGTATCTATATATATTTCGCGAGGTAGAAATGCCGCCTCGACCCGGCCTCCTCCATGGCGAACATCATCTCCCTTGACCTTACCATATTCTCCGTAGAATCGTTCCTTGGGCCCAAGATCATCCCCGATATTGCACTTCGAGCCTAGGACGAACGTCAAAGACTGCCAAGGCCCCTCTTCACAAAATATGTGGTGGTCAATTGTCGGCATGGGAGCCAGTGCCATTGTCTCCTCCACCGAGAAAAAGACGGCATTGAGCTAAAGGGCTACCAAGTGTGGGAAGATGGCAAGATTCGCGCGTCCTGCGAGGACGACTGCGAGAAACAGCTGGCTCGCGAAGCTGCCATCTACCATCGCCTAGGCGAGCATCCACAGGTTCTTCGATGTTTCGGTCTAGAGGAAGTTCACCCGGGAGTGAACTCCCTTCGTCTCGAATATGCAGCGTTGGGCGACGTGCGCCGATTCATCTGGGAGCACAAAGACAATGCCTTACCCGAATGTGTCCGGCTTCAGATGGCGCAGGATACGGCAGCCGGTTTAAGCTACGTCCATGCGAGAAACGTGCTTCACGGCGACATAACCTGTCATAACCTATTTCTATTTCCCGATTACAGAGTAAAGGTCGGGGACTTTGGAAGTTCTTGTATTCTAGGGTCGGACGAGTTTCCGAGAGAAGTCTGCGAAGAGTCTGCCTATGAGTTGCCTTGTCGCGGAAGGAGCTTTTGTGATCGCCCTCCCCTGTCGAAGGAGCTCTTCGCGCTAGGGTCTGCCATCTATGAGGTCACCATGTGGGCTCGTCCTCATGAGGACTTGACAGATGAGCAGATTGAGGAAAAATATGCCGCCGAGGAGTTCCCTTCTTTGGACGGGAATCTGGCTCGAGATATCATTAAGAAGTGCTGGAATGAGGAGTATGAGAGCGCGGGGGAAGTGGCAAATGCACTCACACATCTGCTCACAAGCTATCAACTCTCCCGAAAGATGGTAAGGTTACATTGACATCTTGCCGTTGATGCTCACAGTATGGATTAGGACATGACCCACGCAGAAGTCTTTCTTTTCTGCCTGTGCCGACGGATTATATCAGGATTGATTTCTGGGTGGGATACGGCATAGGCTCAATAAAGCAAAGTTCCTGCTCGAGGAAATCGCTAGTTATAGGAAAACCGCACGCACGTCAATGATAAGACGCAACTGTATTTACAAATATGATTCCTGGTTGATTGATTGATATTGAAATTCATTCTGGTTGAATAACTCTAGTTTCAAACCTGCGCCCATACGTCCGCGGCATACGCCTGCAGCTGGGGAATGCTGATTACAACATCATGTTCTCCAGGACCCGGAGCTCTCAGGAAGAGAAGTGTGAACGGCAATACCAATGGGCCATTCACCACATTATATAACGCCGGGTTCATAGGACTTCGAGTGATCTTGATTGATTGCCGCAGCTTGGGTCGTAACGCAGATGCTCCTAATGCAGATGCTCCTCGGGTGGTGGTCGCTCCTGGTCGAGGGCTTGGCAGATCTTCCTCCCACCTTTCCACTATAATCCGGCGCCGCGCTCGATCAAACTTTGCCAGAAGAACGATTTTCACGTCGTGATTCGATGCTGAAAACCACCACCTCATATCGATTTGCAACTGCCTTAGTGTTTCCGAGTATCCAGCTTCTATGACAAGCGTTGGCCAGTCATTAGGCCCGCCGCGCGCTGGCTTCGGCCCTCCCGCAGAGTCGCCCTCCCCGCTATCACCACCTGGATGGCCTCCTGCTCGTCGCGTCGCTGTCCCTATCCATTTCCACGCCTGACTTAAGCCCATCTGACTGATTTGGTCGTAGGACTGTCGGAAAAGGCCGAGATGAAGAGCCTCGTGACAATCTGTTGGGATAGTGACTATCAAAATTCTGGAATTGGCATAGTAGCGTCGAAATCGGACCCTTCGCCGCCGACGTTCTCGCTCTCGCTCTATGTCGATGAAATCTCGAGGGGAGACATCTAAAGGTCTTAGTATGATAACTTGCTTGGTAGGCAGTCTGAACGAAGGTTACGTACGGGTTACAATGAGGATGTCGCCAGATGCCCTATCGATGCGTTGGAATAGTTCCTGAACATTCTTAAACCGCTTTGGAGTCGCCTCGCCTGGGGACGATGACGATGACGAGGACGATGACGAGGCTGAAGTTGGCAAGGTCGACATGGATTGTGATGATCGTGACGTAGATCCTGACACGATAGGACCTGACATGGTTGCGCAGTGTTGATGTCGCCGTCCGAGTTAGTTAGGGTGAGGGAGGGGGAAACAAGAAGGGAAAGTGGCTTATAGAAGGGGAGAGAGGCAGAAGAGAAAGGCAGAAGAGAAAGGTAGAAGAGAAAGGCAAAAGAGAAAGGCTTGGGGTTGGAGAGAAAGCTTGCCTCCTTTTATATCTTAAACTGACGAAGTTCGCTGGAATCTCTCCGCCGGTCGATGATGAATAAAGCCAGAATAGACTATGTCTGAATGGAGCATGTGAGTTAGTCAGAATAGAGCAAGAAGGCCAGAACGGGGCTCGAAGATGTCATGATGGAGCATTATAGTAAAGGAAGGAAGTAGGAATAGGTCTAGCAAGTCAGAATGAATCAGGCAATCAGAGAAGACCAAGGAAGTTGGAAGGGAGCATTGGTGTATTGGAGTCAGAATCGAGCAAGCAAGCTAGGAGAGAGCAGACAAGAGGAGATAATACAACTCCAAGAGGATCTGTGTATCTGTGCAAAACAAGAAAGAAACATATTATCCGCCAAACGTGGATGCCTCACGTCCTCAAAACTGTCACACGCGTGTGAAGGAGCTTTCAGTCCAGTCCGGTTCAGTCCGACCATCGAAGGTGTCCAGGATCGGTAAGTATCAAGGTCCTGAGACGAAGACTCCTGAAGAATCTTAGTTGAAGATTACAGCTTGCTGTCCATTTGTAGATCTTTCATTGGAATGGGGGTTGGTAAATGGAAAAATCTACACTTAGTCTGCTCTATGTTGCCTTTCCTCTTTGGCTTGGCTGGGTAAGATGAGCACTGGAAGTCTATTCCACCCGCTACTCGAATGGTTTTACCCCAAGAAACGCCAGACGTACTAGCTTTGGCTAGTCTAATCAATTCCTTGAAGGCCTAGGAGGCGAGCGAATACTCGAGGACTCTACTTATTCCAGCAGATGGCAAGATAATACTATCGACGATCTAGCTTCCGCTTTAGCATTTCGCTTGGAAAGATGTTAAGGAATCCGAAGTACGAAGCAGAAGAGGGCTGAGGAGAGCCTTTGCCACATGGTGCCAGCTGGCTAGAAAATACATGATTATGTAAACACGGACAGTTCCAAGTTGCCCAAGCCGGAAAATCCAAGTTCGGAAGCTTTCAATGCATCAATTTTTACTGCGCCAAAACTTGCAGCAACCATCCACTCTCATCAACCTCTCGACTTCCGGCTCCCCAAACCCTCGAATCATCACCCTTCGAAACCAGACATACCAACCATCACAATGAACAAGTGTGTTTCCACCCGCTCTCCCAATGGCCTCCTCCGAGGCTAGCTAACCACCCATTCACCCAGCTTCGGACTTAACGCTACCGAGCAACGCCAGCTCGAGGAGCGCCTTTCCAAGCGCCAGATGCAGGACTTCATGGGCGTACGTTTTTTTCTCGCCCCAATCTATTGTCATTTTCCACCAGACGCGAAAACGAGAGGATCCACTGACGACGTATTCTAGATGTTCCACAACATGTTCGAGACCTGCTTCACCTCCTGCGTCGACGAGTTCACCTCCAAGGCTCTCTCGTCGCGCGAGAACGGCTGCATCTCCCGCTGCGTGCAAAAGACCCTCGCCATGCAGCAGCGTCTCGGCGAGCGCTTCCAGGAACACAGCCAAACGACCATGATGAACCAACAACAGTAGACGGCTGTTGAAAATAAACCGAACCATCTCATCATGGATGGATGAAAGCAGATGCGCTTTTTTTATTTCGTTCTCCTCCTTGCGGGATACGAAAAGAAATGGCATTTGCAATATAGCGCCAGGAACGCGGACGGCAACTCCGGGACGACGACGACGACAACAACAGCAATAACTGACGCTGCGGAGGGATTTCGGAATAGCCCCCAACACTTCCTGGCGCTTTGTCTGTATATCATGGCGAGAGCTTTGTGTGTGTTGTACGCATTACATGACATGACGTGCGGATTTCTTGTGTTTTTTTCTCATCATGCTTTTTTGTTTTATGTTTCTTGCAAAAGCTTTATCACCAAGTGTACATTAGTTATGGGATGGATCCTGAACAAGGGAGGATTTATAGAGACGGGATAGAAAGCTAGGAAAAATCGATGAACAGTCGAGGGCTTGGGGGCTGCCGGACCAAAATTCTACTCACCGAAAACCGATTGTTTGCGGGTAATACACAGCAATTCAATCTTGCTAGCAGATCCCCGGAATAAGACTGCGAGATGCGTAGTGATGGGTAAAAAAAAAAAAAAAAAAAAAAAAGTGCTCTTGATTTATAGAGAGAAACAAATCTCGACAAGCAACTCCGTTTGTTACGAAACCCTATTCCGACATCCTTCACATCATCAGTGTACACCTCTCTTTTTCTTATTTCAGACAACCATGGTATTGATCCCATCTGATTCTTTCCATCCAGACTCGGCCTTTGAATATTACGCTTTTTCCCAAAAATCAAGCCTCCTCAACCAGCACATCCCTAACAGCCTCTAACTGCACCACCACCTTCTCCTCCAGCACACTCTCCCATCCGTCCGTCACGCCATTAGCCGCCGCCGCCGTCGACTTCATACTCTTCCACTCCACCTCCCTCTGACCCAGCGGCAGCAGCCTCTCCCTCAGCAACCGCCTACTACTGAGCCAAAACTCGACGTACTCCAACAGCGAGGCGCCGTCCCAACGCACCTCGGGGATGTCGCGATTGTTATTCTGCCTCAACGCTCCGAGGACGCGGGTTAATATCGCCAGCGAATGGATCTCCATCGCCGTGAGCAGCGTGACGTAGTGCTTCGCCTCCTTGGACGCGGTGCGGCTCGTCCCGGGGGCCTCGAAGCGCTCGACGCTGGATTTGAGGAGCGACGGGAACTGGTTGAGCACGTAGCTGACCTCGGGAGCCACCGTGGTGCCCATGGCCGTGAGCAGGTTGAGTAGTAAGGGGAGCATGGCCTTGGCCCAGACGCTGTAGCACCGCTGCGCGCCGACGTTATCGGCGAACGGGGAGATTACTCCGCGTCTCATGAACCGCGTGAGGTTGGCCGAGGTGAGCTGGCTGATGACGCCGTTGCAGGCTAGTTGCTCCGCCACCATGGGGAGCTTGGATAGCTCGAGGAGGAAGAGGAGGCTCAGTTCGCCGTAGACGGGGTCGCCGTTGTCGGTGATCTTGTCGGACCACGAGAAGAGCGAGCAGGCTACGTGCATGGCGTCGTGCGCTGCAATGATGTTGAGAACCTGAGTCTGCTGCTGATTCATGTCTGGAAGGGCGAGGCAGGCTTGGAGCACAGCGGTGATAAGACCTAGGTCTTCTGGAGAGACCGCGGTGTTCTTGTCATGTATGAGGGTGACAAGCGTGCGGAATCCCTTGCCGACAACCCTGTCAAGAATATCCAGCATCATCTGTATCCTCGAAACCAACGTGTCGCCAGATATGCTCTCGTCACCACTGCCTGATCCAGTCGCACTTGTTTGTCCGGCATGAGATTTCAAGACGATGTACAGCGCCTTGAGGAGAGTGCGATAAAGGGGTGCTGATTCCTTCTCGAATGGCTCTTCGATCGAAGCGATGGCGCTATAGAGCGCTCCGATTAATTGGTTCACATCCTGCGGAGCAATCTTCACCCCAATAAGCCCCTGGATGAGCATCAAGGCAAAGTTTGATCGAGACTCGATGATTCTAACAAAGATGTTCTCAGGACCTTGGCCTTCACGATTGGCCTCCAGGCATTGAAGCGCGACTTGCTGCATATATCGCGCGACGATTTCGTTGCCTGGTAGAGCGCTGTTCAGTTCTAGCAGGAGGAACTCCCACGCGTGGTACAGAGACTGTGCCATAATGTTAGCTATAGGTCCTTTCGTCATGGGGGCTGTATGAGTTGGGAGCTTACTATTTGGGCGTCGACAAGAGAGAGGTTCAGATTCGCCCGCTCCATCTCCTTCTTGAAACCATTACCCTTAGGTCCGCGCCATCCAGGATCAAACCGAAGCATCTCATCAGCCCGCGTCAAATTGTAGTAATAATTGTCACCCAAATCTCTAGGTTCAAGCATCGTGCGCTTAAACTTCTCAACTGAGCACGTCGGGTACTTAGTCGCAAAGTTCTTTCGGAAGTTCGCGTGCAGAGATCCATTGTAGCCAGCGATGAGCGCGCCGTCTCGAAGGTAATAATCCAGGTCTTTTAGGAGATTCTCCGCAGTTGCCTTGGCACCGCCCATGTGGCGGAGGTGGTAGAGCTGCATCGCGAAAGCTTCGGCGATGTAGGCCGCCTCCTTTGCGTCGTACGCTGCAGCTAGAGGGTCGGATTTGGCGGTTACGGCCGAAGGAGACATGCCACGAATGCGGGTGCGTAAGCCATCGAGACACGCTGGGTCTTTGAGAATCGTAAATACCGTCCAGGGCCAATAGTTCTGAGCTGATGTGATGAAGTCGAGGATACCGAGCACCTTAAGTCGCGATGATACAGTGCCGAGGTTTTTAATCATTCCGAGCGCAGTCGAAAAGACCGATTCCGATGCAAAATCTTTGGCCTTGGAAGATTCGGAAACCTCCCGGGGCGTCTTACCGGAGATGAGGCAGTTGGACATCCACTGCTGCCTGTTTCGGATAATCGACGAGAAAAACTTCCAGATTGTGGTTACTTCCGAAGGCGTCGAGAACGGCCGTCCTATCTTTGAGAGGTCATCCAAAAACGACTTTGCGACTTGGGGCCCAAGATATCCGAGGAGGGAGGGCGGCTCGTCCGTTCCTCGACCAGCACTCTCGACCAAGGCAGTGATGAGAAGAAGTGTTGGACGCTGGAAGTATCCGTTGACGGCCACCAGTCTCGCAAGTAGACCAGAGCTCTTGAACAGATGGGACTCGAATGTTCCGACAGGCCGGGTATAAATGTTGGCGACTCTTAGAAGAATCGTGCTAAAGTCCAAGACGGCGGAAACTTGGCTCTGGAGGGCTATAGTTCTCGAGTGGAAGAGGGTCGAGGGCCGGTACTGGAATCCCATATATAATGTTGACTGCAGAGGTCTGAAGCGGAGTGAGCCGGCTGAGGGCGAGAGGAAACTATCAATGATGTATTCGGCACCTGCCTCAAGACACTCTGTAGGTCGAGAAGAGCCTTCCAAGTCGTCTAGTCCGTAAGCGTAGAGGATGAGGTTCTTCATCAGCGGCACCACCTCCTTTAACAGGACAGTATAAGATGTGTCCGACCTCAGCTTCCAGGTAGACCAGTTCTCGAAAACATCAACGGCTGCCACGGCAATGGATTGGCCTAACCTGCTGAGTGTTTTCTCCGACGTCCCGAGCCAGCTGTCTGTCTCAACGCGTAACCGGGCCTTGAGCTTGTTCCCGCATTTTCTCTGGACGCTGCTGCTCATGATGGTATCGACGACAGCAGATAGGAGACGAACGGTGGAGACAAGGAAATCAAACTGATTGTCGGCCATGTCCAAACTTCCGGTGAGCCTAGCCAGCCTACCCGCGCGTGAATCCGAGCTGAGGAGATCACAGCGCGCCATGTACGAGAGGATACGGCTCGGGTAGACGGGGAGCGTCGCATGGAGGAACTGGATACACGATGTTAGGACCGCCAGATCCTGGTCATCACCCATGGCGGAATCGTCCTGCATAGACGAGTCTAGGATATCACAGATGACCGATATTATATCCTTGCTATTATCGATACTCTTGCTGGCTTCCTCGAGAATTTCTATCGCAGATTGATGCTGGTCTGCTGCTCCAGTGAGGGACGCCTTTAGGCACTGGGCGCGCACAAGAATGGCGAGAAGGCCGATGCTCTCCGCGACCTCATTCTGGGCCGTCCCGCTTAGGAACAGCCGATAATCACCCTGAGAGAGCGATATCTGGAGGCTGCTTCCTAGGAGCGCAAGCGGCGAATACTCATAGTCCAGCTGCACGACACGACCAGAGTCCGTCACGAAGCGGCCGTGTGTGCCAGCCGGGATGCAGAAGTCATCGACTGCGACGTGCCTCCTGCTACGGCCACGAGGCATGAACAGAGGTAGCGGCTCTAGGATGCGGAATGAGTTGGTGTTTTCGTCTTCGAAGACGAGCTCATATGCCTGGAAGTAATCCGGGAGGTTGAAGGTGAGCGTAGAGGTTCGTCGAAGTATGCTGAGGACCTCGTCGGAGCCGGCGCCATCAAGTAAGGTCGTGCATTTACCGAGCGCCGAGCAGATGTGGAGGAAGGGAGAAAACTCGAAAGGAAACCGGTTGAGAGACGTGTAGAGATAGTTGTCCAGGAATAACTCGTTGTTTAGGGCGCTAGCGAGAATATCGGTGTTCGAAGTAACGGCTTGCCGCGGTGACATTTCCCAATAGGATGCACCTCCAGAGAGATTGTCGACTAGTGCAACAACCGGATCAGCCTGGTAGGGTACAACGGGCTGGGTCCAGTTGAAGAACTCGAGGAAGACGGTTCTGACTCGCGAACTCTGCAAGGCCGGGAAGGATTTCTCGCTGGAAGTCGCCATCTGGTCGATGACAGTGAACGCAGCTCCATTCGACGTTGTTTGGTTTGCAAGAACTTCGATGGCTTGGCTTTCCTTGTCAAGTCCAGCAGATCGCAGGAAGACGTCACGCGGAAGCTCGTCGATGGAAATGATGCTCCCGACCGAGGAACGCCGGGCAGTGCCAGGACGTATAGGGTTATCTTGAATAAGCTCCGCAGACTTTTGCTGCAGCAGGACATCGCGCCTTTCAGACCTATCGATTAGGGATAGGTGCAGCTGGAACAGAATGATACTCCACACGAAGATCGTAGGGTATGCTGCGGCTGCGTCAAGGCTTGATGCAGCCTCTATTGTGATGTGAATGTCCTCCATAACCTGGGGGAACGAGAGGTAGAGTATATCCTCGCTCGGAGTCTCGCCGTCTGGGTTCACATGGCGAAGCGCCTTAGTGGGGCTAAGTAATATCAAGGATACGGCGCAAGTGACCGTTTGTAATGCAGCTTGTAGTTCTTGTGCGACTGCATCTGACGTCTAGAAGAACGGTTGCCATAGGGTTAGCATGGAAGGAGACATGAGACATTAATGGAATGGAAACGGCAGAAACCTACCAAGAGCTGCTCAAAAAAGCAGTGAACCTTCATCATCGAGAACCACCTGCCGACGATCTTCGGGTTGACTAACGCGCCAGACATGTAGTCCAGAGCTTGAAAAACCACCAAAGTCGCATGGACGGCTTGATCTACGCCAGTTCGTAACCAGTCGATAGCTACATCATCTTGGGTAACTAGGGGATCATCCGTCGTCGCTTCCAACCCCGCGTCGAGGGAATTGGTGATCACAGCAAGGAGATCGAGGTAGGTGGTAACAGTCTTTTCGACGAATCCACGCCGTCCGTTCGCATCATCCGCTCCTGACATGGGGCGTGGCAAGCCATATAGCTCGTTGAGGTTGAGAAGAGGGATTTCTGTGGCGATCGGAAGTCTCTCGTAGAAAATGATCGAGTGAAGATAGCTGGCTACCATCAAGAAGAATCTCTTCTCATAGAGATATGTTACGTAGATCCTGGCTCTCCTGGATTCTTGCTTTTGAAACTCATCCCAGAGAGCGTCGGCGTCAACAGACCCTGTCGTAGCTACCCTAGCTACGACAGTGGACGACTGGACCTCGTTGCCGCCAGCCGCATCTTGAAGGTTGAGGGAGTCTTGGAGGGACAAAGGGCCTGCGAGGTGGTATGCGGGACGAGCCTGGAGCTCGATCGCGACGATTCGAAGCGCGGCAAGGAGGTTAATTCTCGCGTTCTTGCTTAACCACTGAGCATCCTCCTTGATCGTTTTTATATCGTAGCTACCGTTCGATTTCGGCGTGACATGGATTGCCGAGGTCCTCGTTTCGAACTCGGCACTCGCGGCATCATCTTCGAATGTAAATGTTTTCGCAGGATTCTTTATCAGGTCCTGGACGTAGGTATCTTTAAGGAATTCGCGTACGGCATCGGTCGTCTGGCGCACGCCTGTCGGGTCAGAAAGAGCAGTTGCGACTAATTTCCATGATCTACACAACGCAGTTAGTAGGCGATCGAGGGTATACAAGATATTTCCAGTTCGGATTGGCTACGATGACGCATGTGGCACGTACAAAATGTCTCTCTCCCCCTTCAGGCACTCCTCTAGAGGAGGGAGGTAGACGCGATGATCCAAAGCTTGCGCCATCGCCATATAGGCTCGCCGGAGAACACTCAGGGGCCAACGAGGTTCATTTGCTACCCCTGCGACCAGATAGACGTGTTTCTTTCCGAACAGTGGCAAGCCGAATTCGTTTGGTGGTGGCCGAAGAAATTTGTCGCGATCGAAGCTCTTCTCCCAAGCAACCAGAAGTGCAGTCAGGAAACCAAGCTCAATATATTTTTGTATTTTGGCGCTGCGAGCTCTGCCGTCTGCTCACAGCTGTTTCTTTCACGTTGCCTCTGGTCGTGGTTCAAGTCGGAACCTTCCAGCTTATATAAGCTCTCTCCAGCGCCTACAGCTTGGGACAGGGAATAATGACGGGGCATTATCATCTTGATCACTGAGAGAAAGCTTCAAAAGATCTGAATATCTAAACCAATAATACTTCAGTGTATGCTGTTTCCTGGGAGCTACTTCGTATAGCGGGAAAAAAAAAAGGCTGATCTGCGAATTTGCTGCGTTTCGTGGTCTGTCCTAACCTCCGTCTTCGAGGCACAGGAACCGCTCGGTTCCGTCCAAGTTGTCCGTCCCATTCACCATTAACTATTAACTCAGTCCGTTTTCATCAGACAGCAGGCAGCCTGATCTCAATGCCATTGAAACCAGATCAGTACGAAGTAACTAGACCATCACTGTGCAAGCTATAGGCTGCTAGTCTCAGAAGGCATTAAATTCGGATTCCAGGAGTTTATCAGCCAGAGTCTGTTCGATAGTTTTCAACGCTCGCTATCAAGCTTCCAATTCATCCATCGAGCTCGCCCATCCACGATCAACTGGCTGCCAGGTTGATTCTGCATCAAATCGCAATGGGAAATGTAGAATTCAATTGCTGGTTGCTCCATCGTGAATGGGACTATCTGCATTCCCCATTCGACCATGAAACAGACTAAGCTTGAAACAAGTGTCACAGAGGCGAGACCATTGGCTCTCTTGCGGGACCAAAAGCTTGACAAAGAACGCAAAATCCATGCGAGCAGCGGAATACCGTTTTTGGTCTTCCCAATGTATGTCTCGACTGCATGGTCAGTAGAGCTGCAGCAGCGCTTACGAAGTACCAAGTTGGTTCTGGCTTATTGGGAGGCTCTCGGCAAGACCGTCAAAGGCGGGCTCGAAATTTTGTCTGCTCGACAAGTAGAGAGCTCGTAAGATACGAGGAGACAGTGAAGCACTCTGGTTTGATGCCATGGACATGGTTAGGCCAGGGCGATTGAAGACATCACGAATGCGACAAGACCTGGCGATTGGTCCTGCGGAGGATATGGCCCGGCTCGTCTCAATGACAGCGAGGAACTGGCACCAAGAAATATAAAAAAAAATATAAAAAAAAAATAAATAAATAAAAAAGAAAAAAAAAAAAAAAGAAAGAGACACGACAGAAAGTGAAAAAGGAGAAAACGAAGAAGGGAAGAAAGTGAAGCTTAGCTAGTTTGCCTGGCACTGTTTTCATCACTCACAAGTTGCCAGGTCCTCTTGTCCATGCAACGAGTGGTATGGAGCCGGGAACGATGTGTATACCTGACTCTGCCGGGCTGGCGGCGGAAGCCTAGAAGGCAGCAGAAGGGAACCTAGTCTGTCAGTCGTTACCTCGTTCGCAGGAGGCACCCTTTAAAATCCTTTCTTTAGTTACGAAGAGGGCGTTTGGGGGAGACAGGTGTATCGATACCAATGTCACTCACCTCGCTCAATCAGCAAGAAGGGGAATGGAGGGCGAGAGAAAGCTGATGACAAGTTCATCTGAAATGAGAGTTTAGCAGGACTGTCCAACGAGACTCGATGGAATTCAGACCATCCAAGGGGATGGCGTTGATAGCTTCGTTACTTTCGGTCGAGCAAGAGGCAGCCCCAAATTCGTTCGGATGCTGCCAAGGGCTCGTGGCTTGAGCATTGGTGGTGGGAGAGTCGATAAGACATCAGATTTGATACTTCTACTTCATCGTGCACCTAATAGGCCACGCGATAATACTGTGGGTACATTTGAGATATCTTCTGAGTTCTCGGTTGATTGACCTTAACTTTCTTACTTTCCGAATGAGCTCGTAAAGGAGTACGAAGTAATACAAGGCGGGCGGACAAGCTATCCGCCCAAGCACAGGATCTCAACACATCCTCCTCTCAAAGTACGAAGCAGCACGGGTTTAGACTGTCCCGCGGCAATTTTCTTTCCTCCTTGCAGTATATCAAAAATGGTCTTTGTGTGACTGAACATTGACATTGGCTTGTCATTACTTACAACAATGTTGCTGCACCGTACGAAGCACTTCGTACTGTACCTCAGCCCTCGTCGAGGGAAATAACGGCTCGGATCCTACAAATTAGTAGGAGGAGGATGACGGGCAAACGAAATGGGTCTCAGGTCGATGAACTTCTGGAGTCATACTCGACTCACCCCAGAATTGGTATCTGGTACGAGAAGGCCCTGCTGCTCGCAAGCTCACCAAGACATCACACTAAAAATTATGTACCTTTGTACTCAAGTTTATGAGTACCTCGAGGAAGTGATACAAACACCAAGTCTTTTGTCCTTCTTGCACCCCACGAATGATGAGAGTACATTGATACTTCGTACTTGACAAGCCAAAGATGATGCCTGTCGTATTACTTTGTGCGAGAGCTTCATCGTCGTGTGTAGTTGCATCGCGCAAGTTCATTTATACTACTACTTCGTACCCAATGCGAGCCGCTCAGCTGGTCGAGCCCGCCCGTTTGTTTTGCGTATTGATCTTTTGATTATGTGATGTGCTGGCTCACTTGTCCTCCCTTGCAGCTCGGGGTGACTGTTATGAAGAATCAAGGTCTTGGGTTAGATTTGACTCGAATGAAAATTGAAACGATTAAGTGTGCAAAATAATACCATTTTAAGATGTCGATTAATATTATTCGATTATCCAAGTTGAGCTCCGATAATACATATAGGATCCAGGTACAAGACAAATCGATAATCGGTTGAATACCCTCAGTACGAAGTATGTGGGATTCAAGTTGGCCAGGCCTCGACCTTGAGACCGACCTTGAGCTTTGTTCCATATTGTCCCATCCGTGCTGAGTCTCAAGCAACAGCTGCAACAGCTGCAAGGACCTGGCAACATCGCATCAGCCAACCATTGAACCTTCCTTTCCAGACCTGTCCAAATCAAGTCCAGCCCCAGCACGCTGAGCACGGCCAATGCCCTGCCCCCAGGCCATGCCCCAGGCTCCCAGCCCAGTCTAAGCCCATCCAAGTCCACCCGGTCCCAATTCTCAGCTGGTTCAATGTTCCTGCTTGTCTCGACTACATCATCCTTGGTTCGGTCCACCGTAACACCTCGCAGTTCCAGCCAAGTCCCAAGCTGGCGTTTCCGACGACAACACCTAACCAAATCTCCATTCCTGGCCCCAAACGACGTTGACGATCGTCCTCTTTGCACCTCATTCCAGTTGCATCTGCATCGATCAAGTGGCACTCGATCTTTCCTCTCTGGACTCCCACAGCACCCCGCGAATGCGTGCTGAGTACCGAGTAGCACTGAGTGCAGACCTTGGACCGTTGCAAAGCTTACCCGTTTCTCCACGAGGAGTCTCAACCTCGCAGGCTACAAATTAATAAACCTCAAATTTGATCCAATCCGCGGCTTGCAACAACGTTCATTCCCGCGACCAATTTATAACGCTGGAGAACCCCCCCTTTCTCTAGCAACGGCCTTATATCCAATCAACTACCGCCTCCAAACTCTCTGCGCATCGCCATTCGCTGCACGAAACATCGCGGGTATCGAGCCGACGCAATCCTCGAGAGTTTTTCAACAAGGGACAACACAAGCAGAGTGACTAGCGAGAATAAAAGTGTACAAGATAAAGGAAGTCCGTTCTTTTACGCCTTTCCTTCTGCATCTTGCCTTCTTCTTATTCACATTCGCACTCTTGCTCTGGTCGAGCTTGTCTCCCTGTTGTAGCTCTCTCTTGAACGCCTACCCCATGCAGATCGCCCTTCACACCCTCTGGCCCTCCCTGCGACTGTTAACCCCCCTCGTGACTGCCGCGTTCCTCCTGTACCCATCTCACAGATTTCCCATCTCCACCGACAACAATAACAACGAGCCATCGAAACCATCCGAACCCCGCCATCGAATTGCCTAGCCGACAAGGCTGTTCATCGACCTCTTCTCAGATCTCTGAAGTCGTCCCCCAGCCATGCCTACGCCACCGCCCGGGGCCATGATTCGGTCGGGCCTTCAACAGCTACAGCAGCCGACTGCTCCCGAAAATCCTGCCTCATCTCCCAGCAAGCGGGATTTGAAGTCGTGGTGGAAGGGTTTCAAATTACCCTCGGGAAAGAACCAAGAGGCAAACGGTACAGATTCCCCCGTCCAGTCGAAATCCAAATCCATTTCTTCGCCGTCGCGATATTCCGGCGTCTCGCGCTTTAATGAAGATAGTCGATACCCATTGCCCGCGCACCTCCAAGCTGTCCTAGCTCAGCACGACGCTCAGGTTGAAGCCCACGCCTTACCCCAATTTCCCTCAGCATCGCCTTCAGTTGTCAGGTCGAGTGATGCGACTTCTGAGGACCACGGTGGAGCTTACCGAAGTCCCGGTCGCTTGAAAACTATCGTGGTCGCTCCCTTTCGCTGTTTTATCACCAAACCTCTCACAGATCGATTTTCTTCCCCTCTATCCTCTACGCGTAAAGAGCATACTAAGCCGTGCACAGTACCAGAAACGAAACCCCATGGTATTTTCGGTGTTCCTCTCCGGCAAAGCATCACCTACGCGAACGTTGCCATATCTCTCGTGGACGAAAACGGGAGCAGCTATATATACGGCTATGTCCCGATTGTCGTGGCCAAGTGCGGAGTGTTTTTGAAGGAGAAAGGTAAGCTTCCTTCCCCCACCGTCGTCAGTCAAGGCGCAGTTCTCCCCGACTCTGCTTTGTTCGCATTTATCGTTATGGCTGACATTTTCCTTTGTTGGTCGACGTCACAGCTACCGAGGTCGAAGGCATTTTCCGATTGAACGGATCGGAAAAACGTATAAAAGAGCTGAAGAATATCTTTGACGAGCCTGACAGATACGGCAAAGGTCTAGTTTGGGACAAATACACCGTTCACGATGCCTCGAACGTGTTCCGCAGATACCTCAACGACCTCCCCGAGCCCGTCGTACCCCTCGACCTTTACGAAAAGTTCCGCGATCCTCTCCGAGGCGCGACGAAACAGGCAACTGGTGATGCAGAGGGACCTCAATTCGTTGAGGATTTCGACGAGCAAGCCGCTATCGCGAAGTACCAGCAGCTTATTACGGAGCTGCCGCCTCTTAACAGGCAGCTACTTCTCTACATTCTCGACTTACTGGCTGTCTTTGCGGCGAAGTCTGATTTAAATCGAATGAACTCTCAGAACTTGGCCGCCATCTTCCAGCCTGGCATGCTGTCGCATCCTGGTCATGCCATGGCACCCGAGGAATACCGACTTAACCAATGTGTTTTGATATTCCTCATTGAGAACCAAGACCACTTCCTCATCGGAATGCAAGGTACGGCTGCTGATGAGAAAACGAAGCAAGAGGTAGAGCATGGGACACCGGTGCTGGCTGCACCAGGCTCGCCATCGACCCCAACGCCTGGTGGACAGGACTCAAACCTGGGTAGGTCCGCATCAAATGCTAGTGCGGGAGCCGAGAGCGTCCGGCGCGATGGCAAGATACGGCGCAATCGCTCAACGTCGTCTAGACATTCTCGAAACGAAGGCGGCGCCACTCCAGTAAGCCCTGTTATCGTTACTACGCCCACAGGTGGCTTGGCAAGGAGCAACACAGTGCCGTCGAAGAAGTCCCCCGCTCTCGCAGCAGGACGGTTTCACAAGGATTCTTCGCCCTTGGCAGTCAGACAACCCAACTTCACCACTGCTCCCGAAGACCTGAGCGGCGACTCTCCTGCCGCGTCCACCATTACCCCGTCCATCGCAGGGAACACCAGTCTTTCTCCTACCACCGGAGCCGGTGCCGGTCGCAGCCAAGAGAGGCTCCTAGAGCTGCCCTCTGAAGGTCTCTCGACGCCCACAAAAGAGCGAAACCTTCAAAGTCTTTTTCAGAGATCCCCCACGAGTGAAGGCGACAAACGACAGCGTAACAAGCTAAAAAAGAGAGTTCCCGCTGGTGGAATACAAAACGCCAGCGCACACAGCTCTACCGCATCGTTACCTCATTCGACCGGCATCTCTCCTGGAAGAGAGTCCAGTAACCCCTTGGAAGCTCCTCCCGAGCGCCTGGAAGGCACACCCACCACTACTCCAAGCGAATCCCAACAAGTACTTCCCGCCGGTGATGACTCGTCGGAGCCTACCCCCCGAGGTTCTCAAATGCCCGCGCCTCTCCCTACCCTCCACCCTGAAAATTCTCTCAAGCCTAAAAAATCACCGTCAACCTCTCTCCATTCCTCATTCAACGAGGGTTCCGAATTTGACCACATCGACGAGCAGCTGCCCGCAACGTCAAACGTAGAGGTACAGGAAAAGGAAAAGAAGAAGCGATGGAGGCTCTCTCGACCCACTAAGAAGGACGAGGCCCCCGTTTCGCACCACTCTAACCTAGCGTCACCGCGCCCTGGGGTGGGAACAAATCTCCAGGCCGAGGACAGCTCTCTATCGCTTGCTAGCGGCAGTGTCGGCAAACCCCGAAAGAGCTTTACTAATGATAGCTCTGATCCCGCGTCATCCATGGTCGAGACGCAGCTGACCCAGGAATCGGGTAGCAGCAGTCAAAAGGAGAAGTCCGAGTCTGGAAAAGACGAGTCTACCAAGAACCCGATCGGTTGGATTAGGAACAAATACCGAGAGGCCAAGGAGACGCAAGGACAACGTCGGAACAAATCGCCACCCGCTCACAACAAGCATGCATCTTCAAGTACGAGCATTCTCTCCCTTCGTGGCAAGAGTCTTGATTTGAAGCGGGAGGAAGAAAAGTTGGCGCACTTGCATCAGCACTCGCAACCACTATTGCAACCGCAACCGCAACCGCAACCGCAGCACACTCCTCTGCCACCGATCGTGGCCGTCGAGAAACCCTCTCAGCTGTCTCAATCCCATGCGCAAACCCCTCAACCGCAACCGCAACCAACCCCGCCGGTGGAAACCCCCGTGTTCACGCCCAACCCCCCGCAGCAACAGGCTGCGCCTCATCAATCCCCACCAATTGCTCCGACGGCTCCGACGGCTCATCAGGAATAGCCTAGTGCAATGTACGACCCCTGATACCCATAATCCTAATCTGGTCATTTTCATCTACTTCTCCTTCTGCTTTATTCTTCATGGCGAGGCGCTTGGTGGCTTTTGAGTGGCAAGGAAGCTTGAGTCCGCGAAAGGAAGGGGTTGGAAAATAAAAACGTGGAAGGCAACGCTTCTTCTTGTTGGGCTATTGTTTTGTTCTATTTTCCCCGGTCGAGTAATGTGAGGATTTGTCGGTTTACGCTTTGAGGAGAGCTCTTTGTTTTCTCTTCTTTATGGGAGCTTCTTTGTCGTGATGTTTATTGGGGTCTGGAAAGGATTAGGGAGTGGGAAAATCAGGAGTCGGTTTCCTTTAGGCTCGTCGCCTTTTGTCGTTTCTGTTTCACCAACCAGTTACTTGGTATACGATACAGAGTTATCAAGCCTTTTGCCAGGAACTCTCCATGGCGCAAATGTTAAGCGTCTTGTTTTAAAACCCTCGATGTTGGCTTTGTTCATTCGGGCGAGTACTGTTTGTTGGGATACCCTCGTCATGTTTTTGCTTTTTCTTCTCTCTTCGACAAGTCTCTAGGTGTTATTGATATCGGTCTCTTGAGAGGCAGAAGTTGAAATCAAGAGGACTCCTGCAGGCTTATGGAGAGATATATTCGCAGGGGAGCGGAAAGGGGCTATATAACCTTCGGCAGCTCTAAGCTCAAGGGCGAAAAACACGTTGAGGAAACCCCCGGATCGGCAATTGGGTTAGGAGCTGTTTTGGGGTCTTGTTTCACTACTTTGAGGATCGACCTTCCCTTCTGCTCTGTTTCTTCTACTTTTATGGATTAAGAAGGTTGTAGATTAATGTCTTTGCCGTGATGATGGATGTGAACATTGTTAAAGCCTCCTTTTCTCCCTTCTATCTATCTATCCTACATGTTTTATACCCTTGAAATTTATCGTTGATCCAAGACGACCAAAAAACGACTAAAAGAAATTCTATACACCCGTCTCCCAAACAATCAACTTCCCAGACCTTCTCCAATCTTCACTAAAAAACCCATTCCAACCCTCCCACACACGCTTCAACTCCACGCCGTGCTCCCTACCAGGCCCATCAAAAAACTCCGTAATCACCGGCTCAATCCCCTCGAAGCCAACAATAAAATGAGGAACCCCCACCGCGCCGGCCTTGTCCTCCGACGGCGCCTCGACGGGCCAAAGTTCGTGGGAGAGGAACCCGATGGGACTATCGTAGAAGCGGTCGGCCATGTCCCTGTATAACGCCCTCTCCATGGTCCCGGGCGCCGTGTGTAAGGGTGGATCGCAAGTGAGGGCTCCGACGGAGAGGTTAGGGTGGATGAGGTGTGAGCGCCAGGGGGTAGAGTGGCACGGAGTGAGGAAGTATACGTATGGTTTATTGTCGCCGAACGTCATGGGGGCTGTGGAGATATCACCCGTCGCATATTGGTCGCGGAGGAAGTCGAGGACGGAGATGACGGCGCGTTGGTGGGCGACGGAGAGGTAGGATGCTAGGAGGAGGTTGATGAGGAGGCCGGCGGCTAGGTAGCCTTTGTGGTGGAGCTGGGAGGGCATGGATGGGTGGGAGGGGGACCAGAGGAAGAAGTGGGAGACGTGTTTGGCGGCGAGGATGTGGAGGAGGGGGAGGAGGGGGTAGATGAAGCGGGCTTCTTTGTGGGAGACTTGCGAGAGGATGGTGATGGTCAGGTAGACTGCCCATCTGAAGACCTTGAAGGCTTGGGATACAGCGGGATCGGGGTCGGATCTCCATAGCGCGAGAAGGACGAAGGGGAGGAGGGTGGTGCAGAGGAGTGGGAGTCCCTGGGTGAGGTAGTAGTGGCCGGGGTTCTCGCCGTAGAAGATGGCGAGGGACTGGGAGAGGTTAAAGTAGAGCCACTTATAGGGCGGGAAGGTCCAGAAGCCAAAGTAGAGGCGGTCAGCGGCTAGGGAGGCCGCGAGGGTCAGAACACCGTAAACTACCACCTCGCGGATAAAAAGGACGGTCTCCTTAAGGGTGGGATGAGTCAGGAGAGGCGACAGGCGATTCGGAATGAGGGTGAAAATGAAGACAGGCGCCCAGATGAACATATTTGTAGGTCGGAGAAGGACCGCAGTCGCAGCCAAAACAAGGGAAAGTCGGAGACTAGAACGTGGTGAGTGAGCAGAGAATCTCGGGCGTTAGGGTTAAGTTCGGCTCCTTACCTCCTGAGACCCTCCGGGCTACGGATCATGGACCCGAAGGATCTGATCTTTTCCTTTACAGGAGGTTGGAACAAGTCCCAGGGCCAATAGTTGAGCGCCGCAATGGTAAGCGTCGTCTCCAAAGAGTTGGAGAACGTCCTCACTGAGACGTACCACTGCCACGGATTAAGTACCGTCATCCAAAGCTACGGCCGAGTCAGTTGTAGGTCCATACCATGAGTACGGGTTAAGATTTCTTACTGCAGCAGTCGAGGCAGCCGTGTCATCCCTGTAAAGCCTTTTGGCCAGCCTCCAGGTGTACCAGTCTCCCAGGGCCGCAATCACCGCCTGGGTAACTTTAGGTGCCCAAAGAAGAAGCGTCGTTCTGAGACCGGGTACGACATATTGCCCGACCAGGTCAGCAAGCTTATAAACGGCGGCAAACAGTGCTGGGTGCAGCGAGGACCTGAGCTGGAATTGCCATTCCTATCTCTGGGTTAGTTCGGCACAGGGCCAAAAATCCATCTAGGGAGATGTGGAAATAACAAACCCAGGTGATGTATGCACCGCTGTCTTTCCCAAAGGCGGCCTGCCAGGCTGGTTCGAGACATTGGAAATATTCGTCCGGCTGGAAGAAGGTCTGGGTCAAGGCAACGTTGACAAGCCGGAGCAAGATCAAGGCGCCGAGGACCTTCCCACTAGAATATCCTACTCTTGGAGAATGGGAGCTCTTGGTGGAAGCCATGATGGTAAACGGCTTCTAAAAAAAGGAGCTGGGAGATCCGGATGTGCTCCTGGCGCCAAATTCTCCCGGTTCGTGATCGTTAATTACATGCGGACGCGGATGCCTGGTAAACTGGAACATTCTAATTATTCACGTCGTCATCGGTCCTTGACGCGTGCCAGGAACAGGGAGCCAGGGGTAGCCGCCTGGTCAGGTTGGCAAGATCTCATTACAGGGGCTAGAACCGGATTAATGCAAATGGGTCTGCTACAGGGCAAACTAGCTCTATATCCCAATAAACGGATACATGCATAATCACCACCCTAATTGCATCGGTGCTGGAAGATCGAGAATATTCGCCTTGCATGTGAGTCGAAGAATTGGGAGGCATACAGAGACGGCGAAATAGTCTACCAAGCCGGTAATCTAGGCCGACCCTGCACGGCTCTGGCGATTCTCGCGCGACCTATCAAGTGCAGGATTACATGTACTCGTCGTCTATCGAGTTTAATGGGAGATGCAGATTCCGTTATCTATTCTGCAAGAGACACGTGGCCATGCTTGTAAGACGGGAAGGGCGATTAGATTTGAAGTATTCCGCAGTTCTGGCTCTCGATAAGTCTGGGGTTGCGGGATGATTTGCCAGTACGAAGTAACTCGCGGTGAATGCGGCGGCGGTCACAGAACCACGGCAAAGACAATGTTGATACGGCGGCTGGGTTGTTGCTGCAAGAGGGTGAGGAGCTCGCCGGCCCAAGCCGAGCAACATTTCACTAACCAGTAAACAATACCCAGTATCACAACTAGGCCGGGTCAAGAAGGCACAAAAAAAGTCTCCTCCGCACGGAGCCGAGAAGAAGGTCGATTTCGACTCGTGACCTGCTCTGAGTGCCGCTGAGTGCCGCGTTTATTGGCTGTTGCTGGTCGAGGCCCGAGAGCCAAGCCCAGATGGCAAGCAAGGGGAATAAGCCGGATCCTATTGGCTTGCCAGAGAATCTGCACTGTCGATTGACCATATCTGGGCAAGTGGAGGCCATTCAGCCTGGGGTCTGGAAGACTACACTAGCGGTATCAGGCTGGGGTTTGCTTCGCCGTTGTCGGAAGAGGACCAAACCCCAGGGCCACCTCTGTTGGACATGTAGGACAGCAGCGCAAGTGAGCAAGTAGCATTAGGTTAACTGTGGGTGGAGATACTCAACCCGACCTTCCCAATGCCCATCAACGATCCATGGATCTCCCCGGATTCAGGATATAATCTAATCTACCTGGAGACAGATGGGACGCTGCAATTGGTCGCGGTGGCGATAATAGAGACGACGAGCCGCTTTGCTTCGGCATGCCATGTCCCAAGGAATGCTTCGCATGGTCAGACTATCACCAAGTAAGCCAGGTCCGGGGACCGGATCCTCGTACTTGGTAGTATTGCCAAATCAAAACGAATCGAATGGCCAACCTCTTGCCTTTAACGGCAGTGGAGGGGAACCACGGAAGAGCACAAGCTGCAGCTTAGGAAGAAGAGAAGAGGCAAGGGTCCCACATAGCAGGATTCAATGATTAAGAAATTGAGGGTCATGATTGGAGCAGAATCGGGGCATTATGTCACCGATGTCACCGCTCGTGCAACCTTGCAATTGATTTCCTCGTCCTACTTTTTTAGCCCCTCCAAAAACCACCACTTCCTCACCTCAGGTCGCTTAAACCTGCGCTTAGGGGAAACACTCGGCGGCCATTCCGACACGGGCTAACTGCGGTGAGGAACCCCCCTCAATTCTCTTCCCAAGTTTGCCAGGTTTCCCAGGTTCGCCCCTTGTCATACTCAATGATTGGATTCATTAGATCCAATGTAGATCCGCGCTTTACCGGCGCCCGCTCGCCCCAAAATGGGGTCCGGTCCAAACCCACCCGCCTTCACTACGAGCAAGTCGGCTACCAGCGAGGATTATACTTTTCGGTCTATAATAAGCCCCCCACCCCCAGTCCAATCGATGTCCTCGCATATCTTAGCTTTCTGTTTGTTTCACACAATCCTTGACATCGGTCTACCATCTTCTACTGTTCATCTTCCTTGTAGACTTTCATCTTCTGTCTTGAATAGATCTTGAATAGATCCTAGAAGCTTCTAAATCGCATTCACGTCTTGATCCCTTCCCAGACTTCAGACTTGGAACTTGGAACTTTCCACAAGCCAGATCAGAACTTACTCTAGACTATCTGAACCGACAACCACCACCCATCATGGCGCCACATGCAAACGACAGTCCCAATGGCAACAGCACCTCTTCCCCTCTCAATCCCCGAGTCCACGCCGCCTCCACCGACGCCGCCATCGCCGGCGAGAACGAATTCGCCGCCCACAACTACCATCCCCTGCCCGTCGTCTTTTCCCGCGCTCAGGGAATCTACGTATGGGACCCCGAGGGCAGGAAGTACATTGACTTCCTCTCGGCCTACAGCGCCGTGAACCAAGGCCATTGCCACCCCGAGCTCGTCAAGGCTCTCTGCGACCAGGCAGGCAGGCTAACGCTGAGCTCGAGGGCCTTCTATAACGATGTGTTCCCGAAGTGGGCCGAACTCGTGAAGAACGTGTTTGGGTACGACATGGTGCTGCCCATGAACACAGGTGCCGAGGCGGTCGAGACGGCCATCAAGGTTGCGAGGAAGTGGGCGTACAAGGTGAAGGGTGTTGAACAAGGAAAAGCGCTAGTCTTTTCTGTTGAGGGTAACTTCCATGGCCGAACTGTAAGTCTAGAACAAGAAGTGCCGCCGCGAAAGTTGCTTCCTGCCTGCTAATACACGCCAGATGGCGGCAATCTCACTCTCCACGGACCCCGAATCAAGAGACAACTATGGCCCATATGTGCCAAACATCGGCTCCAAGATCCCCTCGACCGGTAAGACGATCCGCTTCAACAACGTCGCCGACATCGAGGAAGCGCTAGAGGCCCATGGCAAGGACACCGCCGCCTTCATAATCGAGCCCATCCAGGGCGAAGCCGGCGTCGTGGTCCCCGACGATGATTACCTCACGCGCGTCCACGAGCTCTGCAAGAAGCACAACGTCCTCCTCATCTGCGACGAGATTCAGACGGGCATCGCGCGGACGGGCAAGATGCTCTGCTCGCAGTGGGCCGGCATCAAGCCCGACATCATCGCCCTTGGCAAGGCCATCGCCGGCGGAATGTACCCTGTCAGTGCCGTGCTCAGCAGCAAGGAGATCATGCTAGTCATCGAGCCAGGAACCCACGGATCCACCTTTGGCGGTAATCCCCTCGGCGCGGCCGTGTCCATCCGCGCCCTCGAGCTCATCAAGGAAGAGGACATGGCCGGCAATGCCGAGAAGCTCGGCCGTATCTTCCGGGACAGCATCACGGCGCTCAAGTCTCCCGTCGTCCAAACCGTTCGCGGAAAGGGTCTTCTCAATGCCGTTGTCATTGACGAGTCCAAGACCAACGGCCGGACGGCGTGGGATCTTTGCATCAGTTTGAAGAACAAGGGCGTGTTGGCCAAGCCTACCCACGGCAACATTATCCGGTTCGCGCCGCCGTTGGTGATTACTGAGGAGGAGCTCAGGAAGGCCCTGGGTGTTATTACGGAGGCGATTGAGGGGTTGCCGAACGCGGAGAAGGCGGTGCATTAGATTGGAGATTTACACGGATATGCATGTGCAAGAAGATGTGCCATTGAGTGGCGTGCTCCGAAATTGCTGCGCCAATTTTTTTTTTTTTTTTCTGATAATATTTTTTGGATATTCTTCAATCTTATAACGGGAGGGAAACAAGTGGCGCCATCTAGTGAGCCCTTGATGGGCATCAGGGAGTTCACTGGGAATTGTCTGTTTGACTCTATGGGTTGGATATACCAAGTCTCTTTTGTATGAGAAAAAAAATAGAACAACGGACAGGAGGCCCAGCGCAACCTTACGTGCGGATCTTGAACCCGCCCTCTACAGATTTACTACTACATAAATACTACGAGTTCATGATGCCCAACAAACGACTCATGTCTAGGGTGGCACAGATCTTATTCGTGACATGTGCACAACTGAAAGAAGACTGGGAACGCTAGCAGGAAATGGCGGGAGATGTCCATATCTGCCTTTCATGCGGTCCCCGGCGAATACTGTGGCATGTGTAACTCACCGCGCGAGGGAGATGGGTTTAATACCCGCGACCTTCTTCTTCCTCCGGTTGTTTGTTTACCGAGAGGAATAGTCTTCGGCAGGTCGCGGAAGGATGCATTTGCGGTGCTTTCCCGTTTTCGAGCCGGGGTGGATAGGTGTGCGTGATACGAGCTATGTTGTGGGAGGATGGCGTTTGTAACATTGGTTCCCGTTGGGCACAGGGTGGTCTCGGGAGTCAGGAGGGACGGGAGATGAGGAAGGGAAGCAGAAGTTTGGGTCGTTGAAAAGCAGTCGTTGCTGTGTCAAGGGTGATGTCTATCCAGGTATCTGGACCCGAGTCTCGATCTACCTACATGGCCGGAACTGAGATCTAGTTGCCTTGGGGAACTCGACGATATCTCGAAGTGCTGGAGGATTTCTCAGACAAAAAGGGAGGATTTATATTCACGGCAGAGACCAAGATACAAGCACATACGACCATAGCCCGTGGGAACCTGAGGGTCCCGTCTGCTCCCCTGTACATAAACCACGGAGCGCCGGTGTTAGTAGTTGGGTCGGTGACGACCAGCGAATCCCCGGTGTTGTATGTCAACCTCATTTTTTGGGTAGATTGTTTTCTTTTTTTGGCGTTTCTGATTCTTGTCACGCCTCAATCGAAATTGCCATTTCTCCCTCTCTCTCTCATCGCTCACTCAGTCCTACTCAGTCCTACTCAGTCCTACTCAGTCCCATTATTCACTTCTCCTCGCAAGTCGCCTGCGGTTTTCTCTGCAGCTGATAGGGAATTAGGACGATGGTTCTTATTCTTATTCCGGATCGGCTCTCTCGCGCGAATCGGAAAGACCGGGGCAGCACGACTCATCTTCTCGGTTCGCTCTAATGGAACTCGGCCAAGAAAACAGAGGCGGTGCTCCGGATACCAATGGGCGGCGCACAAGCCGATCTCGGGATTCGAACAGGTCATGCACTCGGACCATGCCACCCGGGGTTCGACAGGAGCATAATATTCACGGTCGCATCAATGACCTCATGAAGGATTCTCTTGTCATGACACCATTCGGCTAGAACTAGACCGAGCCCGGTGACATTTAGTCTCGCAAGGGATATTAGGAACCCTCCTTCCTGGAGCCTAGATTAACAAAATTGGGGATTTTGCTGATAATACCAGGCAACAATTCAATTTTCCAATTTCCTCTGATGCTTTTGGACGAAATATCTGAGGCCCGCATACTCGTACAGTTTCTGCCTAGGAATCCATGCAAGCCCCCGATGCATAAGGGCGTCCCGGGTGTACATTCCGCTTTTAACGCAGAGACCTAAAAGGCCAAGGGATGAGCAAGGCTACCCTCTTGCATGGAGGCAAGGGGGGGAGGAGGACGCTGGAAGCCAAGCTCCGGACAGGCTGGGGGGGAAAGGTGGCGGGCAGCCATGCATTGGACCAACCGGAGGCTCAAATCTAGTCCTACGAGGTACGACAGTGTTTCGATCGGCTGGCCGGACCTCAGCATTCCTGCTTCACAGCTTGCATATGTAGGTACTTCGATAAATGGCATACGAGGATTTGGTGTCGAGACAGCTGCGGCTCTTCACGCATTTGGAAAGTAGGCGACATCTTTTGCTCTCCTCTTCTTACGACAAGGCACAAGTAAATCAAGTTTTTGAGAGAGAAAATAAAAAGAGGGAAAAGAAGCAGGTCAGACCACTTGGAAAAAACACTGAATGGGAGGGTGAGCGTGGCTCTTCGAGCGAAATCGCTGCGTCAGTGGTGTAGGACTGTAGGTCTTGGCCCAGGGGTTCTTCCCACCTTCATCCATGCGAGCATCTCGGAAGGGCCAGTTGACAAAAGCCTCCCTTGGGCGAAGTGGAAAATGCCGGTAGACGAAAACGGGGATTGGATGGTTGCCATCTTGGCCGATATGGCTGATAAGGGGGGGGGGGGAGAGGGATTGAGGCTGGGATGGTGGGAAGCTTTAGAGGACAAGTAGACACAGCACAGGCGATCAATCTATCAATCTATCAAATCAATACCTCGAAGCTAGCCAGCTCACTGTTGGAACAATTGTAAGATTACTTTCTTCCTGCATTAGATCGGGCGCCGGTCTGCGTGTAAACTAATAAGATTTGAGGGAAATTTACGAGCTTTAGATGGACATGATATCGACGCGAAGGATCTAATTCATCTGATCCCTCTGTTTACCTTCTGTGTTTGTACACGGAAAATCTGCCCTTACAACTGAGTACTTCGTAGAGATGAGCTCGAGACGTCAGGTGATGGCGCAATGGATGACATTTTCTTCGTGGCGGATGGCGACGACCGAAAACGGGGCCAACGATGTGGCAATAGTGATTTTGGCAGGGCCGGATCTATCCAAGTCTGTCCAAACAACGTCAGATGTCAGGGACCTGATGTTTGATGTTGCTCTAAGGTAATGCGAGGTAACCACGGAGCCAGGTGCAGAGCCGAGGAGCCAAGCGATTAATGGCGAAGCACAGGGGGAATGAATAACAACAATAGCAACAATCTAAAGGAGAAGGTGAAGAAAAACAAGATGGATGGTGGTGAGCGTCCACCAGCTCAATCAGGCCCTCCCACGTATGAGTTTGACTGTGAGGACTAATCCTCGACAACCATCACCCACCACGATCAATACAACTTTGCTTTTGCTGGATGCATGAAGTATGGCCGGAGGGATTGACGTATTGATATCGATGTTGCTTTGGTCTTCTTTCACGGCGCACAGCGTGAGGGGGCAAATAATTTACAGTTTACATCAATTTCTCAGGCATCCAAAACGGCCGGAGTTGCTCCCACGAGGACTGTTTGACTGACAGTGGGCGGTGTTGAAGAGCGCTGAAGTGCCTGCATTTGATTCATCCAATCCCCTCCACGCCCTCGGTCAGTCGGTGCCGTCGGTGGATAAAAAGGCAAATCGGAGGTGAGCCAAGCTAATGATGCGCGATTCTGATACGACGCGGGCTAACACAGGTGACTTGATTCTGCGACCGGCGTTGAACATGAAGTGTGCGGGCGGATTTTGGCGCTCGAGTATCAATGTCTGTCAGGCAGACCGGCACTCGGTTGGACCGGTCACAACAGGTACGAAAGTTCTCCGGAGTCTAGAGAGCACGGTTTTGGTTTCTGGCTCACAGCTGGTCGATGAAGCTGCAAGTAGACGGCTTGTACATGGATACGAGTCCAGTACGAGACGAGTTGATACTGAATTGATACTTTGTCCTCTGATTAACAGATCAATGGATACCTTGGTTGGCTAACTGAGGGTGTATCTGCACACCCACCCCCAACATAGCGAATATTGCAAGCGTACACTTCTACACCACTATTTGAGCATGCTGATACGACGATGCCCAGTGAGCATCTGGTGCCAACTTAACGATCTAATCAACGGGCTAACACACCACCATGCTTCGGGAACTGCGTACAGGGTCGCCGAAGAACGCGGATAATGCCAGACCCACGTTCTAGAAACCAGATTCCGACACCGGCAATGGAAAACACTTGAACGCTAGCAAAGGTTGTACACTCCCCACTCGAGAATGTCGCTTCTTCATTCCGAAACACCGTCCAGCGGTCAGTGGTGTACTATCTCCAGTTCCAGAGCCCGGATGCGCACTGGACCGCGTGTGCAGTTGAGTAGAAAAAAATGTGAAAAAGAGTCGGGGGCAAGAGTTGCGAATGCGAATGTCAGGGATGTGCTGCAAGGCCTCAGGGTCTCCTTCAGGCACTCGTCTACATGGCACAAGGTTGATGTGCCTTTTGCAGATGCAGGAGGGCCCCATTAAAAATGGCCCAACGAGCTGTCAGCTTTGTCCGGGAGGGATGGATTTTTGGGATATATGAGTACTTTGGTAGTAGGAGTATAGGAAATCTACGGGTAGCTCGAGGTAATTGGGGAATGGGTGGACCCCCAAAAACAGTCCCGAGACAGAAAACCAACCACTTCCATCAATAAGAAGCCCGTCCTGGGGCGACGTCCCAAACTCCCCCCTCTTCTTCCCACAACCTTGTGTGGGCCTTGGATCGGTCAAAGCATGAGCAAAAGTTAAGGCAAACCATCCTATAGGTCCCAAGGATTTACAGTCAAGCACATGCTATTTTGAATTTCGCCCTTTTCGCCAGCCGTTGAAATATGTCAGGCCGCCGCCGGATGCGCTGCTGCGCTGCACGATGTTGGTAGTCCCCAAGCTTCTTATCGCTGGCTAGTGATAACATGCATCTCGGGCGGGGCGGGGAATGTAACCAACCACTCCATCCCACACTGCTCTCTCGGGAGTAACCTTCGCCCACTGTGGAAGCTCGAAAGCTAGTGTCCAGTTTACTAGTCCAGTTTACCAGTCCAGATTCTCGTTGCGTCCGGTCGGGCTGGGAACGGCCCTTGCGAGAAACACAATGGCGTAAAGGGTGATAGTCGTCCATTTCGCGTTATCGGTCACAAATCATGAATGGCATTGACTGGGAAAACAGCCGATAAGGGAGAATGACGCACTAACGCTCTCGTATCCTGAGGAGAATAGGCAGAAAAGGGTCGTCACCAACTAACCTCCAATGCTTCGCGAGATCTTGTTAGAGAATCGGCAAAGAACAAAGGAGACACAAGCGGGTGGGGCTCCTTGCAAGTACTTTGATCCGTTTAGAAAATACTAGTTTTATAATATAAAATATGTGTAAAATATAAGTATCCCTTAATCTGGTTACAGTAACTTATCGATACGTCATGTCTGTTCTTGGTTGGTTACTTTGATTCTCCCTTTAGTTGCATCAAGCGAGCGTCGTTCCTAGAATGCCCGGCACATTGAATCAAATCCCTGTATTATCATGAGTTTGGTTCTGGGGTGATGGAAAGGGAAACACAATGAGTGCATTAAACCAAAATCCACACTTTGTTCGGCATTTCGATGTCCTCGTGCACTGGTTTAACTTTCAGATGCGGTGGATCAGACCCATGCTAGTACAAGGATATTTTCCCCGCAAGGAGTAGCAATGTGCTGGAGGAGTTCATCGATCGATGAGCGCTGTTCTTTCAGGAGCCAGGATCGGCAAAATCGAAGAAACAATGATAGGAGTTTTCGGAGGTGGCAGGGGCATCAATGTCGGGGCAGTGGTCCGGTGGTTTCACCTTGCAGGTCGTCCCACAAGCTGAACGATGGGGCAAAGGCGCCAAAACTGTTTGGTTTGTATTTGGCTGAAAGCCTCTGGGCATCTGAATTGCCTGGTCTACTTCGTAGGATCAATACTAATAGTGCAGAAGAAGGGAGAACATGTCGCATGCACTAGAACCCTCAATGGTAGGTACCATGCAGCGATAGCAGATGACGTTCAAAGCGCAATGTTCACTAGACTGGTTAGGTTAGGAGCCAGGGAAGGGAGGGTCATACCAAGACCGACGACGATGGTACGGCATGAGTTGAAGGGTGCTGTTTCGTCAGCTTGTCAATTTGTGGTTGTGATGAGCAATCCGAGGGAGAGGGAGGGACTCGGCTGGCGCCAAAGTCTGGCCGTTAGCTCGAGCCTACGTTGCTGTTGACAAGCGTTGAAATATTGTGGTTTGGAGGAGCGGGCTTGGTGCGTCAGTGCCATCCAAACTTTTGCAATTGCTCCTCTTCGGCACGCAACATCTCCCGACCAAGAACGGGGGGTTACTCTGATAAGCAGAGTCCTATTATCTACAGTTCGGCTCGGCTAGGACTGCACAGAGTTCGAATTACCAACATAGAACTGGAAACTGCCTCAAGGCAAATCTGTCCGGAGATGACCTGAAGAGAACAGACCCATTGCCCTTTCAACGGAGATGCGTGCCTTTGCATCTATCAAGGTTTGGGATTAATACGTCTATCTAACCTTAGACTTGGAGGGAGGAGCAGCCGGGGATCTTCTTCGTACAAATATGGTCCCTTCTCGGCTCTTAAGCGCCTTAACTCTTCCGAACTAACGTTTACAGACACATGCCCAGAGTTAAGCCCCCTTTCTGGGTGCTGCAACGTTGTGCTGTTAGGAAGAAGAACAAAGAAGAAGGACTGTCCGGCTCGGACAGGGTACATTGAATTTGATTCTTAACTTTCTGCGATGGGGGAAAAGGCTTGGGTCCCTGACTGGGTACCAACGATCACGGTTTGACCGGACAGGCTCTGTAGGCTAGGACGTTTTAGGAGCTAGTCCTATGACTACCTCAGTCCTCTTCCATTACATTATAGTTAGAAACTGAGCTCCTTACCCACACATTACAACCCACACATTACCTCATTGCTCCTGCACTGGATGAAGCGTCGTCTGCAGGGAGTGAAGATGGCTTGGATTGTTGGTCCAGGAAAGAAACGAAGCAGGAAACAGAACAAGGGTCACATGAACCGGACGGCATGGTACGGAGGTACCTATAGGCCCCTGTCGCGCTTCCCCAACATCTGAAAAGAGGAGATGCAAGCCTCACTTGAAATCCATGTACCCAGTGCATTCTAGCATTATTATTCCCGGGCTTGGTCCAAGTCTAGTCATTCAACATGACCTAAACCAACGTGCAAAGGAGACGAGGCAGGGGTCCCTCCTCGTTCCTGCTTTATCCGTACAGTATGTATGGTGGTGGAGGTTTCTAATCATGCCGGATAGAGTCCAAGAATCGGTCAAGGAACTTTGTGTGTACGAAGTACCTACACCCCGATCCAGATCATTGATTGCTGATCTATTGTTAGTGCAAGTGCTTTATCCTGAAGCAGCGGATCCAGTCCTTGGACTTCTTGATGTGCTTCCGGAACATTATTTCTGGCTGGGACTTCTTTGTACACTCCACGTCCCACGCTATAAGAGAACAACATACACAGTGCATGCCCTGGCCCTCCCCACCACTGCTGCTGTCCAATGCCCATCATCGATCAGATCGGCCATCGAGTCACGCTCCTCCCCCCGTCCCTTCTGCGTTGTCCTCAACAATATTCATTCTCCTGACCTTTTTCAAACTTTCTTTTCTCCTCAATTCCCATTTCCTCTCATTTTCCCCCACTGCTCTGCACGATCGACCTATCCTGTCTTGTCCTGACCTTAAGCATAGTGCCTACATACGTTCTTGCACTAAGTCGTAGGCGGTGAGCATATTTCGCCAAACCACTCAACTACTTCTCAAGCGCTAGGCGTGACCCGGCGTTGACCCGTACCCGGACCCGTTTTCTGCCTGGCAGGTGACTAAAAGGGTACTTTTTCCCGCCTTTTCTTCATGTACTTCCGTACCCACCCACGCCCACCGCCCAAATGTACTTTGTACCTTCCATCATCTACGCCTTGCGCCTTCCAGACCTTCTGCCACTTGACCCGCGAGCTTAGCGCTCCGAATACGTCAAAGCCTGTATTAGTCACGTTCAGTCACTCGCCCTCCTGCTCTTTCCCTTCCTCCTCACCCAGAACCCAGCTTCTCGCGACTTACGATTCAACACCTCCCCAAAATCACTAACGAGACACTTCAGGATATTCGACGACTTCCTCGATTCTCTCCGTCTCCATAGACGGCCCTGGATACTCCGGTTACACTCATACGAGCCGTCCCCAACCTCTTTTCCACCTGGCATACCCACGACTGGTCGTTCCACCCTTCTTAGACCGTTCCGCGTGCGGCACCCTTCGAACCCTTCCATTTCTTGCTGCCTTACATTAGTTTCCAGCTGCGAAGCGACCACTACTGCCTCCTCCTCTCTCCCCACAGAAACTCTTCTGCCTTGAGCAGTCCTCGACGTTATTTTTAGAATCCCATCTCTTCTCCGACCTCTTGGGCCTATAGATTTATACCACAAGCATCGTGTACATGACTCCGAACGCTGCCGACGTCTTTCGAATAGATTAAGCCTCCGGGCTGCTCTCACGACTCCTACCTCCTAACTCTACCTACTTCTGCTTCTCGGCCTCCCGAGACCCCGACCCACACATTATGGCGGACCCGCGTAAGGGCTCGTCGTCCTCTGGGCGCGAGAAGCATGGCCATGCTCAAGTAGGAAACTTCGTCGTCGGCGCGGAGATCGGCAAGGGCAGCTTTGCCCAGGTTTACATGGGATGGCATAAGGTAATCCAGCTACCCCATCTCCGGCGAATTCTTACTCGGCGCCACTCCATACCTCCTCCCCGGGCTTCCCTATTCACCTTACTATAGTTTTAATTCCACTTATAATCCGCGTATTTTACACCTGTCCTCCACTGCTTCTTAATTACTATCTTTCTTTTCCTGGCACCTGCCAACTCGGTTTCTGCACCCAGTGACGAATCAAGCTAACCAACCCTCTCCTTGGTACAGACGTCTCGAGCAGCCGTAGCTATCAAATCCGTCGAGATCGACAGACTAAACAAGAAGCTCAAAGAGAACCTCTATGGAGAAATACAAATACTCAAAACCCTTCGCCATCCGCACATTGTAGCTCTACACGACTGCGTCGAGTCCAAAACACACATAAACCTGGTAATGGAGTACTGCGAGCTTGGCGATCTGTCATTCTTCATCAAGAAACGAGACAAGCATGCGACTCACCCTGCTACCTACGATTTAGCGCGAAAGTACCCATGTCCCCCGAATTCCGGCCTCAACGAGGTTGTCATTCGTCATTTCCTGAAGCAGCTAGCTAGTGCCCTCAAGTTCCTCAGGGAAATGAACTATGTCCACCGAGACGTAAAGCCGCAAAACTTACTGCTTCTCCCATCCCCAGAGTACCGAAAGGTCCACCCGCGGGACATCCTCGAAGCAAGCCAAGACTCACTGATCCCCGTGGCCGGACTCGCGTCTCTCCCCATGCTAAAACTCGCCGATTTCGGATTTGCCCGGGTCCTCCCATCTACCTCCCTCGCGGATACGCTCTGTGGTTCGCCCCTATACATGGCACCCGAGATATTGCGATACGAACGATACGATGCTAAGGCTGATCTCTGGTCCGTAGGGACTGTTGCCTTTGAAATGGCCACGGGAAAGCCGCCGTTTAGGGCGCGGAACCATGTCGAGCTCCTTCGCAAGATCGAGGCCAACGAGGACGTAATCAAGTTCCCGCGGGAAACTAACATTAGTCCGGAATTGAAGGCCGTTATTAGGGGTCTACTGAAACGCAACCCTGTTGAGAGAATGAGCTTCGAAAAGTTCTTTGCTGATGAAGTCATAACTGGATCCATTCCAGGACTTGTTGAAGATGACATCCCCAAACCTATCCCCATACCCCAGGAGCCCAAGGTTGCTCCTCTGCCTTCGCCTCTGGAAAGGCCCAGGCGTTCACCAGACCTTCCTAGGGAAAGCGTTATGCCGAGCTCTCCTATTGAAACAGGGTCTAAATCACCGCTGGTTGGAAGTCCAGGCACTCGCACTGCTGCGCTGACCCCGACCCACCGAGACGCCGGCACTGGTCTCGGCATCCGCCAGCATCCTCTCCCTCAAGCTCAACCGTCGACATCTAACTCCCCACGCAGATTGTCCGACGTTACTTCCGCCCGTCTTCGAGACAATCAATCATCGCCCCCCTCATCTCTACTTAACGAGCACGGCATCAAGAAGCGAGGGCGCGTACAAACAAGCCCGCTCCCAATAGAGGAGCAAGAGAGAGCAGCCCAAGAGGTTGCATTTGAACGTGACTATGTGGTCGTCGAGAAGCGGCAAGTTGAAGTTAATGCCTTCGCTGATGAGATGGCCGCCAATCCCCGCCTCGGTGGCCATGGAAACACTGGTACTTCACCGAGATCTGGCCAAGTAGTGCGGCGCGCTACGCAAACAAACTCGACAGGAGCCGGGGCAAACCAACAATCTCGAGCAATCCAAATTGCGCAAGGCAAAGGCCATCACAATCACCAAGGTTCTTATGACAAGGGGGCTTCTGCCGCGGGTAGTAGCCCTATCTCGGCAAGTAGCGCCATCTCGAAGGCAATACAAGATGCAAGCCTTCGGCTCTTCGGCTTCAAGGTTCCTCCCGTTCGAGTTGGAAAGGGACAGTCACCGCCTCTATACAGCCCATTCCCCGCCTACCCGATACCCGCCAACCAAGCCGGCCTGCTTGAGGATGGCAAGCGCGGCGCATCACCGGATGAGGACGCCCGGGTCGCCCAGGCAATTGAAGAGTATGCTAACCGCAGCGACTGCGTCTACGGATTCGCGGAAGTGAAGTTTAAGCAGCTGTTTCCATTGGCACCATCGATGGAGCACGGACTAGGTGGTGCGTCGGCTGAGGATATGGACCCTCGAGATGAGGGATTGACCCTGGACGCCGTGGTTACTTTGTCGGAAGAGGCGTTAGTCCTTTACGTTAAAGCGTTGTCTATGCTCGCAAAGGCCATGGATATTGCTAGTCTGTGGTGGCAACATAAGACGCAGCGCGAGCCTAGTCCAAATACCCGAGACGGCCAAGGATCCCAGTTTCTCTCCATGCGTATCAACTCGGCGGTGCAATGGGTGCGGACGCGCTTCAACGAAGTTTTAGAGAAGTCGGAAGTGGTCCGACTGAAGCTCGTGGATGCGCAGAAACAGCTTCCAGAAGATCACCCGAGCCATCCAAGCAACCACCAGGGCGATTCGAGTTTCGATGCTGGAGAGAAGCAAGTGTACTTAACACCGGGGATCAGCGCGGAAAAGCTCATGTACGACCGAGCAATCGACATGAGTAGAACCGCGGCGATTGACGAGATTGCAAACGAGCACCTGAAGGATTGCGAGGAGTATTACACCACGGCCATTCGCATGCTCGAGGCCGTTCTCGATGTTGATGATGAGTCTTACCGATCAAGATCTGGTTCCACCTCTAAGGACACGAGGGCTGATAATGGGCGTGAAATAGCGGGCGATCTTGACCGCGAAGATCGGAAAGTGGTCAAGAAGAGTAAGTTGAAGCCTGTGACACGATCGGTTCCTTTATCTACTTCTACACCTGCGCTCTAAGTGTACCTTAGTATCCGACGTTCGAGACTAACATTATTGCTATCTAGTGATCGGCCTGATCCGGGGCAGACTCTCGATGGTCCGAAAGAAGCGGAGCGTAATTGCCGAGGCTGAGAAGGCACAGCTTGTCGCAGAGCGACGGCGGAGTGGTGATATGACGCCAAGGAGCGTTCGTTCTCATGCATCATCATAAGGAAGCTGGCGCAACATGGCAAGAAGGATTTTTTGACGACGTGACGAACAATGGTTTTGTTTTAAAACGACATTACGATACCATCGTCGATGCCTCACGGCTTCATGTCTATACCTCTATTTCTTTTAACCCCTATTCTCTTTTTTTTCAAGGTGTTTCTTGATAGCCTGTTCCTTTTTTTTTCCTTTTTTTTTTTTTATTCGCTTCTTTTCTTCATGGATGGCGCTCTAGCAACGGACGTCCTTCTGACGGATTTTTACGGGGATGTTGCTTGGATTGGTGTGATTGAAGGCTATACTTGGAGTTTGGCTTGATTCCTGGCGATCGATCTCTTTTTTTCTCTTGGTTTCTACATACCGGACATGGCGACGAATCTCACATACATTGGCGTTTTCGCAACTTCCCCTTTTTTTCCTCCTTCGATTCATTTTAGTTCTCACTACGTGTCTTCCATACCAAAGTCACTTCTTTCTTTCACATGAAGGCCTCTAGGATGAGGTGAGGAAACGGGGCGCATGGGATTCATACGGTCATGATGATGGTTACCCAAGATGGCAATCACAGGACATTCATGTGGCTATTCGGTTTCCTAGTTTCTTTTTTTTTCCTTTTCTTTTTTCCGTTCTTCTCTTTTTACTCCTCTCATATGGAGCTCGAGTATGAACGCGTGTGCGTGTGTGTGGTTTCATGGGTGGCTATCTGTGTACGACTTAGATTGACATGGTTTATTCTTGGAAGGGTTGAACGGCAACGGCAACAGCAGCAACGGCATCAGCATAGTTGAAGCCCAACAGAGTTCAAGTTGGGAGTAGCTGTTAGAAGAGCTTGAAGGAGAGAGAACTTAACTTCCAGCTAGGCCGCAAACCCAAGAACTGGAAACAAAAAAGGGTCATAAAAAAGAGAATAAATTGAGCGCGAGAAAGCTAAACACTCGACTTTTCACACGTTTTCCTCGATGCGCACGAACTGCACTATACCGTGATAAGAAGGGATTGGCGAGTAGACTGTGGGGTATGTAGCACTGGGTTGAAGCCTCGTAGATCAGTGGCTTGCCTGGTTGCAACGTATTGCCTGCCTCTCCCTTAGCTTCAGTCAGTTAGTTTATATCGAGCATTTTCGACTTGGCTTCTGCCCTGGTTTGGCGACGACCGAAGATCGGTAGAGCATCGTACCCTGGGTGTACCTCGTGGCGAAAGTAAGGACAAAGTTTGCCGGAAGAAGCAAGGGACAGCGTCACTTCGGCGGCATGTTTCTGGATCCCCGAGCTGGCGGGAGGTGGAGGGTTTGGTGTTTCCTTCGAGTCTAGATTAAGCGCAGGATTTGATACCAAGATCAAGGCAGAGACATTTACGGCCTTTCCCTTTTAGCACAGAGCATTATTAGCCCTGGAGGAAACATAGTTATTTGATGAAGATGAATTGGGCACTTCATTAGAAATGGGCTCACAAATGCCACATACATAGATCAACAGGACACGCAAGTCCCTTGAGTCCCTTGTCCCTGGAACGCCGTTGGTCAAGAAACACCGGAAAACACATAGCCAGACAGGAACATACGCTCTTCGTCTTCCCCTCTCCTTCATCATTGCTCTCACCCATTGCACAGTCCATACCCCCTCCCGTAATCCTTGCCTGTGCCCAATCCATCTTCCCCTCTCCCTTGCCTCAGCTTCCGTCTCCCGCCCCTCATCATCTCAACATCCTCTGATTCGGCATCCCATGCCTCTCCATATACGCTCATCATCATCACCACCACCACCATCATCCATCATCATTATGTGTGTGTGTGTGTGTGTGTGTTTTCACTCCTTCGGGGGGAGCTTTTTGTTTTTCGTTTCTCGGGGAGTGAGTTCTTCATCAAATGTAATCTCAGAAAGACCGCCGACCAATAATAGGATGTAAGAGTGAATCTCGCCGTGAATGTGTCGCACCAGGTTGGCCGACGGATTGATGACTATCCAGACGCCTTCCGGGGGGGGGGGGGGGGGGGGGGGGGGGGGGGGGGGGATATATCGAAAAGGTGGTTTGTTTGTTCGAAAGCCCCCGACCCGCGTTGACGGTGCGTGGGTGCAGTCACACCACGCCTTGGGACGAAAAGTTGCTTATTGCAAGCAGCAAGACTTCATTGTTGAGGATGCCCAGACGTCGTCGGGCGGCATGGTGGAAAAGTAGTGTGTTGGTTTTATTTGTTTGTCCGAAGCCGTCGGGACGCGTTGGCGGTTGTAGATGCAATCGAGCGGCGATTTTGATGAGGAGTTTTGTTGGAGACATCTTGATCGTGTCTAGATGTCGTCGAGTGAAGAGTGGGAAGATTGTTTGTTCGTCGATGGTGCTAAGACCAGTCCAGTGATATATATCATTGAGAAACTTCTGAGTCGTGGATGGCGACGAATCCCCGTGCTGGAGTATATATAGTAGACGTTGACCAAATGTAAATGATGATATCCCAAGTCTTGAAAAGCCAGAATCCACTGTGGGCTTGATAGCAAGGAAGTGCCATGAAAGGGGAGGTTGACGGAGCATAGAAAGACTTGGAACCCGAGTTTGTGTGCAACGCGTTCGGGGCCTCGTATCATGTTGCAGAAGTGACGGGTGTTATTGAGAATGAGTCTGCGTGGCTAGTGCGCAACTGAGGAAGGCCGACCTTTCGAAGACTCGGTAAGTATAGAAAAACTCCTCGTCCCTAAGAGTGCTCCAATCCGCAGACGATGGGATTTCGAGGCGGCATCTTCGATTGCTCAGTAGGAACTGACGCCGAAACCATGAAGGCGTGGTGGTAAAGAAAGCCCAACACCGCCAAAACTCGAAGGCATGATGATGGTGACGGGACACCGCCCAACTCCCCAAACCCCAAGAGGCATGATGATGACGACGGGACATCGTCCCCAACCCCAAAACCCCCAAACATGATGATGATGATGACGGGACACCCCGAAGGGCCCCAACATGAGAGACAAGCAAGAGGCAACAAGGCACGGAAGCCCCGATTCCTTACCAGTGACATCGAGTGAGTTGTTGTAATCGATGCCGAGCCAACTCCCTCGGTTCACGGCCATTTACCGCTGGTCTTGCGATTGACGGCGTTGACCCAAGATCCCGGATCGGTCGGCGCACCGGGCGTCTCTTCCTCAACGCGTCCCAAAAGCCTTCTCAAGGGGCGCTGAGGTTGAGGCCGTCCAGTGGTGCCGGTCGCACCGGTTTGCTGAGCCCTGGCCCACGCAAGGATGGCCGGATCCACTTTGCTCCTGAACCCCGAAGCGCCCACGTTCTGCTCTGAGGAGAACGGGTTGCGACGAGGCAGGCTCGGAGTGGAAGGACCGGACCCACCAGGAGGTAGTGGTGTGGCAGAAGGGGGCTGGTACTGGCGAGGCATCGGGTGTCCACGGAGAATCTTCGCAAACTGCTCCCGGAGGCTCGACGAGGCTGGCTGCTGCGCGGGGGCAGGCCGAGGTTGACCCTGTGGAAGGGACCGGTCGAAGGGGTTTCCGCGATCAGCAGAAGAACCAAGTTGGACTTGGCTCTTTGGTTGCTGCTGATCAGGCAATCCCGATCCACCGGCCCTATCCACACTCGGGCTTTCGAAATTCCGGACTCGCAGGGTATACGAGTCACTGCCGGGGAGAGGTAAAGCCTTCATCCCCCTGCGGCTGTTGGGCAAGACGTCCAACAGTTCACGCCCAATATCCACTATGGGCGTGACTGCTGGGACCCCCTTCCGTCGGATGCCCTCCATGGCCTGGAAGACGCCTTCGTTGAGCCTCAGGAAGGGATGAGTGACGGCCTGGTAGACCGTCATCCTTTCCGTCGGCTCGACGCGAAGACATCTCTTGATGAAATCCAGGAGATGGAGTGACCTTTGGTCCTTCTTGGAAGCGAACAAGCCGATGAGCTTGGCATCGACTTGTTCTTGGGTCGCCTGCACACGGGATTCGAATTGAGAGCGGGCCAAATCTGGGACCCCATGCTCTCTGCCGAAGAGGTCAAGCACGATCATACCAAGCGACCACATGTCCGCAGTTGGCGTTTGCACGCCAGTGCGAAATTGGACTTCTCTATAGAAATAATATCAATCAGTAAGATTCGTTTCGACAGCGACCAGCAAGGGTGAACAAGTGAAGGGTAACGTGGTTCATTGGGGAGAGAGGGAAAAGAAAGAGAAAAGGAGAAAGAAAAGAAGAAGGGAGAGGAAATGAACGTACGGTGCTTGGTATCCCGGAGTTCCCACACCCGACACCAGCCTTCTCGAGGCATGGATGCCAGCGCAGCCAAAGTCGGATATGCATACTCGATGGTTTCCCCGTGGGATAGAAGCCAGCAAAATGTTGCATGGCTTCAGGTCCCGGTGGACAAGCCCTCTGTCGTGAATGTACTTCAGGCCTGCCACCACCTGTCGAAGGATCCCTTGGGTCTCCCCTTCGTCCATGAAGACTTTTCGCTGCATGTACGACGTGAGATCCCCTCCGGATGCCAGCTCCAGGAACAGGTATCTAAAAGGGGGGGTTAGTTTGATGATCGAAATGCACAGGAGCGAAGGGGAAAGAGATGGAGGGATAACGTACATCGAGTAGTTTGAGCGGAAGTGCGTGATCAACTTGATCACATTGTACTAGGAGAGCATTTTGTCGTTAGCTCGTCCCAGGACCAGGCTGGCTGACTGGGAATTGGGGGAAACAAAGGAAAGGAATGTAGGACAGGAGAACAAGCAACTTACGTGGTCGAGCTTTCCAAGCACTTCCGCCTCGAGACGAGTTCGATTGATCCAGTTGATTCCGCCGGGGCCCCGAACCTCCAGCATCTTCGCCAGGTCAACGATCTTTACGACTAGCTGCTCCTTGGTCCGGACGTTCCGGGCGAGGCGAACCTCACCCTGACCGCCCTTCCCAAGGACGACGTCGCAGATCTCGAAGTCGTCTCGGAATTGCTGCCCGCCATTCGGGTTAGAACCGTTGAAGAAGAATTTGGGTTTCTTGAAGACCCTATATATAGGACAAAGGACAAAAAAACAAAAAAAAAAAAAAAAAAAAAAAAAAAAAGGAAAGAAAGAGAAGCAAAGAACGATAGCAAAGCACCAAGAGTAGCTCGGTGTGAGCAAGGAGGGTGGGCGATGGATAATAGCGAATGTGAAGCAAACTTGGTGTTTGGGGAGGAAAGAGACGGAGCGAAGGACAGAGGGGAAGGGGGTATTTGTGCATGGGAAACTGGAGGAAGGTGTTTGTGGTGAGTGGTATGATTCACTTACTCGAGCCTCCTCTTGCTGAATCTCTCCCAACTTTTGCACTCCCTGATTCATATAATGCTGCGTCACCTTAATCGTATACTTCCCAAATCCAACCTCCACACCAGGCTCCAGGAGCCACCCCTTGCTCGAGATCGGATCACTGTTGAGGTAGATCCGCTCATCCTTTCGAGTCACGTACGTAGACCCCGTGGCAGAACGGTTCCTCACGTAAACGGCAGGAGGAAGGTTGTCGTCGTACGTGACTTCCCAGAAGTGGCATTGGTGCTCCTGGAGGTCCTCGTCATCCAGGCTAATGTCACTGAAGACAGGAGTAAAGCAGAAAACTGATTAGCGTCTCAAGATTCAGAGCCGTGATGGGAACGAACCGGGTGAACCTACTTGCTCTCGGCCCGTCCGAAAGTAATCTGCTGCTTACGGTGAAGCTGAATATCACCTAGGTTGAATAGTTAATATGGACACGAGTCGAGAGTGAAAGCGCGTCATAGAACGGGTGGAACTTACCAAGAGCAGTCTCTCCAATGTGGAGCGACAAAGTCGCAACAATATCACTAGTCGCCGACATTTCGACCAAGGGTGACCGAGTATACACTTCTGTACCGCTGCTGGTCAGACCGAACAATCTCACCTAGAGGGTACCGGCGAGGTCGCCAACAGGGACGCCAAGACTAGCGCAAACAAGGGGAGGAAACAGAAGAAGAAACGAGAGAAATAAAAGGAGAAGATGGAAAAAAAAGGATTTTCTCCGACTTACCTTAAAGTATATGAGAGAATAACGATACGCGAATTGCGCGGCTAAAGACTAGATCCTCGAAGGGGAAAAAAAAAAAAAAAACACAAGGCACCTTACCATGAATCAGCTCCCATGGCCTAGGGATGGAATAACGACACCGAAGGATCAAATGAGAGCAAACCATACCTTGAGTCGTTTCTGATAGATGGAAGTCTTTTCCCTACGGACTCCAAGAGATTCAATATGAGAGGGATGGCGTATGATGGACGCAGGTACCTTTCAGACAAGCAGAAGGTGTCAGTGGATAGTGACGCGACAGAAAACGCGTCGGTTAACGCGTCAGTCAAGTCAATTGGGGACGGAAGATGGAAGATGGGGTAAGAGGGGACAGCTCCGTGGAAGGAAGAGAAGTAGAACATACCTTTTTCGCGGCAATCGAGAGATGAAGAAGACAAGGAAGATCGAGATGATAGGGGTACAAGTCAAGTATGGGTAGATACTTGAATGAAAGAGATGAAACGATTGTCAGAGACTGAAGTTTATGATGGTTGTTTGCCGTGATTCCTTTGATCCAGATGCAATGTGAGAACAGTCTTGGGGAAAAGAGGAGAAGAAGAAGAAGAAGCCTCAGAGCCCAGAAACTGGGGGCTTTTATAGTTAAGAGGAAAGATGCTTAGTCGTTGGCCGATCTGGAGATATCCAAAATATGGACAAACATTGTAAATCAAGGAGTATTTTTTTTTAAATATTACTACTATCAAGTGACAATGTGTCGTTGTTGTCCACCTCTGAAAGAGCCTGGCTGTGATGTTCCTTAGACCTCCGTCACCTCGGCTCCGGACATCACGGAGGTGCCCCACTTTTCCCGGAGCTGGCACCTGCCTCACTGGGCAGCCTTTGACAGACTTGGGTAGACCCCACTTCAGCTGTGAAGTCATGTGACCAAGGGCTTTGAGGCCCCTCCACCCTCAAGAATTTATTCCGTTAAATGCAGCAAGGAAATTTCCCCACCCTAACCTGACACAAACATCATCACAACAATCCTCTCATCACCAGAAGTAAGTCGCTGTTGAAGGGGGATGAAAGCTCCTGGAATCAATGATCCCTTACCTTTCTTGATGGCGCTCTTTGCTATGAGAAGCTTGCAAACAAGTTTTCCTGCTCCTCGCGGCGAGGCGACGCCAATTGCCCATCTCGGCACAAGACCACCCAAGGAGCTCTTGGAGCTGTCGAACATGGAGCTGTCGATGCTAACTATTTTCTTCCAGCCGAGTTCAAGATGAGAGCCAAGTGGAGAAAGAAGAGAGTTCGACGCCTCAAGCGCAAGAGAAGAAAGATGAGAGCCAGATCGTAAGTTGCTTGCCGTCCTCAATTTGTTATTCCACACGTCGCGTTCTACGCATCGGCGGACCTTGATTGCTAACGCTCCTCTCCAGCAAATAAATGCTCCCTGAAACTCCCCGATCATGCCCACCTTGATTCCTGAGCAACGAAGTCGGCAAATTTTACACACATGGAGCTTCCGAAACGCCCTAGGCCCCTCCTCACAACTTCACACTTGACCCCAAGGCCGTGACGCGAAAGACCGTATTTGAACTGGGGCTATGAAAGGCGACGATGGGTGACTACTTGAGGGCGAGCTTCCTCGCGATTGAAACTGCGACATGATTGAGGGTGGAACGGTCAAATTCAGCTGGTTGGAGGAAATACCCAGGAAGCTTTATGGACAGGCAAAGATCTCATTAGCCCAGTGGAGAGCGGGCGGTCCTGGAGCTTTGTGATAGCCCGTTGCGAATAGTCAATTGAACTAGGCATTTGATTTCAGTCACTGGTCCCTTAATTGTGTTTTGTGCTTCTCTATGGTCTTGTGGTCATTTTTTTCCACTACGATTCGCCGAGGTCAGACTCATTGCTGCCCAACAATGCAAAGGGTGATAGCTGCGCATGTCTCGAAATTTCTTCCTTTTTGTGCAGCCTTCTCAACCCCGAGGCTTGTTACCCACGACAGCGAGAAAAAGTGGATAGCTCCCACCCCCCACCCGCCTTCTTGCAAAATCTTCAAGTTCCCTTCGGCTTGAAGAGAGTGCTCTTGAAGAGATGAGCTCAACCAAGCTCCAAGTTGATGCTACCTACCCGCCAGGAATGGATGGGCTCTCGCACGGGTCTCGATACGCTTGCAAACCTTAACGCCGTTAGAGCAAGCAGTTTCTGGGATGATTGGCGAGATTGACTTTTCAGTTGGGGTATGAGGCATGTAATGCATAGCGGCTTCGGTCATTTCTACGCAAGAGTGATGCCTGATGGTGCTTTGAAAGATATGATTCGTGGGTTCTCGTTTTGTTTGAAGCTTTCAATTTAATACATGTTTCGAGTAACTCTTCCGCGTTGTCCGTGTGTCGTACCGTTCTAGGACGGAGGGCTACATTATAAGTTTCTAATGCCTTGTGTTTGGAATCATGGACCTCGGAATATCGACAGACGACTACAATAAGTAAGATAGAAACAATAATGTTCCTTAAACATAACTGACTGCAGCATTGGCTCGGATTGCACCAGTCACGGTCGTCTCCAGCTTACCATTCATGTCAATACACGCCCAGTTTGTGTTGATCTCATTCTCATTGTTATGGCTCTCATCTGTGTGGCTTACGAGCTAACTGGGGAGGGTGAGAGATGAGGTCTCCTCCGATGTAGGTAAGCATCGTGGCTCAGGTGTGAGAGGAAGAAAGGGACGCCGAAATGAGAAAGGTTTCTGGGCTGGGGGAAGGCTCTGAACAAGCATCATGGCGCTCGACCAGGAGGCAGAAGCCTAGCTCTAAGTTAGAATGCGCCATACCTAGGAACAACGGGCTCATGCGAGACAGTTCAAATATTTAAAGGAATCTTCGCGGTTGCTAGAGTTTGGAGCTCGCCCTTGTGCCTAACTTGGGGCACCTGGGGGCCGGTGCCGTTGTGGGAGGGGGACCAACGCGGACGAGTAGTATTCGACACCGAGGGACCGGACGAACAGAGAGTGTAGATGAACGTATATCGTAGGAACATAGAAATGCCTCTATTCTAGTCCTGCCTGAAAACCGTAGTGAACTCTAACAATTCGTTTCCTGGGGGCGGATCACGAAGCCGGGAACTCTTCTCAAGACATCGTGACCCTCGCGGAATTCAACCTCCATTCCAAAACATGCATATTTTTTGACAGTATGTACAACCTCGTAAGGCTGAGAACCCTCTCCGGACCTGCAATCGCGTCCCACACCTATGCTAATCCACCTCCTCCCCTCATCGTATGACCAGCTTAGGACTGGCCCTTGAGGTTCTTGGAGGCCTGCTTCAGGTTCCAATTGCACTCCTCATACGCCCTACCAGCTCCGAAACCGACACCGACAAAGGCAGGCCACGCGCGGCGCTTGAAGAGGAGGACGGAGAAGACGACGCCGAATCCGAGGCCGAGGGTCGACTTGACGAGGAGGTTCGAGAGGCATCGGTCCCACTATGGATCAAAACACACGCTTTGTTAGCTAAAAACTGTCCGTTAAATAGCAATTGAAATTTCTTTTATTACCCGGATACGGGGGGAGGGGCCGGGTTTGACTGGGTTATTCGCGCACCTTCTCGTTGAGAAGAGCCTCACTGACGGGTCGCGAGACCGAGGTAGAGGGCTGGGCAGGGCTGGACATTGTTGTGGTAGAGAGAGAGAGGGCGCGAAAGCAATTGCTGAGGGTTGAGTTTGTCTTTGCGTTTCGGATTGCGCAACCGGAATGAGCGTGCTCAATTGACGTCGTGGTGGTACGATGGTTGTTTTCGTCGAGCTTTCGATTGAGGTTTAATATTCTCGTTCCATTCGGATCTGAAGATCGAGAAACATGATCGTGCCGAAGGCGGTGAGCGGGAATTTCCCGTTTCGAATAAGGACGGCAGAATTTTATTTTCTTGGTATAATTTTCAACGTCGCTCAGCTTTTTGGCTTGTGACGGGACGCAGACAAGGGTTCAGCATTGAAAAACCAAACAAGCACAATGAGTTCGGACTCAGACTTGGAAATGCAGGATGCTCCTGATGGAGTAGAAAATTCTTTGTCTGTATGTGATTCTTATCTGGTTCATAAGTGTGTTCGTTTCTAACAATTATATAGGCAAGCCGTGCACTCATCAAGACCGTGAGATCTCTCGACCAGGAGGGTCCTGGCAAGGATGGTGAAAACTTAGCAGAGCTATGGAAAGCCCTGTCGCACAATGCTTCAGGCCAATTTTATGCTGCGGAGCAGAGTAGTTTACGATGGCTATTGAAGATGATGAACCCTTCGACTAAAGCATCCCCTGAAAGCGAGACCTTGAGAAGGTACCCGCTGACCTGGAACATACTCAACTGCGTGTTCCAGCGTATTCCCCTCTTCTCACTCGCAAAAGCCCTCGCGGACAGGCGTTTCATTGCCGTGCTCAAGCAGACGGTGAAGGACCTCTCGAGCCCATCCGGAGAAGATGGCCATGTTTCGTCGCCCGATCGGAAGCGGAAACGGTCGACCCAGATCGCCTTTGATGTCGACGCCCTTAGAAAACCCACCGGGTGTCTAAAGTCTGCGAATGCCCTTTTCGAGGCCCTACGGTCTCTGCTCTCTCGCCTCGGCTCCGCTGCTGAGCTGTCTAGACGGGAGGTCATGGGGGCGGAACATGTGAGGACACTCTTCGCCTCCCCTGCTGCGGAATCCTTGGAGCTTGTAGGACCTATGCTAGCTATTTGCTACAACTCTCTCGAAGTTCTGAACGGGGCCTTCGAAGTAAATGTTTCGTGGGTTAAGGTTGCGTCCGATATCTGGGATCTCCGCATTCGCGGCGGTGGAGACGCCCTCGAGGTTGCTACTCGCGCAACGCAGACCACTTTAACGATGTTTGCGAACCTCGACGAAGAGGTTGGAAGAATTAGTGGAAGGGAGGAGTTGTATTCGGATTTACCATCACACATTCGCCTAGAATGGGCTGCCGATCTTCAAGATTTCCTCCAACGAAACCTCTTCCTCCCCGCGCGGACGGCGTATATCAATTCGGAGGGTCTCGATCCACTCAATATGGCCATGCTCATGGCCCAGCGCAATGCGACTGTAACTGGTCCGGCCGTTTACCTCCTTGCGCAAAACTCACCGAAGCCGTTTGATGAAAAGTCGAAGGAAAAGGTTTCAGACTGGATCAATGAAGTGGTAAAGGCTATCGACCGTTCCCTACGCAATCTTCCCCCCTATTCGCGCCCACGGATAATCGAGGGAATCCTCGGCGAAGCCCGGGTAAAGGGTACCAACATCAGTGAGGACGTCCTGAGGGATATATGTTCAAAATACGCCTTCGAGACCGAGAACAACGTGCGCTGGAGCACCCTATCTGCGTCTTTACGCCTTGATCCCGATATCCTGTTCGATCAAGAACGGGACAATGATTTGCTAAATTCAATTCTTGGCAACATCCCTGACCTCGACAAGCTCGAGGGTGACGAGGCTCAGCACGTAATGCACGTTATGGAGGCTATAATCAAGGCATATCTCAATGCCAAGGACTTCCCTAGCTTTTTGGAATTGTGGTATGAGCAACTATCCAAAGCGGATCTGGGAACGAGAGAGGGGTTGTCTCCTTGGCTAGAGGCTTCTGTCCGGCGCAGTGAGGCTGTCTTTACGCAGTCAAGACTTGAGATAACCCTTACTGTTAACCAGTTGCGGGGCGTCCTCGACTGGCTTGAATCTCGGGCTGGAGCGAAGCCCGAATGTCTCTACATTGTCCTCGACTCGATATCTCATGGCCTCGGCTCCCCAGAGTTTACCGATGCCGTGGGAATGAAGATTGCCGATCTTGTCCTCACGGCTTTCCCCTCTTCGAGCACATCAAATTCCCTTCTGTCCCTGCGCTGGTCGATCTTGAGTCAAATAATTACTTGGCTCAATCCCCAGGAGAGAGACGATCTCTGGACTAAGATCAAAGAGAAGGCCGCCGAGGTTCTCGAGTTAGGTCGACTGGCAGACCCTGATACATTAGAAGCTTTCAAGTTCATTTTTACGGTTTGGTCGTTGATGACTCCTGATGGGGACTACGAAGAGGATGTTTCGTCCATTGCAAAGGCCGCGGTCAATAGGCTCACCAAAGAGATTCCGGCGAAGGCAGGGAAAAGGACAGTGCTTGACTGGAAGCAACAGCAACGCGACAAGCCTCTTCTCCCGGACGCATCAGAGACTAAACCCGAGGCATACCTTGTCTGGTATCTCGCCTATACTCTTGGCGATTCATCACGGTTTCTCCCGTAGGTTCTACTTAGAGTTTGTCTATTTCTAGGGAACCGTTATGCTAACGACTGACACTAGGCTTCTGTCAAGTGCTTCGGACGAAAGCGCGTTTCCGGAATACCTGGATTCCGTGCTCAAGCTACTACTTAGCAGAGATAAGAAGCACAAACCCAAATCCGAGGATGGCGATGAAGTGCCTTCTAGCCTTACCATGGAGCTCTTCAGGGCTCTTCTATCTAATGAAAATATTCTGAACAACCGGCCATTCCTTGGTAAGTTTTGGACTCGCACCGTGTCTGAAAGACATGAGGCTAATTGGGCGTTGTTTTAGACCAGCTCGTAGATCGAATGGCCGGAGCTGTTCGCGGCAAGTTCAAGAAGTCTCAAGACGAGATCCTGGACTCGAATCTTGGCTCACTTTTCCTGGAGGTCCCCAATGATTGCCTCACCCGACCCCAGAGAGAGCTCCTCGCAGGCCTGTTGCTAGAACGGATAAAGACCTTTGATGGAAACGATGACGTCGCGCCGTCCCAGTGGGCCCTTGTGTTGATTGTCTTGACGAAATTGATGAAGAGGCCGACGTTTTGTGAAGTATGCCATATCCCGCTTCAAGCCCTTTACAATATATATTGAGGGGTTTCAATGATACTAACAGTATCTGTAGGGTCTGAACTTTGATAATCTAGTCACGCTCGCCGATCAAATCTCCCGTTCGTTTGGTTCCGATTCCGACCCTCGAAGTTTCAGGGAGACCTATGCTCTCGCTCCGCTCTATCAGGACCTCGCAGAGCATATCCTCACGTAAGTTTGCGGCTCTACTTACATTGAAGAACGGACTTTCCTAACGGGAGACAGTCTGATGGCAAATGATTTTGATAATCGTGGCCAAAAATTCTTCGAAGAAGCAGCCTCTTTCGTCAAGACCTACCCAGTGGACGACAAGTCTACGCACCGGTCCCGGTTAAGGTTGCATCTTCTAAAGGCATTGATCGTAGTACTGTCCGGATCCTCGTATCTCAACGGGCCGTCATCGCCACTCGCGCCGGAGGAAGTGAAGAAGAAGCTTGGTGCGGCCATTTCCGCCACGCTCAAGAAGTGCACCCGGTACTGGAAGAAGCAATTGGAAGAGCTCGACACTGGCAACTACCTCTACACTTTGCTTGCCGCCCTTGACTCTTCGGATGTCATCGAAGCGGAACAACTAGACAGCAAGGCCATCTCGACAGAGGAGCTTGCCCAAGCGAGCAAACGAGGCATTGAGGCGCGTCGCTTGTACGGTTGGAAGCTTCGGGGCTTCCTCCTTCGGCACCGCCCTGACTCAATCGATAAATCACTGGCGCCTACGAAGTCCAAGACAAGCCGTGAGCTGAAGGGAACGAAGGCGCCTGATGTCCTAAGCCATGACCAGGATCTGGCCTCCCTTGTCCTTGAGTGCACCAATGTTACTCTGCAGTCTCTTAAGGAGGAGGAGGGTGGTCGCCTTCTCTACCTGAAAGATCTAGTCGGTAATCTCGAATTTGAATCGAGCGCGGAGATCCAGCTGACGGCAATCCGATGCGTCGTTCAAACGCTCGCCGGTAAGTTAACAAATTCCCAGCAAAACAAGGAAACAGCTCAACTAATACATCAACCTGAAGGTTTACCCACAAGTAATTTCAAAGAATATGACCTGGCTGCCGCGTACACCACGCTAGCTCAAAAGTCACTCCAAGCCGACAGCGGTGCCCGATTCGCGAGGATTTGTGAGATCCTGCACACCATTCTCGACGGAAACATGGGCCACATCTCCCAGTGGAATGTCGAGGAAACGCTATCCCTCGTCTCCACCGTGTGCTCCGAGAACCCCTCAGTGTCCAAGGTCAAGGACTCGGACAAGACCTTCCAACGTCTCTGCAAGCTCGTAGAAGTCATCCTAAAGAAATACCGTCTCCGCCTCGAAGGCCACTTTCACCTCCTCATCACGACGATGCAAGCCCTCCTCAAATCGCTCCTCCTCCACCCCTACGACTCGCGCCTCAAGACCTGGGCAGCACCTCCTCTCGACACCAACATCTCGGCATCTTCTTCAACTCCGTACACCGCTTGGCAGGACGACGCAGCTGCGTGCAACCGACTGCTAACGCTCATCTGCGAGCCGACCGTAGGATCGGTCACGCGGTCGCATCACGGCGGGGCGCTCGATGCGGCGGCGGACGTGGCGAAGAGGTCTGCGGGTAGGCAGATGTATCTTGTGCTCATGACGTATGTTAAGTTGCAGATGGAGGTTGGCGTGCCGAGGTCTGTGAGGGAGGGGTTGGAGCCTGGCGTTAATACGATATTCGATGTTACGCCGGGAGAGGTGAGGAAGGTGATGAACGATGGGTTGGATAAGGCGGGGAGAGAGATTCTTGGGGATTTGTATAAGAGGTATAGGATGTTTGGCAAGTGGACTGGGAAGTAGATTAGAAAAGTTAGTAGTATGCTCCAGCAAAGAATATGGAGTGGAAAAGAATACACATTGTATAGAGAATGTCGTTCGAGTTGCACATTTCTGGAACCACATGCTCGAGGTATGACGGGAAAGTCATTGATATAATTTAAATTAATGATTTAGGATGCAAATATCTGTGACACTCTTACTTGGACTCGCCGCTGCTATATCGGGAGGTCCAACCCATCCCAAGCCCATATAGAGAGATCTATATATGCGCAGACACACGTCAATACGAAACAGTTTTTCATGTCCTGGAGAAAGGCTGTTACTTCTTCCCTCTTTGCCTCCTCTCGGCTGTTCTGGGATTTGTACACGATGTGCTTGGAGTAGCTCTTTCTTCATCAGCACTCTGCGACACCAGCCGCCCTTACCAACATGTTAGAACCCATGGCCGGAAAAAGCGATGGCACGTCCAAGTCCACGTCGGAAGGTAACTGGGCAGTAGCTCTCATATATAACACATAAGCCAACAATCGCCAACACTCGTGAGGAAGGTGCGTTCCAAACGAGCTTCTACTTCCACAACCCGGCTTTATGGCTTTGGAAATGGCGACACGCACTCGCCCGGTGATCAAGGCCTTACGGCAGAGTCCCGCGGGTCTGGAGGCGAATTAAGTTAAGCCTGCTTCGTAAGAACCTGAGGGAGCACAAGGCAAATCGGCGCCGTTTTCCTCAATGGATAGCTAAGCTAGGGAGCTGGCGGGGCGTTCGTAGGGCTCAATAAACGACACAACAGTGAAGGACTTTTTCCCTGCTGGCTACGCGGCGGCGATGATTGCTGGGACGGGTTCCATAGCAGGGGCAATTCGGTTATAAGCTTCGCTCCTCTTCTTCGCTCTCCTCTTCTTTTGTGTCTCATGCCGATCCTTGCAGTCCTGATATTTTAACAACATCCTTGATTCTCCTTCTCTTTATTATTCGGCATGGTGCTTTCAGGTCTCGCGAACATAATTTTATCAAGGGAGGTAGCCGAATTCTTGTTAACCAAGCGGATGTTGTATTATCGAGGCGACGAGGTCTGTTTGTGAAGGGATCGAGTGCACGAAGCATTTGATCCTTAATGCACCAGACACAGTTGCTTTACACAAGTTCACCCATTGCATTGTGGTCAGAGCGTTGGTGATTTATAGTTCGATAGCTGGACGGCACGTCCCATCGTTTGCGTCGCTCGAATGATTTAACTATCAAATTGGATTGACCAATGTTCAATATTCCTGACATATTACCACGTTTTACTTGGTAATTAAGCAGTTGTTTCAATCATTTGATCCCTGTGCTGTTCCTATCTGTGTTCCTGTTTAATTGATGTTCCGTTCCCCTCCACCAAACATGCATCACTAAAATCCGAAGTCCGACCATCCTGAGCCTTGCCTTTTTCTGCTCATTGTTGCATTGAGCACATTGAGCATTGTGAATTATTCTCCATATTTTAGACAACCCCACGAGCGAGGTCCCCCTAATTCCCTTTTCCGAAATTCCTCGATAAACTCCATGGAAAGCTCGAGTTCCTATGCGCTTTGGATCGTCGCCTCGACAGCAGTAGCCGTGTTTGCCGCATTCATCATGGGTCTCTTCAGTCGCAATCAAATGCCTGTGGACGGCAAGGTACGCGTGTGAGCGTGCGAAGACCACGAGGACACGCACGAGACCCTGCCCAAAGTCCCATAGACACTCCTACTCTCTGTGCAGTCCATTGCTAACCTTGTCGCTCCAGACCGTGCTCCTCACTGGGGCGTCAGAGGGCATGGGCCTCGAAGTCGCGAAACAGCTTGCTGCAAAGGGTGCGAACCTCATTCTCGTTTCCCGGAGCGTCGGCAAGCTCGAAGAAGCCATTCTGTCACTCAAGGTCTGTCTACAAGTAACCCCCCCTCTTTCGCCGTCTAGTTCCGCAAAGACTGACATCCCTCGGCTGGGACGCGCAGGCAGTAGCAAAACACCCCGAGACCCAACGATTCCTCTACATCTCCGCCGACGTCTCCGCCCCCGACTACGCCGGCCCCCTCATCGCCGAAGCCATAGCCTGGAACGCCGGCCGCGCCCCCGACATCGTCTGGTGCATAGCCGGCATGTGCGCCCCGGGCCTCTTCGTCGAAACTCCCTTCTCCAACGTGCGCGAGCACATGGATCTCAACTTCTACGGCATGGCCGAAATGTCCCACGCCATCCTCCGCGAGTGGCTAAGCCCAACCGCCCCCGTCGAACAGCAACCCAAACACCTCGTGCTCACGTCCAGCGTCGTCGCCTTCTACACGATAGCCGGATACGGCGGCTACGCTCCCGCCAAGAGCGCGATACGTGCTCTCGCGGATACAATTTCGCAGGAGGTCATGCTCTATCCGCAAAAGGTGGCTGTGCATGTCGTGTACCCCGGTTCGATCGACTCGCCTGGGTTGGAGAGGGAGAATAAGCTGAAGCCCGAGATTACGCTGTTGATGGAGAAGGATGACCCCGTGCAGAGCGCGGAGGAGGTCGCTTCGAGGGCTATTGCCGGGCTCGAGAGGGGGGATTTCTTCATTACCGTATCGTGGTTGGGACATTTGATGAAGTGGGGTGTTATGGGAGGTTCGTTGAGGAATAACTGGGTCGTGGATACGTTGATGCAGATTGTGGTTGCGATTTCGTGGATTATTGCTCAGCCTGTCATGCTGGGTACGGTGAGGAAGTTTGCGAGGGAGAATGGGCATCCGAGCACATACAAGAAAAAGAATGGTGCATGAGGATCGCGAGGATGAGATCAGTGTGGGATTGACTGCTCGGGAGGTTATATTTATATTGTAGCACTAATGGAGGATGGATAGAGAAGAGGGCCGCGGGAAGGCGGGCGGGTCGAGAGACAGAGACCCTCATGTATGTTATAACGAGCATAAATAGAATCCGAAGAGTGATACCCTAATGCCTCTGGATGAAACTTGAATCGAGACCATGACATCCCAGCCCAGCGAGGCTATCGACGGGTGCATAGAGCATAGACTCCATGGCAATAGCTGAAAATGAGTGATTCACACATTGCCTAACACTACCCTGAGGCACCTAACCGTAGTACGTTCGATCCCCGAGCGGAAGCATCTGCGGATCCTGAAAATTTCAACGGCAATAACGCCGGAAAATCCTCACTACCATCTGCGACCAACACCGGCTCCAGCAGGCCCTTGACCTCTGCAAGATCCGCCGCCGCCGCCTCTACACCTTCTAGAAACCTTAGATCCTCCTCCGCGCTCCTCCTCTCCTCCTCCCCCAAAGGTCTCCTCCTCTCCCTCTCCACCGCCTCCGCCACCGACCCATCTAACTTCCCATGTACCCTCTCAGCCCCAAAAGCGACCAAATTCCCCCTCCTCACAACAACAACCTGATCCACCCCTTCTTCACCATCAATCCACTCCGCCACGGCAACTAACCCCGCATACGAATCATCATGAATCTTCCTCGGCGTCAACCTCACCGGCAAACCCCTCGACCCAGCCTCCGGCAACCTCCGATAGTACCTCGTCAGAATCCCCAAGCGACTCAGGCCCTCGGGCACAGCCAGCACGGCAACCTCGACGCGATACCCGCCCTCGTGGAAGGCCCGCGCGAAATCGATAAAGTCGCTGGGGTGTCGACACGCGCTTTCCAGGAGTACGTCTACGCGGCGGGAAATGGCTTCGCGGCAGGCCATAGAGAGCCATCGCCGGGCGTCGAAGCCCGTGGCGCGTGAGGCGAGGGCGGAGTCTTGTAAACAGAGGGAGGAGTAGGCTGGGTGGAAGGTCTTGTAGGTGTCGGCTACGAAGTGCGCAGGTGGGGATGGGCGGCGACAGCGGAGCGTTGATAAGGCTGAGAGGAGGGCGGGGGCGGTGCGGGTTTTGCCGGCGCCAGTTTGGCCGACGAGGAGGATGGCGAGGGGGGCGGCTATGGAGGGGCCGCCGATTGTTTGGGGAGGGGGCGTGGTGGAGGGGAATTCGCTGGGGAGGATGGAGGTTGTGAAGATATTTTGGGATTCGTCGGGGGAGAGGATGTAGGAGGAGAGGTCGGGTGGTGGAGGCATAATGAGTGTGTATAAAGGGCTACAAGAGGATTTATATATCTCGTCGAGAAGAAGCTATACGCTTGAGCTGGGAGGAAGAATGTTGAGGGAAGGGAGCCATATATTAGAAGACATTATATGGAAAGGAGGGTAAACTAGGGTTCTCTTCCGCTAATATATATCGACGTACGTCCGTGAGCAATTAATCTAGTCTTCATGTTTACTAGCTCTACTTCGTATGGTTGAGTAACGCGGATCTAGCTGGTTGGATGCGATTCTAAGGTGAATCTATGACAGACCCGAAGCTCGGACGTGGGGGGAGGGGCTATGGGGAAATGTAGCTTAGACTTGCCCGCGCGGGGGCCGCTTAACCTGCACGACACAATAGTTCTTGCACTTAAGGAATGCCGTTAATACCAATTGAATGAGAGCTTGGGGATTCCAGCTGCATATCGTAAGCCTGCGCGCTTCTCGCTCTCGCAGGTGGAGGAGAGAGTTTGTAGATTCAATGTGAGGATCGACGTCTTAAGTGGGTAACACAGAAGGCGGTGTATGCAACTACCGGTGCACGCTAGCTTATCGATAAGGCTGTTTTCTGCAGATAAGAAAAATGGATCCAGAAAAAAAATAATTTTGTGCCAGCAACCAGTCCCAAGTTAAAAAAAAAAAAAAAAAAGGCAAGGCGGTAGCGGGGGATTCATTGAGAGCATTATTTTCCGCCGCCACTCACCAATCTCCGACCAATTTTCGAAGTATAAAATTGGTATCATCTCGGTCACAGCATGGCACGGAAAAGAAAAGCGCGTGGGCCCCAAGAGCCGAAAGGCCCAAGAGAACTTGACCCCGCCGATGCCCGCCTAGGTCCCATCACCACCTACGCCGACGTTGCGGATTCCGAAGACGAGTACTACCTGAACCAAGACGAGATCCGTTTCGACGATGGCCCGCAATCCAAGAGGCAAAAGAAGCTGGAGGAAGAAGAGGCCTTCCTCGACGATTCCGACGAAGAAGTCTTAGCCGCGAATGACTCGGATGATTCCGACGCCGACCTCATCGCTGCGCGGAAACAGAAGCCAAAGAAGAAGGGCAAGAGGAAGCCCGCCGAGTCGGAGGAGGAAGACGAAGGGGAACAAGAAGAGGAGGGAGACTCGAATTGGTGGGGTTCTTCGCGAAAGGAATACTACGATGCCGATAACATCGAGACCGAGGCTGACGCTCTCGAGGAGGAAGTCGAAGCGAAGCGCCTGCAGCAAAAGAAGTTGTCCAAGATGGCCGAGGAGGATTTTGTTTTCGACCAAGACGAGTGGCTGCAGGCCAAGGACTCCGAGGAGAAGAACGCCGATGTCGTCACCGAGGTCCTTGCCGATGTCGAGATCACCGATGATATGAGCGCGGAAGACCGATACGCCCTGCTGAAAACGAGATACCCCGAGTTCGAGCACCTTGTTAATGAATTCCAAGAACTGCACCCTCAACTACCGATATTACAAAAAGAGGCGGAAGGGAAGTCGAGCAAATCTCTTGTTGCCGTCAAGTACTGGGTTCTGGGTTGCTACGTTGCTGCCCTCGGGAGCTACTTCGCCCTTCTTACTTCGCCTGCCAGAGATGAAGCGGGTGTTCAAAAGACGATGGATCCTGCAGAATTGAGAGACCATGACATCATGGAAACGCTGATGAGCTGTAGGCAGATGTGGAGCCGGGTGAAGGCCTTGAAGCCATCCCTGCTCGATGCTGCTGAATCTGATGCGGAATCTGCTATTGAGGAGGATGCTGTCGATGAGTCGCTCCACGATATTTCTATGGCGGAAGAAGGGGTCCAGAAGATTCAAAAGACTAAGAAGAAGAAGACAAAGACCACGAAGAAGTCTGCCGATGCACGAAGGACGACTGAGGATCTCGAAAAGTCGCTGGAAGATTTGTATAATCTTCCCCTCACTGTCAAGAAGACAAATAAGGCCAAGAACAAGGCGGCAGCGGCAGCGGCAGCTGATAGCGACATGTCCGACTTCGGCGAAGAGGAGTCCCTCGGCGCTAAGGAGGCCGCAGAGAAGGCACAGCGGAAGAAGAGTCTCCGGTTCTACACTTCCCAGATTGTGCAAAAGGCCAACAAGCGCGCCGGCGCGGGTCGTGATGCAGGTGGCGACATGGATATTCCGTACCGTGAGCGTCTAAAGGATCGCCAAGCGCGTCTCAACGCCGAGGCCGAGCGCCGCGGTAAGAAAGACTTGAAGGCTGGCGAGGCTCTTGACGGCGACGATAGCAACGATGAGGATGCCGCCAAGGCTACCGCAATGCGCGACGATGAGGACGACTACTACGACATGGTAGCCGCCATTTCCAAGAAGAAGAAGACGGAGAAGGCCGACCGAAAAGCTGCGCTTGCAGCTGCCAGCGCGACCGACCGTGTTGTCGAGAAGGAGGAGATTGGGGAGGACGGCAAGAGGAAGGTTACGTACGCTATCGAGAAGAACAAGGGATTGACGCCTAGGAGGAAGAAGGAGAATAGGAACCCTCGTGTGAAGAAGAGGAAGGCGTATGATGCGAAGATGAAGAAGTTGAAGAGTATGAAGCCTGTGTTTAAGGGAGAGCCACAGGGTGGTTACAGAGGTGTGGAGACGGGTATTAAGGCTGGCTTGATTAAGAGTACCAAGTTTTAGATGTGAATGCAGTTTCTTGTACATTTTTTTATTGAACTCCTTAATATTCCCTGTATTTCTTAAACCATTTCGTCCTGTTTCTCGATGTTGAAATCAGACATTGTTCAGAGATTCAACTCTTGCTTCCTTACTTATGTAAGCCCCACTTCGAACAGGGGATTTGGACATCTCACAAGCTTCATTCTTCTCCTCTCAACACCACATCCACGCGTTCCATGTCATAGATAGGGTCGAGAGATCTTTCTAATTGAACATACGGGATGCGCAATTTTATAGACCCGGAGAAGAAGTTGTAGCATATTTGTCCATTTTCGCCCACCAACTTACAACGCTCCGAAAATGTCGGTCCCAGACGTATCAACCCTGACCTCAGCCGACGACGTCTTCGCGCCCAACCACACCCTCCCCCAAATCCGCGCCATCCACAAAACAATCCATGAGCAGCTCGAAGAGAAAGCGAGCCGCCTCCGGAGCCAAGTAGGCGGCTCCTACCGCGAGCTCCTCGGCACCGCCGACACCATCGTGGCCATGAAGGCCGACAACGATGCCGTGCAGGCGGTGCTGGGGAGCATGGGCTCGCGGTGCGGGCGGGGCGTCGTCGGGGACAAGATCACCGGAATGTCTGGCTTTTCGAAGTTCGTGGAAGGAGAGAGCAGGGTTGCCGGCTCGAGGCTAACTCCGGGGGAGGTTGGAAGGCTCAAGTTAATCGACGCGTGCATACTGACCGTCGCGAGGGTTTTGAGGGGCGGCGCTGTGGTAGGGGATGGCGCCGAGGTGTTGAGTAGCGGAGATCGACTTGTCTTGGCGGCTAAGGTTTCTGTGCTCGGTCGGCTGCTCGTCAAGACATTTGGGGGCGAGTATGCGGCTGATGAACGAGCGCGGATAGCGGTTGAGGCCGCGAATAGGAACCTAGAATCTTTGCGGCAGAAGCTTGTTGGCCGCGTGAAGAGGCTACTGAGGCAGTGCAAGGAAGAAGAGGCTGAGCAGGGGGATATCCTCAAGGCGTTGTCCACCTACAGCCTCGTTACGAATTCCGGCGCCCGGGACGCCTTGGCTCATTTTCTCCGGATTAGAGGCACGGCACTCGCGTCGGCATTTGAGATTGAAGAGAGCGAACGGGAGCGGAGCGTCAAGGATGTATTGACTGGTCTGAACTTGTACACGAGGACGCTGCTCGATGTGCAGGCTTTAGCCCCCTTCAAGCTCTCGGAGGCGCTGTTGGAGTTGAAGAAATATGCTTTACTGGACGACGCCAGTCTACGGAAGCTGGAGATTTTGAGACTCGATGTCTATGGGTGGTGGTGCAGCGACGATGTACAGACATTCACGCCATTTATCCAGCACGGCGATCTCGACGTGAAGCAGGCCAAGGAGATGCTTGGCAGTTGGGCGAAGAAGGCGTCGGATATTCTCATCAGGGGACTCGTGAAAACGCTCGAAACAATGTCCGAGTTCAAAACTATCGTGGAGCTGAGGACCAATGTCGTCAAGATGTGGATTACGGACGGCCCTCGAGCTCGGGGCTTCAATCCTAGGGAGATGCTCGACAGGCTACGGGAAGCGATCAACAACCGCCTCTTGGCCCTGCTCGAGGCTAAGGTCAACAAATTACACCTTGTCGGCTCAGAGGTTTCCGCTACTCTAGAATCCTGGCACGAAGGAATAACCGACGCCCAGGAACAACTCTGGGACGATTCCACTTATGACATGGACATGTCCAACGGCGTCGCCGTTTTCTTACAGGAGGTCCTGTCTAGACTTCACGGGAGGAACGACGCCGTATCCAAGGCTGTGAATTCCTACAACTCGTGGCGGCACGTCATCGAGGACGTCGGCGAGGTCGTGGAACACCTGCGCAAACAGCGCTGGGACGACGACATCGACGATCTCGAGGATGATGACGCCATCGAGGCGAGGCAAGAGGCGCTCAGCAAAGCCGACCCGACCGCTCTACAAGAGAAGTTGAGCACCTCTCTCGAGAAGGCCTTCAAGACGCTAGACGACCGACTAGCAGCCCTATGGCGGGAGAGGCAGGACGGTCCCAACAGCGGCCGAATCGCCATGTTTTTCGTCCGTGTGCTGCGTGACATCCGGCGCGGACTGCCGGCGATGGACACCCTCCGCGGATTCGGCCTCGACATCGTCCCCTCTCTGCACGAAAAGATTGCCCACGAAGTGTCGATTTCGGCGCTCGACGAGTTCGCCGGACGGGCGGTGGCGAGAAAGACGGTTCCGAGCAGGCCGTTGTGGGAGGGGGAGCCGGAGCTGCCGACGCAGCCTACGCCGGGCATGTTTATGTTCTTGAGAGACTTGTGCGCTTCGATGTCGGATGCTGGGTTGGATTTATGGAGTCCGGTGGCGGTTGGAGTGCTTAAGGGTTTTGTCTCGAAGCAGGTCTGCGAGATTTGGTCTGAGGCGTTGGAGAAGGCGGTAGTAGAAGCGGAGTCCCCCGAGAAGGAGGTAGAGGGTGGAGAGGAAGGTGTGGAAGAGGAGCAGGAGGCGGAAGAGAAGGAGACCAAAGACTCGCCGCTCTCGGACGAACAGCGAAAGGAGCTCCTTACCCAATGGTTCTACGACATTTCGTACTTTACTTGTGGCTTTGAATCGGTGGAATCGTCAAAGAAGGAGTTCCAAAGTCTGGCAAGCAAGGTTTATGAGAAATCGGGCATTGAGGATGACGCGCTCAGGCAGCGGATCGTCAAGTCATCGGAGGACTATTGGAAGCGAACGAGCTTGTTGTTCGGTCTTTTATAGCGTCTGTCATAACCATTTACTCCTACGAATAGACATTAGCCTCCCTCCGTCAAGAGCGTCCATGTCCTCAATACTGTATGCCAGAGTGATCGCTTTCAGACCATGAAGCCCCTCATTAGGCTAACCTTCGCTCGTTGAAAAAGAAGATATCGTTACAAAATCATCCTACAGCTTATGCCTTTTCTCACCGCTAGCAATCTTCCTAAACTCCTCCTGCGGAATCCCCTTCATCAACCTGTCCACACCACCAAAGACCTCCCAAACATTCTGAACCTCAAACTCCTTGAGCTCCCCCTCCCTAATCAGCTTCTTGATACCTAGCAGACTGTCCCCAACCAAATGCTCGCCAAGCCTATCATCAACCTCCTTCAGCACCCTCTCCCTAAACCTCACATCGGCGCCAGCACCACTCCCAACATCGAACACCTCATTCAAGTACCCACACTCCTTCAACACATCAACAGTCAACTTCTTGCTCATAAGCAACGCCTCATTAGCCCTCGCGGGACCAAGCCTCCTAACGAGAGCCTTGGAAGCCGCACCCTCGGCGACGAGCCCGAGAGACGAGAAGGGTGTCAGGAGGAAAGTGGAAGGTGTGGCGTAGATGAAGTCGGCGATGGAGACGAGAGAGGCCGAGAGGCCGATGACGGGCCCGTTGAGGGCGGCGACGAGGATCTTGGGGTGAGAGTAGAAGGCGCGAGTTAAAGTGAGGTTGTTCACGAGGAAGGTGTTGAGGATGTGGCGGTGCGGAGAGGTGGATGAGCCTGGGGGTGGGCCGGAGAGGGCGGAGCTGACGTCGGCGCCACTGTTGGAAGTTAGGATATTTTCACTCTGTTACTTACTTTTCTTTGGAAGGGAGAAAGGAAACATACGCCGAGAAGAAGCGGCCCTTGCCGATGAGCACGGTAACGTAGACCTCGTCGTGGGCGGCGACTTCGTTCATCTTGGTGGCTAGCTCAAAGTATTGGTCCAGGTTGAGGGCGCCGAGTTTCTTTTCATTGTCGATGGTGATGATGGCGACACGGCCCTTGTACTCGACGTTGATGACGGACGACATGGTTATAAGCGGAAGTCTATTGGTCTCTTAATCTGATTTTTGTTTTATTTTTATTTTATTTTCGATATAACTCGAGAGAACTTGGCTGAAGGAGATTCGTGAGATTGAAGCTAGCTCTAGCTGGGAGAGAGCAAAAAAAAAAAAAAAAAGAAAACGGTGGATTGGAAACGGGACAAGCGGGATAGGATGGAAATGGAAACAATCGCCGTCTTTTTAAACCCTTACAATAGGAAAGAAGAATAAAAAGCTGGGGTAAGTCTGGAAATCTGGGGATTGGGAATGGCGCAGCGAAGCTGAAGCTCGGCACGGAGCCGGGCAGTTGGGATCTGGGGCGTGGGGAGGTTCCCTGCGATGCCAGGAGAAAAGATGCCTCGGCTCGATTGACTTTTGTCCCACTCGATCTAATTAACGATTAGTCGCGACAGGGGCAATAAGCACCCGAAAGCTTGCTTCCAAGGTCCGGTCGATCCGCCCGTGGTGGGGACGGCACAGTGAGACTGGGCCCACCATTTGATAGAATACGTAGGTAAATAGGGCAGGAACGGGTGCGTCATGAAGCTATTCCCAAACCCCGACATCAAAGAGCACGCGGAAATGATTGAGAAGCTGCGATAGCACATCGACACCGCAGACATCGTTAGAGGAGGAGAAAAATGTGAATCAATAAGATCATTCTAAACACCGATAAATTCCAGTATTTTCTCCCGCCTGTCCCTGTCACCTTCTACAGTCCCAGCAGCTTGTTTATCTACCCATCCTTTCGTATAACCGCCGCCGAAATCGACAACCCACGCATCCTCGTTGACGTCGACCCAGACATTGTCCGGTTTTACGTCACTCCAAGTAACGCCAGCCTTATGCAGACCATCAACAGCCGATTTGATCTGCTCCGCCCATTTGTGTCGTAAGGACATAGCCACTTCTCGGCGCATAGCGCACCTCAAGGTTACCGCCTGGCATTCGATGTAGGTGAGAAGAAGTCCAAACTCGAGGCCGGTTCTATCCTCGACGATACCATGGAGACGGGGAACGTGCAAATCTTTTGGTAGCTCTACATCCCTCATCTTTTTGTAGTTTTTGATTTCCCGCTCCGCAGAGCGTGTGTCCCCAAGTCCAATGGGCTTGAGGAAGAAGGGAATGGTTCCGCCAACTGGTTGGACTTTGTTGGGCGTTGGCGAAGGTGGTGTGTCTCCACGGTCGTCATCGCAGATCTCGATTTCCGGGTCGAAAGATGGCCAGGATGAACAGAGCTCTTTAGATAGAAGGGCGCCAAACGTGGACTCGTCAATCATATCATTCTCGTCCGGACATGGAGACAGCTCTCCTGCAACTACGCGCAAGGTGTAGCACAGAGTCTCCGGGAAAAGGAAGTCTTGAAGGGTTAATTTAGTATCGTTGCAGGGAGGCGGGAGGTCTCGGAAGAGAGGGAGGAACGGTTCGAGAACCCAGTCGTAGAAGTCGTCGACGGTCTAGCCATCCAGCTCGTCTTCAAAAACTTGAAGGAAATGGCGATACTTTTCCTCTAGCGGTGGTGACTCTGAGAAACTGTCGGCGGAGAGGCGTATGATGATGCGTTTGCCGTTGCACATCACGGTCAACTTGGAGTCGGTATCTTCGCTGTGGAAGATGAAATCGATGACAAAGTTGGTGGGCGGGTCATCTTCGATGAAGGAATCTGCCATTGTGACCGCTCCTATACCATCGATTGAAATAGCACCCTTGTGATGGGGAGAGAAACGGAGGTGAAATGGGATCAACGATGCATTAATGTATCGCCCCAGGAAGAGGGGCAATTGCACTCACTCACATATTCGCGCTTGGGAACATGGGCAACTTGTCGTAGGTATAGCAAGCCACGACTTGAAAATAGATCATACAATCGCACGACGCTCATTTCATGAGAAAGCCATCTGTCCTTGTTTCCTTTACTTCGGTCCTCGCAAGTTGCTTCATCTACTCTTTCCGCTTGCTAAATGCACACTGGGGCAATGAGCATACCACAATTGAGAATGCGGTTTGGGGGGAGCCCCGGCTGAGGTGGGCCGGGTACTCTTGATGGACATGAGATGCAGAACTCGGCTCCAGCTCTTTTACTCTCCCTCGATCATGGATGGCACAATGGAAGGCAAGTTATCATGAGGCAACGTTCATGACGAGAACAATAAAGCTCTTGAATTAAACACATCTCAAGCATAAGCCGTCTCTGCCGACGAAATATCAATTTGGTGTACTATCAACTGATAGTTCATCCTCGATCACTCTCTAGCGAGGTGCTCACACGTACATTGAGCAACTAGCAAAGGGAAGCTTGGTCTGCCCTAGAGCAGGCCTAATCCCATAGATCAAATGGCGCAGATACAGATGATTAAACATTGATCCGCGTTTCCGATGACACAGTCAAATGCCCCCCAACACCACAGCGATCAGCATTCCCTCGCGTTCAGGCCCACCTGCCCCTCTAAGCTTGCGGTCGAGCCTATCGACGACGCTGCCGGATCTTGCGCTGACGCGGGAAGTGCAACGGTAGAGACAACGTAGCGATGTGCATGACCCTACCCGTCGACTTGTCCTTCAACTCCTTTACGCGGCCGCCAATCTCGTGGAAGTGTGTGGTCAGTTTCTCCTGGTCAATCTTGAGATCCTCCCGAAGGAACTGCACGTCAAACGAAAAGTTATCGATGACGCTTGCGAATGCGAGAATGTGCGTTAGTATGAGGGAGTCGAAATAGCTGTTAATCTCACCCCTTCCGTTGGTGAATTTCCTGAGAAAGTGGTCGGCGATAATATCCGACGCGTCGGTGAGAGCCTTGAAGTTCTTCTTGAGCATGGCTGTCCGCCCACCCCGCTTCCTCGTCGCGTTTGTATAGTACACGATGAGATAGTAGATGTATCGAAGGAGCCGCAACCTTTCAGTACTGTTTGGTCCACGGGCGACGGTGTTGAGCCGACTGGCCACAAACTTGGACGTGACCTGCACACCTTCCCCATTCTCGGATGCATCCTGCCAATCCTTGACGCGAATGCTATTAAGGATTTCGGCGCCGATGATTTCGAGTGGATCGTACACGTCTTGGATATCTTCAGCATCCATGTTGGGCTTAGGGATCGGTTTAGTGGCGTCAAGAGTCGCTTGCAGCTCTTCACGGGAAGCCATGTCGGCGGACGCTTCCTTAATTGCATCCAGCGTGGCATTCGTGGCCGCACTAAGGACCTTCGGCGTTCCATCAGTGTTGAGAGTGGGTACGGAGATCTCGTTTCTCGCCTTCTCCTCGATCGCTTTCTTAGCCCGTTTAGATCCGAATAGTCGGCCGAGGTCGTTCAAGATGTCCGTAGATTTCTGTGAATGGTATTAGTCTCTCAAAGACGAAAAATAAAACCCCCCAAAACATATACAAGGTGAGAAGTGGGGGGAGCCTACTTCTTGGGGACCGCGCTTGGCCATTGCCGCTTCGACAGCTCTCTGTCCCTTGGGTATCGCCCGGACGATGAGCTTCCTCGTCTGCACCACATCCTTCCGTCCTGTTTTCGTATTTTCGTAGCCAACATATAGTCTCGTCCATTTGGTCGCGGGGTCTTCTCTGGCCGTAAACTCGTATACGGGGTGGTCGTTGGAGAAGAGCATGTATTCGCGTCGCTCGATCGGTGTCGCACCCTTGCTTATCTCTCCGGGTTTACGCTCTCTTGCGTAGACCTTGAACTTGATGTCGTCTGGTATCTGACAGCCGGCAGGCTCAACTGCAAATAATAGGAAATAAATCAGATACCAAGGCATGGATAGCGCATTGTCGCCTAGATAACAGGGTGGCAGGGTACTTACGGATGAATGGTGGGTTCACAGTTTCCTGCACATTGGCCTCGATCCAGGCGAATGGGTTTTGGTCCTTCTCCGTTGCTTGCCTCTTGGCTTTGGGGGGCTCATTGCTTGACCCCGAGGCCCTCTTTCTCTTTTTAACATCTGCCATGGGAGGCTAGGGTTATGAGCAGGCTTGTAGAATGGTAGATGCGAAGATTGGCAGTTTAAGGTGAGTTTGATGTGTTCAACTCAAGGGACTGCTGATGAAAGAGAGAGAAGAGAATGGATTGAAATTGAGGAGTGCAGTTGCAGGAAAGATACAGAAAGTCACAGAAATACACAACCTAGGGGACTGTGGACCTGAATAAAGGCTTTTGAAGTGAAGGGCTCTGAACGGAGGAAGATGTGGTTATTGGCTTGGGAAGCTCTCCAAATAATTTTTTTTTTTTTTTTCCGATGCAGTCCAGATCTTCGAAGTATCCAGGGACTGGACAATTGGATGGTGGGATGCCCCACTTCGTATTGTTGGTTATTGTTCTATTTGCCACAATTGCATTGTGGGAGTCGGATGACTAAGAATGATCAGATTAAGCGGTATATACCTATCTCGCATACTACAAATGTACATGAACCAAGGCAACCTAGCAAAAAATCTGGCGTCGTGACGAGACGACCTGCATCACGAAAATCCATCATCAACCACCCACTTGTTCAAACATTGTCGCGACATCGACACCGCGACACCGTGCCCTGTCCATCACCCAAACAACACCGTTAGCTGCGCATTTCATCTCCTCACCAGACTACTGGGGTAGAGGATTCTTTTTTTTGTGTCGCTCCGTGCTGGCGCGCGGTTGATAGCGACTGGCCGGTTCGCGCGTCTCTTCTCAGCTCCCAGCTCGAGAATTCGCCTCATTTTCAACATTTGCAAATTCCTAGACTCATCTAATAATGTCTTCATTACCACCTCCGCCTCCGCCTCCGGGCTGGGGTCCTCCCCCTCCTCCCCCTACTCCTCCTCCGCCGCCGCCCTCGGGATCTCTTCCTCCGCCACCTGCCATCCCTGCTCCCCCTCCCCCTGGATACCTGCCGCCCGCCGACCTACGAATGGCAAAGTTTGCCGAGAAGAAGAAAGAATGGCTTCGCCATCAACGGAATCGATTCGGAGAGAAGCGCAAGGCCGGCTTCGTCGAGACGCAAAAGGCCGACATGCCCCCTGAGCACTTGCGCAAGATTGTTCGAGATATCGGTGACGTTTCCCAGAAGAAGTACACGAGCGACAAGCGCAGCTACCTCGGCGCTCTCAAATTCATGCCTCATGCGGTATTAAAACTCCTCGAGAACATGCCTATGCCTTGGGAATCGACTCGCGAAGTCAAGGTCTTGTACCACGTCAACGGATGTCTGACCCTCGTAAACGAAATCCCTCGAGTCATCGAACCTGTCTTCTTCGCGCAATGGGCGATGATGTGGATTGCCATGAGGAGAGAAAAGCAGGACCGAGCTCTATTCAAGCGAATGCGATTCCCTCCCTTCGACGATGAGGAGCCGCCGTTGTCGTGGTCGGAGAATATCGAAGAGGTCGAGCCTCTACCACCGATCCAGTTCGACCTCGACGAGGAGGAGGATGCGGCTGTTTTCCAATGGTTCTACGATCATAGGGCTCTTCTCGATACTGAATACGTCAATGGTCCTAGCTACAAGACCTGGAATCTGTCGCTGGAGCAGATGGCTGCCCTCTTCCGTCTCAGCAAGCCCCTCGTCTCCGACGTGGTAGACAAAAACTACTTTTATCTCTTTGATTTGAAGAGTTTCTTGGCCGCCAAGGCCCTTAACGTCGCTCTTCCCGGTGGGCCGCGATTCGAACCCCTTTACAAGGACATCGATCCCAACGACGAGGATATTGGCGAATTCAATGCCATCGACCGTATCATCTTCCGCGGCGAAAACAGGAACGAGTTCCGCGTCGCGTACCCGTACCTTTACAACTCCCTCCCTCGTGGCGTGCACCTGTCGTGGCATTCGCATCCCCAGATCGTGTTCACGCGAGCGGAAGACCCAGATTTGCCGACCTTCCACATTGACAAGGCCATTCATATCATCCCTCCCCTTAAACCCGCCGAGGGTTACGTTAGCCCTGAGGATGAGGTATTTGGTCCTGGTAACGATGAAGAGCCCGAAGAGGATGCCTTCACCCTACCCAAGGAGGTAGAGCCGTTCCTTGCGGAAGAAGAGCTTGCCCCAGAGCAGTCCTCAGATGCTATCGAGCTTTGGTGGGCGCCGTATCCTTTCAACCACCGTTCGGGCAAGATGGTTCGAGCTCAGGACGTACCGCTTATCAAGCAGTGGCACCTGGAGCACCCACCCATGCAAGGCAAGTGCCCCGTCAAGGTCAGGGTATCGTATCAAAAGCTTCTTAAGACGTACGTCTTGAATGAACTGCACAAGAAGCCAGCCAAGTCGTTGAATAGGCAGGACTTGCTCAAGTCTCTAAAGCAGACCAAGTTCTTCCAGCAGACGACAATCGACTGGGTTGAGGCAGGCTTGCAAGTCTGCCGACAAGGTTTCAACATGCTTAACCTCCTGATTCACCGAAAGAACCTCACATATCTCCATCTTGACTACAACTTCAACCTGAAGCCTGTCAAGACCCTAACAACGAAGGAGCGCAAAAAGTCGCGCTTTGGTAATGCCTTCCATCTCATGAGGGAAATTCTGCGTCTGGTTAAGCTTATTGTCGATGCTCATTGCCAGTTCAGACTGGGTAACATCGATGCCTTCGTGCTCGCCGATGGTATTCATTATGCTTTCAATCACGTTGGTCAATTGACGGGTATGTACCGTTATAAGTACAAGCTCATGCATCAGATCCGTTCCTGCAAAGATTTGAAGCATCTGATCTACTACCGTTTCAACACCAACGGCGTTGGTAAAGGTCCCGGTTGTGGGTTCTGGGCTCCTTCGTGGAGGGTGTGGCTCTTCTTTATGCGAGGTATCATTCCCCTCCTTGAGCGATGGCTCGGAAACCTTCTGTCCCGCCAATTCGAGGGCCGTCACAGCAAGAGCGTGGCCAAGACTGTCACGAAACAACGAGTTGAGTCTCACTACGACCTGGAACTTAGGGCGTCCGTCATGGCCGATCTCATGGACATGATGCCCGAAGGTATCAAGCAGAACAAGGTTAACACCGTTCTGCAACACTTGTCCGAGGCCTGGAGATGTTGGAAGAGTAACATTCCCTGGAAGGTGCCTGGCCTTCCTGCTCCCATCGAGAACATCATCCTTCGTTATGTCAAGGCGAAGGCCGATTGGTGGATCTCTGTCGCCCATTATAACCGTGAGCGAATTCGACGAGGTGCCACTGTTGACAAGACCGTGGCGAAGAAGAACGTCGGTCGCCTAACTCGACTCTGGCTGAAGGCGGAACAGGAGAGGCAGCACAATCATATGAAGGACGGTCCCTACGTCTCATCGGAGGAGGCTGTCGCCATCTATACAACCACCGTCCACTGGCTTGAGTCTCGCAAGTTCTCGCCTATCCCCTTCCCTAGCGTCTCGTATAAGCACGACACCAAGATTCTCATCCTCGCGCTTGAGAGGCTAAGGGAGGCCTACTCCGTCAAGGGTCGACTCAACCAGAGCCAGAGAGAAGAACTGGCTTTGATTGAGCAGGCCTACGATAGCCCAGGTACCACGCTGGAGAGGATCAAGCGTTTCCTGCTCACACAGAGAGCATTCAAGGAAGTGAGCATTGATATGAACGACAACTACAGCACCATCAACCCTGTCTACGACATTGAGCCCATGGAAAAGATTAGCGATGCGTACCTCGACCAATACCTCTGGTACCAGGCTGACCAGCGGAACCTCTTCCCCGCGTGGATCAAGCCATCCGATTCTGAGGTTCCTCCGCTCTTGGTTTACAAGTGGGCTCAGGGCATCAACAACTTGGACCGTGTTTGGGTGACTGAGGATGGTGAATGCAACGTCCTGGTGGAGACCTCCTTCGCCAAGGTCTACGAAAAGGTTGAACTCACACTGCTCAACTCTCTGCTGAGGCTCATTATGGACCACAACCTGGCAGACTACATCACCGCCAAGAATAACGTGCAGTTGACATACAAGGACATGAACCACACCAATAGCTACGGTATGATACGCGGCCTGCAATTCTCGGCCTTTGTCTTCCAGTACTACGGTCTCATCCTTGATCTTCTCCTCCTCGGCCCGCAGAGAGCCAGCGAGATTGACGGACCTCCCCAGAAGCCTAATGATTTCCTCCAGTTCAGCAGCAAGGAGGTCGAGACGAGGCATCCGATCCGCCTTTATACCAGATATATCGACAAGGTTTGGGTATTCCTCCGGTTCACGGCCGAAGAAGCGCGTGATCTCATCCAGAGGTACCTCACTGAACAACCGGATCCCAACTTTGAGAATGTCATCGGATACAAGAGCAAGAAGTGCTGGCCCAGGGACTGCCGCATGAGACTCATGAGGCACGACGTCAACCTCGGTCGCGCCGTCTTTTGGGATCTGAAGAACCGTCTTCCCCGGTCTGTTACTACGATCGATTGGGACGACAGTTTCGTCAGTGTTTACAGCAAAGACAACCCTAACCTTCTCTTCTCCATGTGCGGATTTGAAGTCCGCATCCTCCCCAAGTGCCGCAACAAGAACGAAGAGTTCTCTGAGGCGGACAGTGTCTGGTCCTTGGTTGAAAACACTACCAAGGAGCGTACAGCACATGCTTTCTTGCAAGTGACGGAGGAAGACATTCAGAAGTTCAACAACCGCATCCGGCAAATCCTCATGTCTTCCGGATCTACGACGTTCACCAAGATTGCAAACAAGTGGAACACGGCACTGATTGCCCTCTTCACCTACTACCGCGAGGCTGCAGTGTCCACTGTAACGCTTCTCGACACCATCGTCAAGTGTGAGACTAAGATTCAGACTCGTGTCAAGATTGGTCTCAACTCCAAGATGCCTTCTCGTTTCCCTCCTGCCGTGTTCTACACCCCCAAGGAACTTGGTGGTTTGGGCATGATCTCCGGCTCCCACATTCTCATCCCTGCTAGCGACAAGAGATGGTCGAAGCAAACCGACACTGGCGTTACCCACTACCGATCTGGTATGACCCACGATGAGGAGACTCTCATTCCTAACATC